TATCGAAGATTCTGCTTACAAAGGTGAAGCTCTAGAAGCAGCTGACATTATTGACGAGGCGTTCAAGTTGAAAGAGCTCAGAAGAGATTATGGTTACAGATTCCTTCTTGAGATTAATTGTCCTACTCTTGCAGAAGAAGTTATCAATACTCTTGGTGGTGATGATGTATCGAGACCTTATGTTAACCATATTTTACAGCAATTGCATTGCAAGCTTAAGGCATGCCAAGAGATTGAAGAATCAAGATACATGGCGTGTGAACCAAGAATTATCGAAGAATTCTACGATAAACATCGTGAAACAATCGAAAGTACTCCAGAGGAGTTGATTTTTAGTATCGATGAAACATTTATAAACAAATTTAAGAAGAAGAAAGTTGCATTACCTGAGGAGATAGAGCATATGATCGCCAAAGGAATTCCAAACTTTCCGCACATTACAGCTTTATGCGGATGCTCAATGACAGGCAAATCTGTCCCACCTCTCTTTGTTCTCCCATGTATTGCAGAACTACCTAGAGAACTGAAAGTATTCCAGCGCGAAAGACATTGTTGGTTTACTTCTACGCCAAAAGGCTGGGTGAACAGAAGTGTATTCTTATTGTATTGCATTTTCTTCATCGAGTGGCTTAACTTTGAACGCCAGAGAATGCCAGAAGATATACGTGACAAGCCTGCTCTCATTGTGTGTGATGGACACTCCAGCCGCGAGAATCCTCTGGCATTGTTCCTTTTGGCAAGTGCCAACATCAAATTAATTGTTCTTCCCGCACATACAACACACATTTTACAAGTATTTGATGTTGGCATTGCCAAAAGATTAAAATCCAAATTCACGGATTATCTGAGAGATTACATTAAGGCACCGAAGCAAGAGTTCAACAGCAATGCTGCAATGATGCGCTACGCCATTATCTACTCATTTATTAGCGCATGGCAAGAATCAGTATCATTAAGAACGGTTCAAAATGCTGCGCCGCCTGCGGTCTTTGCCCTTGTTCTGTAGAAGCTCTCAAACATAATAAGTATGTTCGTGAATTGACTCCTGCAGAAAAAGAATTGCAAGAGAAAAGAAAATTACCGTAATCGAAATCGTTTTAACATCAATGGTGAAGAATTGACGACGATGGACATGATTTGCGCAATTTCTGACAATATTAAGAAGAATCCTGCAAATCACAGATTTTGCAGGAAGCCAGAACAAGACACCAAGGAACGTTTCTACTTTTGGATTACAAACTATCTTGATCCCAGCACTGAGTTGTTGACAAAACTCCCTAATATGCCAGGTTATATCCAAATGATTAGGAAAATTTTCCAATTTTCCAACAAAAATTTTCCAATTCTCCACCAAAAATTTTTTAATAAAATATTATTTTACGGCATTGGAGTAGGGGTAATTTTAGCTAAAAGTGACACACCCGTGAAGGGTGTGATTACCGATCGGTAATTTCGACAGTTTAGAATTTAAAATTTTTTATGGAACTGTTGCGAGTTTCATAAAGAATTTAAGGAATATAAGCAAAGATTTGAATCAAAATCTTAGACCTAAGCCGCTCGATTCGCTCGCGGCTTTCTTTATTATTTTAAATTTGCATATTTCCATCAAAAGTTCATAAGGTAAAAAATTTCGTTTATTTTTACTAAGAAAAAAAAGGTTTTTGATAATAAATTTATTTTATTTCGAAAAAGTAGCAATAATCGTAAAAGGGTATTGATAGGCTTGCTAAAGTAACTAATTTTAGCTGTCAAATACTTTTGTATTTTGAAGTAAATTAGTATAAATTTGTTTTTACTTTTATTTCGAAAAAGTAACAATAATCGTAAAAGGGTATTGATAGGCTTGCTAAAGTAACTAATTTTAGCTGTCAAATACTTTTGTATTTTGAAGTAAATTAGTATAAATTTGATATTTTTAACTCCCTTTGAAAACCTCAATTTCCCATACAGAGGGAACGGGAATAGCATCCAATATTCCCTGAGAATGGTTGCGCATTCTCAGTTCCCTCTATATTTCGAACGAAGCTCTCATCGGTCTTTTTTTTAATACTAAACGTTTTTTTCCCTGTCACTTTTAGCTAAAATTTGGGTTTGCCAATTTTAAAACATCAAAAAGTGACAATTTGTGGTTAGAAAAAGTCATCAAAACACTTTTTAATGATTTGATTTAACATATGCATAGACCATCTCTTTGATATTTAACTTCAATTTCCCGAAATGAAAAGGATTTGAACAAAAACGATTATTTTACGATCATTTTTTGTAAATTTTTTTAAATTGAGACTGACATCTCTAAAATCTTCTAAAAAATCCAAATATCAAATAAAATAATATCATTAAAATTCCTCTCAATTTAAAAAATTTTTATAAATTGAGAATTCAATCTCTAAAATCTTCTAAAAAATTCATATATCACAAAAAATCACGATATTATTTTTATTCTCAATTTCAAAAATTTTTTGTACTGACTTTCTTTTTGCATAACAGCATGGCAGAAATTTGAAACGAAGTTTCAAATTTCTCAATCTTGCATTCTGGGCACGTAAGTGCCCAGAATGCTAAAAGGCGCGTAGCGCCGTCTCTGAATATCAAATTTATTATAATTATTAATTTATGAAATTTCAAATAAAATCGATCTGTTATAACACACTGGTGCATGACAGCCTTGTCAGCTTATATCGGCGCGCAGCGAAGCTGCGCGCCGATAGAACGCGCTATATTATATACGTGACAACTTGATTTTTTTCGTCATTTTAATCTATGTAAAATTGGCTTTCTGAATATACTATTTTTGTGAGTTAATTTTGACCATTTTCGGTTACAATTTTTAATCATTTTTAAACTAATAGCATATATCAATTTGGGTTAAATTGTAGTGACGATTGATCCATTTAAATCTCCGAAAATTCAATGATCGATTAATTTCAAAATCAAATCAGGTTCAAAATTCGATTCCAAGAGGTTGGTTTTGTTTCTAATCCTAAGAGATATTATAAGCAATTATAAAAAGTATGACATGAAAAGATTTTCGAAATGCTGGACAGCTTGTTAAAAAATAAATCTTGGAGAACTTTATAGATAACATTCATCAACTTAGATATAGATAATTCAAGCATATAATTAATAATTGCCAATGCACTTTCAAACTCAATATTTCTCTCAAAATGTTTATTGTCATTTATGCTGTAAAAATATTTTTGATTGATATTGATCTATGCTGAACACAAATATGCCAAATAAAATTTTTACGCAATTTAAAACAAAAGCTATGTGACATTGGAGTCGAATCTATTTAGTTATAATTTGGTCTTATTTTCCATTTTCAATTTTTGAATTATAAAATTGAGTAGACACGTTATCATTCAAATAAATTTTATGTTTCAATGTATTCTACTCATATCAGCTCGCATTTCATCCAAGAAAGTTAGAGATCTTCCATTAGTTTTTAACGATTGTCAAGTTATTTCTGTATCTGCTCATGAATTCAAAGAAATTTCGATCAGTCCAACAGAATGTCGTTCTTTATCACCTTATACATATGCACTTGGTAGCAATTCGAACTTCATTGCTGAAGTGTATAGTTATAATAATCCATCAAAATTAATTAAAACAGTAAGAAATCCTTTTTCATTAATAGCGCTCGTGAACTAGGCGGCCAAGGAATTGCAGTTAAACTAAGATGTGAACGCATAGAATGCAAAATTCATATTATCAGCAATTCTATGCCTTCATGTGTAACAAGTGATGGAATAAGTTACCAAGTTTTTGTTTCGTCTGAAAATGATGGGGAAGCATCATTTGCAAATAAAAGAAATGAGTACTCGCATTTTTATCTCTTAACACATAATTCTTATCACGTCATTGCAGAAACAGATGATCCCTTGTATTTAAAAGTAAATGGAGGATACGGAAACAGATTGGATTTACCAAAAGATAAAAAGTGCTTGGGCCCTGCATATATCGAAATCTCAACAATTGACCCTATTAAGGGTAATTTTATATATAGAACTGAAAAAAATGGAAATATGACTTTGATTTCTAAGTTCGCAGGATGGATTCCTCAGAAAGAAGATGTATACAAATTTGAAGATTTAGAGAAATATAACGAAGAACGAGATTCAAAAAAATTGAGTAATCCCACATTGGGACAAGATGGGAACAATTTAAGAAATAAGCCTCTCTTTATACATAGTTATTGTTTGTATTGCATGGTCGGTATTGATCAAAAAGAAAAAAGATTTACTGGAATTAGCCTCTCATAATTCAAGAATTTGTAAGTTCTTCATAAAAAATCATTCACATGAAAATTTAAGAACTAAGTAGATCCAATTATCACGCAATCAATAGCATTTCGTTCTTTTATATCAATCAATATTGAATCGTTGAAATATTTTTAATATTTATGTCTGCATATTGAATAGCAGTTTTTCCATATTGAAATAGTAATGTTTTTATTTATTCTTTTCTAATTATATATTATTGTTATTTTATCTTGTACTCACTTACATCTAAGGGCAGTACTGTAATAAAAGTCTCAAATGCTCATCATGAGGGATAAAATTGAACAGAGATCTTAAGGAATATGCTTTCATTCCAAATTGAACATAAAATTCTTTTATTTCAATAGTTGAATGTGTTAAAAGTTTCGCTTCCCACTTGCTTATTGTGTTTTTATACAGGCATGAAGCCTGTTAAAAATGCGATAAAAGTGTAATTATCATACTAATGATTATTTTTGATTCTAATGCCGAACAGCATTTGAATCAAAAAATAATTGTATGTTTGATAATTTCCTGTTTAAACTGTGACCCATCACGCCCGTATTACTCTTTTTGAGTGGGTATCAGAAAGTGGTAAGTGCATCCTTACAAAAAATCAAATTTTGAAACACAACTCAATTATGCAAATGTACTTGATTTTGATTAGACCAAATATTAATACATCAATTATAATTATTAGTTTGTTTTTCATATAATAAATAAAAGACATTTTTTTTATTATTATTTCTGAATAGTAAGACACTTGTAATGATACAAAAGACCATTTGGTGTTCTCACAACGTACTGACAACCCAAAGTTTTTCCGCAACCAGCGCAAACTTGGTCTCCGCCAAGAGAAACATGTCCGCTCTCTAAAACAACTCTCTGGTAATCAGATTCCTTTGCGCGGTTTTCTGCAAATGCAGCTGCAATCTCTTTACTCCTTCTCTCTGTTGTTATGTCCTTGTACAAGCTCGCAACGAATTCTATGACATCATTTAAATCTGTTTCTCCTCCAATTTGTGCCATCGCGTCTGCAACATCAACAATCTCGATATTCTCTTTAAGAATAGCTGTGATGTCTTTGGCGGCATTGGAGGATCGCTCTTTCATGATCTTAAACAAACAGGAAAACGCTTTTTGTGGAATTTCATATTTCTGACAAAAAGTGACACATTTTTCAATTCCTTCACTCCAAACAATGTTTAGAGCTTCTGACAAGTATCCTGCTGCTGTATATATTTCTACTTGGACTCTTGGGATGTCTATTTTTGAAACATGAGTCATTAAATTCTGAATTTCGACTTCATCGTGAAATGTCCGCAAAAGTTCAATCAAATCATCCGAAATCTCTTTCTCCATGACATCCAAGTTTGTTTCTTTATTCTGGATGACGCAATTGAGCCAACTTGCTTCTTTTCTGTCGAAATCAGGTTTTTTGATATTTGTGAGCAATTTGACGAGTCCTGTTGTCAGTTCATTAATAAACATCTTGCGGCTAATTATATCTTTGTGTTTCAGGGCACACATGAGGAATCTCATATAAAATAAAGGATATTTGCTGACAACGTAAGCTCTTGCTCTGGAAATATCAATGATATCTGATGCTAATACAAGGCATGCCTGTTCGGGAGCTCTTTCGAAAAGCCACGGAACATTTTTTTCAACAAATTCCCAGTCAATGGCCTTTTTCGAGATAATTCTTGCAGCAACATCAAGAGAAGAAGACTCCTTTAATATCTGTACGGCTTCCGAGTGCTTCCCTTGATAGCTAAGATATACCGCGAAAGGAACTCCATTGTTTTTCTCAAAGAACTTGTCGAGGCTCTCGGTTATGACCACAGGATTCTCATCGAAGAAGTCACAAAGCTTCTTGGAGTTGTTTAAGTATGATAATGTTTCAACAATTGCAGTATCAACGTAAGCTTTGACTTCATCGCTCAATCCTGAACGGATTTGGAACAAGGTATCGACAAATACTTGGGAAATCTTCTCATCTTTGGTGATTTCCGCTGAAGATAATCTTCCTGATTTTGGAATTTCAGGAGAGAAGACAAGGAACTCAAATAAGCGGAAGGCATCGACTATACAGTCTTCAAACTCTTTCATAGTGAGTAAAGAAAGAGCTTCTATGTGTTTATTGTTATTCCATATCATTTCGAACAGAGAACTGATAGAATCAATGCTTTGGTTAGGTAAAGCAAGTATCGCTGTATCTATTGATCCTGTTAGAACATGCTCATAGGCTTCTGTAAAGTCTTTTAGGATAAATACGTCATTATCTGAACAAGTAAGTATAGAACTGTCGAAAGATGCAACGCGCTTGTAATTCTTGTTTGGAATTGTACCTTTGTGATGTTTGAAATCGTAAATAACAATTTGATTTTCTGATAATGAACCAATAAATTGGCCACAACGAGTATGATCGGTGCAAGGAGACTCAAAGAGTATTGGCTCTGCATTAGAGTCGAATTTGGAGTCAAATGTCATGGCAGTATTGCCAGCGTATGAAAAGAAATTCACGGAATCTCTTGTCATGGCGTAGGGATGAGATGTAGATATTGCTTTGATCTCCAAGAAGTTGCTTGGATTTTGGATATCGAGAATCATTAATTTGGAGTGAGATACAAGGCAAACTTTCGGATATGATAAAGCAACTGAAAGAGGAGGCTCGCTGAACTCACGGCTGAACGTCTGTTCGAATTTCTGTGTTTGTTTGAGCTCTTTAATCATTAAGCGCTTATCTGAAACAACTGCAAGAGTTTTTGATGAAGAAAATGAGTTTGGTGAGAAGCAATCTGTATTATCATCAACGTGAATTACTTCTCCGCGTGTATTGATAGCAATTAATGGACCCGAAACACCTGATTTGTTTTTGATATGAACTAAAATTCGATCAGCGAATGATTTAATATCTGCAATTTCAAAATCCGGTGTTTTAACTAATAGTGATGTTGATTCGCCGAGAAATACATTTGTTTTAGAATCGATTTTAAGGGGAATTGAGATAATTCTTCCATCTTTGAAAGCAACAAAGAGAGAATCGCTGTGTTGTGTCATGGCACAGACGTTCGTCATTTCAAAAGGAAGATGTATTGGTATAGCTGCATATTGTCTCGACATTTTTTTTTCTATTCTTGTTTCACTACCCAATAAAACCCAAAAAGTGACAGATCGATATTTTGTATCATCTGAACTATTTACACCAATCAATATAATATTATAAACAACATATATTAAACTGACTTCATGAGGACCTTTTACATTCATACTATTGCATATATTTATGCTAAATTATATCTTTTTCTATTAATTAGTTGTCATATACGCCATATATTATGCACTTTTGCAAAATTTGTCAATGCAAAGTGAATTCTCACTTAATTCATATTATTTACCTGAAATTTGAAATGATATTTTCAATAATTCGAATCTATTTCCAATATTTCGTAATATTTCAATTAAAATAAGCAAGCAAATCGTAATATTAAATAAATTCAATGATTTGTTTGATTACAATTCAAAAAAAAAGAATTTATTCCTTGGAAAGGCGCTGAGCGTTGCGCTGTTCGAGCTTCTCAAGTCTAAGCTTAAGGAAGAGTGGAACACGGTTGCGGCGAACGTTGACGTTACGTGGGCGAACAACGTGGCGGTGGACAGCGCAAGAAACGCAGTAGTACTGCTTCTGGTATGTCTTTGGAAGCTCGTAGCCCTGATAGATGCAAGCATCGGAAACATCCTTAGCAGAGGAAGCATCGACCATATTCTTGATGGCGAAACGAGTGATTGCCTTATCCTTTGGAACTTGGCGGCCGCAGTTCATGCAATTAACTGTTCTTGTATGTCCGCGGTTCATCTTAGAACGGCCATGATTTCTTCTCTTAACTGGCATCTCAAAGGCCGACCAGTTGTCACTTTTATTCAAAACATGATCAAAAATCACCCAAAAAAATCATAAATTAAACATGAAATTATTAATATCTATACACTAAAGATTTGATTTTTATGACTAAATTTAAAAATATTTGAGATTTTTCGAAAAAATTAATCAAAATTTTTGCAAAAAACAGGAAAAAGATATTAATTAAAGATAGTTTTACGTAGTATTATTAAAACAATATATAAGATAGATTAGTTGACAGTAACTAATTGATTCTTGAGGAGTGGATGTCCTTCTTCGAGTGGCAAGTTAAAGTTAATAAGCTTTATACGCCAGAGACCGTATTCGAAATATGGGAAGTTAACAGATGAATTGGCAGCTTGGAAGAAAGCCCATGAGCCCCAGAACAAATGGGAGAGGTGTACGAGCTTATCAACACGGGTCTGCCACTGCTCTACTTCCTTCTGTTCAGGTTCCTTGCCGTAAAGATTTGTCAAATAGATCTTAATGAAACGAATTTGCTGCTGATAGGATGGGAAACGAGTAAGATCAAGCTCGAACCCGCACCACTCAAGGAAGTGGTTGGCTATATCATATTCAGGCCATGTATAGCCAGAATACTCATAATCGACAAAACCGACATCTTCGCCATCCCAGAGGATGTTGCCGGAGAGAAGGTCATTGTGGGTAAGAGCAAGAGGGCGGTTTCGCATTAAAGCAGTGATTTCGTTCTTTAAAATGGAGAATGTGTGTAATAAGGCTTCGATGTCGACTTTCTTTCCATTCTTCTCAAATTCTGGATTAGTCTTATTGATAAAGTTCAAGATACGGTCAAAGACAATATTCTTTGTATTGTTTTCAAAATATGTGGATTTGTGTAACAAAGCAAGCTTTCTAGCAAGTTTATCTGAGATGAGCGGGTCAGACATCATTGGTACATCAATTGTTCTGCCTTCTTGGAATGAGCAAACCATACCGTTATCAAAACTAGCGTAAATTTTGATTAAATTAGCTTTTCTGATGTTAGCTTGTTCTGAAACTCTATCAATGATTTGCTCTGTGTTATTTCCGTAGATTCTGACAATAGATTTCTTTGTAGGAGTCTTTAACATGTATACAGAATTTGTTATTCCTCCTGCCATTGTCTTGAGTGTGATTTTGGATGTGTCTCCTTTGAGATCTAAGAGCTTAATGAGGAAAGCAATCTTTTCGAATTCGCTTCCAGTATTAGGAAAGAGCATTCCGTTGGCAATATGTTGCATCACAAGTTTGATTAGTCCCAAAATTGAATACTCCCACAAATTGAGAACAGAAGAAGTTAATCGGAGCCCTCAATCTTATCAAAACTCTTTGGATCTAAAAATCAATATTGCATATTGTGCAATTCTGATTCAGATTTCCAGTTTTTCTATTAAAATCAAATTTTTATATTCAAAAAAATTTATTCGAAAATTTGGTTTGGATAATTTTAATAATTAATGGGTTTAAAGAAGAAATATTACAAATTAATCAGATAAATGTGACATTGATTTTGCTTCAATTTCGAAATGCTTTATTGGCTATTGATACATAAAGTAATTTCTATTGAAGGAATTGTTGTTTTTTTTTTGAATACTTTGTGGTCAAACATATAATTATTCAAATTAATCGCAAAACAAATGTATATAGATGTGATACCGGCATTTTTGATCATTGTCGTATTGGATAATTTTTTGTTAGAAAAAGTAATTAAAAACGTTATATTCCTTCTCAAAACTTTGCTTTTCTTTATTTCCAGAAGTGAAATTTCTGATGATTTTCAGAAGCAGATTAACACTCCTAGCTGGTATGGTATAGCCATTATCTATTAGGGTTAATTCAAATTTACAACCTTTCATCAAATTTTAATAGCTGCATTAAATACTCCAAACTTCAGAAACTACTTACTAGTCATGATGCCTGAAATTGTGTTAATTAAATATTGCAATGTATCAAAAAAATTAATTAAATGAAATATTCAAGTTTCATCTTCTTATAATTGAATTTACACAACATTGATCATATGTGATATTTTCAAATGAGTCAGTTTAAAGCATTTTGCTACTCAATTCACTTTTTAATTTACGATGCCTGAAAAACAAGAAAAAAGCAATTAAATATATATGAAATGTGGTCATGATCTATTTTAAGAAACTTTTTCTTTATGAGATAGAAATTAGAATAAAAATAAAAATTAGATAATCAAACATAAGTTATTATGTGTATCCATTTTTGCGAAGGATATCTACAATATTTTGTTTATTGTGATGTATTGCATATTGAAGAAAAGTTTCGTTATCTTTGCTTTTAGCATTTTTATCTATATTTGGTTGAGAAATAAGAAATTGACAGATATCAGCATGGTTATAAATGATAGCTGCATGAAAAGGTGTTTCATTATCAATATTTTTATCATTTATATCGATGTAGTTAAGAGCAAATTTAACACCTTCAAGATTTCCAAAACAACAAAATAAATGAAGAACTGTCCATTTATCATTAGTTCTACTTCTTATATCTGCACCATGATTAAATAAATGTTTGACAAGATTTAAATTATTTTGCCATGCTGCTTCAAGAATCATATTATATCCATATTGATCACAAACATCACAATATTTTTCATCAACTGCAAATTTGATTGTTGAAAGATCTCCTTCATTTGATGCTGTTTCAAGAATTTTATAAATTTGTTCAAAATCATCTTTCGTCTTTCTCAGATTTCTTAATTTTCTTGTGTTTTCATAAGAGTTATCAATTTTGTGGTGTCCTTCGATGTTAGAGATTTCGAATTTATTAAGAATAGTTTCTCGACTAAAATAATTTGTGTTAGAGATTTTGAGTTTTGGTGGATTTATTTCTGGTTTATAAATGTAGTTTGTGTTCGATAGTGTGAGATTGTGAGGAATTTGAGAACGATTGATGAGTGCACGTTCGAATACTTCTGTTGTGATAGATTCGAAACCGTGTTTAACTGAGAAGTTTTTGATAGATTTGATAGAATTATTGTTGCAGAATTCAACTCTGACATGTTCAACAATAGAGAAGAATGAATTATTGTATTCACTCAAACTCATGATTGTATCGATCAATGAGTCTTCATTTGATATTTTAAGAGATTCTGATTTCAAAACACTCTCGAAAAAGTCATATCCATATCGTTTGATAGTTTTGATCTTATATCCTTCTTCAAGATCAAACATTCTTGATGCAAAGAACGAAATACACTCGTTAATCTTATTTGTATCGTTTTGTACTCTTGCACAATCGAAGATATCGTAAAAGCTTTCTTCGTTGATTTCTTGATATGTTGTCTTAACAAACTCACAAAATATGTTTGTTATGTATTCGATGCCGAATGTGCTGCTGAATTCGAATAAATCGCGATTGTGTGATCGATCGTTTTCAAACCTGAGAACACCTGTTTTCAAAAATTCAGAAATGATGTCTATCGTGTTGTTACATGATAGATTCAAATATTTATTAACTGTTTTAATTGAACTATCACGTAAATATTCATCATGAACAACTTTCGAAATCATGATTGAAACGTGCTTCGATAATTCTATTCTCTTGTCATTGATACAGAAAGAAAAAGGTTCTTTGTCTTTAATATCATTACCCCACTCGATCACGAGATACTTTTTTGTGATGATATTCATACTTTTTTTTACTTTCCTAAAATGGTTTTTTTATTATACTTCACTTCATCTAGAAAAAATAACTTCTTACATCTTATCTTGTAACGATTTTTATAATTAATTTCTTCATTTTTGAAAGGATTGGATAAGAAATATGATGAAATTAATTATCTGATTTTCCATTTTATCTATATTAATTATTCAGTATCAGTATATGTATCGCTATATTTATAAAAGGATATGTAATAACTATATTACTTTGGAATCTTCGAATATAATTTCAGATTTTCAATTCATTGACAGGTTTTTGATTGATAAACTCATTTTCATTGTATCATTCAAAGGAAAAAATATCAACTAAAAAATATTAAATGTTTATTATTACACGTTAACTAATAATATTAAATATGTTTACAAGCATTATTTCTATATAATGAATGTAGATTCCTAATATATTTGTTCTCGCAACAAATAAATATTCGGCTTGACAGCGATCAAAAACAAGATGATCAATAAAATTATTAAAACTTTGTGTTTTCATATTACTTTTATTTAAAGATCCATCAACACTAAATGAAATGGATGATGAATCAATATAACAACTATTTAAAACCAATGAACAGCCTGAAGATACATAAGCAATTGTTGAAACTAAATTATCTTTGAAAATGCAATCAGATATAGTTGCTTTTGCATTTTCATAGAGATAAAATATTCCATATAATGAAGAAATAATATTTTGTTTGATTATATTACATTTGCTAATAAAAATATCATAAGAATTTTGTAAAACGAATGTCTGTTGTTGTTTTGCAGTATTTTCTGCAAATGTACAAAATGAAATTGCTGATGTTGGATTTGAATGGAGTTCAAGTGATGTATCAAATCGTGTGTTTGATTTTGATAAATTTGTATTTTTCTCAAGAAAATTGCCATAATACAAATCAACAATATCATTTCCTTGATCGATGACTCTACAGTCTGACAGTGTGCACATTTCTAAGTAGTTTAAGTTACTTGATAACTGTGAAACTTCAATTCGTGCGAAATTTGTTTGATCAGTTGCAACTGATTTAATTCCACAAATCTTATAAAGGACAGATGAGCCTTTATTTTTAAATGAAATTGAAGAGCCATCTGTGCTTGATGATATGTTGTAAAATGATGTTAAATATCCGAGAAATTTTGTTGTGTCACTTGAGGATGTAATTTGGATAACTTGACTTGTGAAAGTATTGAAGAAGCAACTGTCAACGAAAAAATTGACCAGTAGTTCTAGTAAATGCAGATATAGTAGATATTCTTTCAGAATATCCACTATTGTAGTATCCCATATGTTATTAGAAATTTATAATTTATTAAGGGTGCACCCTTAAATTTTTTCACAAATTATTTTTGACATTTTACAATTCAAAATAATCGAAAATCATCCGAAAAAAAAGAAATAATGACTTTTACCCAGTCTTCCTTAACAATGTAAAATCGTTTGCAAATGAACATCTAAACACATATTGCGTAAATACTGTGCAAAAGTTAAATGTCTCTTTAAATATACTTCATTTCAAAACTTGGATTTATAAAATTGAATAATTGCAATTTTAATATTGAGTATGCCTTTCATGATGATGCAATTTTCACAAATATTTGTTAATGAATATTTAATCTTTCCTCTCAATGAAGATTTAGATTGCGAAGAATCATAAGAATGAAAAAGTAATTGATTTTGTTTCAAAATATAAATACAATGAAATTTAATTTTACGACAAATAAAACTAAGATTTCTTTTCATTTCTCAAACAAAAAAATATATGAAAATATTAAAAAATATAAATATGAAATTAATATTTGATCTTTTGTTTTTCTTTCTCTGCTTTCGCTTTCGCCATTTGTTCCATGTCTTTCTTTTGTGCTTCTTCAACTGCTTTAAGTTCTTCACGCTTTCGTTTCTCTTCTTCTTCCTTCTCTTTCTCAATACGCTCCAGATCATCTTTCTCTTTCTTAGTAGCGGCCCACTTCTCCATGTTGTTCTTAACATTTGTAACAAAAACAGAAAATCCTGGTTCGATTCGTTCCATCAACAAATAAAGAGGTAATGCAACACTTTTATAGAATCCTAACTGTGACTTTTGTTTGTTCAAATGTTGTCGTTCGTGAAGAGGACCATCGTATTCCATGCCAAGTGCTCGTTCAAGATCACCTTGTCTGAAGAACTCTTCGCAAAGAACATCTGCCCATCGATCGGCTGTTTCGAACTCGCGGACACAGTTAGAAATATCGGCTGCTTTGATTAATAGTTTCATGAACAACAATCGTCCTTTAGGATGATCCTTCCATGTCAATCCCATAGCCAAGTACTCACGCATCTCATCGACAATATCGAAATGCTTTGACATATCTGTGGCCATCACAAGATCAATGAACAATGTCCAAACACTGGCGATTTCGTCATCTGGGAAGTTATTGAAAAGTGCAGATTCATCTTTAGAAAGAATAGTGATTGAAACAGAGCAATGATGTGTTTCTAAGACACTTTGACCTTTGAACAAAATAGATAATGGTGTTTGTGCTTTATAATTATAGTTGTTAGAGAATCCATCATGATTTGCATCATGACAAATACATGCAACTAACAAAATCAAGATTTCTTTCTGTGTCAAAACATCTTTCAAACCACACAAAATAATGACATGTGCCATGAATTGCATAGTATCAATCGCATGTGTGAAGTTGTGGTATGGAACAGGAAGATATGAATTCTTCATCTCAAACAAAAATGAGAAGAAACATGATGCAGAAATCTTGAATTTTTTGAATAAATTGAAAGTATTGAAAATATTGAATGCGACTTTGAACAATGCCATTCCTTTCCATTCTGTTGATTCGAAATTACGCAATAACAAAGCACCACATTCTTCATCTGACATAAGAAGTTTCGTAGGAACTCTCATTTCACCACGTTCTTCATTAGACATGACGTTTTGCATTTCAACTTCAAGAGAACCTAATTGTGCGATGTTCTTAAGTTTAAATCTTTCTAAAGACAAACTCAAGAAAACTGAATATGACTCAAGAAGTTTCAAATCATCTTGTGTGAACTTCTGTTGTGATTTCTTCCATCTCATTAAAACAGCACCCATAACAACTCTGTCTGAACTTAAAATAGGAACACAAATTAGAGATTTCTCGTAATCATCGTTGTTTAACATCGCTGACTCTTTAGTGTTAACGCATTTCGTGATTACTTTGTTTCTCATCTCTTCTTCTTTCTTTTCTTCGGCATCGTATTCTGATTCATCGCCTAACATGAGTTTTGCGATGATTGCGCGCTTAACACCTAAGCTATCTTCTTTTGTACGACCTTCGCGGATTTGTTGTGCCTTTTTGGAGGTTTCATCAATATCTTCATCTTGAACATAAGGAGTAAACAAGATCTGGCCATTCTCGCATAAATAGAAATTAGCGTAGACTGCACCAATAACAGTTCTTGTGTTTTTGATGATTTCTTCAAGTAATTTCTTAATTGTCTGAGATTGGGCCATTGAAGCGGAAATATCTCTGAAGGAATGGAGTTGCATGGTAAGATCTAATGATGCTCTGTACAATCTGGCGTTTTCAATTGAAATTCCGCAGAAAACGTTGAAAATTTGGATTAATTTTTCATCGTCTTCAGTGAAAACACCATCCAACTTGTTAATCATTTCAGTAACACCTCTAATACCCTTCTTGTCATCGAAAATTGGCACAGAAAGGATAGTTAACGTACGATATCCTGTTGCAAGATCTGTTCCTCTGTTAAATCTCGGATCGTCGTACGCATCTTTAATATTAAGGATTTCTCCTTTAGTTGCTGACCATCCGACGATACCAGCGTTGATAGGAATCTCAATTGTATTTTTCAGACCAGCGCCGAAAGTCATCTGAAGCTTATCATGGGAATCGTTAACGAGGAAGAGTGAGCATCTATCTGCCTTAACAAGATCGCATGCTCTGCTCATGATATTCGGAATCAAAACGTCCATTCTTAATTGGCCGGATAAAGTTTCAGCGACTTCGAGCAAAGATCTGAGACGTTTTTGTTGTCTGAGGGATTCTTCAAGTGCCATGTGGTTCTTTTCGACAATTTCGGCACTTGTTAGTGAAGCAATACAATATCCTGCAACTCTTGCAAGGATTTTCTCATCGTAATCGGTGAAAAACTGTGGGATACGCTTGCCTCGAAGAACTATAGCATAAGTAACTGGCATATTTGGATCTCTGACTGGAATTGATAAAACAGAATAATCTCCGTTTCCATCTATCTTTTCGTTGTATGCTGAGTGGACGCGGCATGAGATACATGATACAGGAATCTCCTTTCGAAGCGAAAATCCTGGAATGCCGGTGTCATTTGGTGGAATTAAAATTGGTTGGTCTTTGTTTGGTTGGTATTGGAATATCTGGTCTTTCTCTTTATGAAGCATCCAGATCTCTGCGCTACGACAAGAGAACAATTTGCAGAGTTTGTCGCGAATTGATTCGACAAATTGGCCAAGACGACAAGTTTGCATAAGATCTGAGGCGAATTGGTCATCAAGAACTGGTTGGAATAGCCATCGTGAGTATATCTTGCATTTGTTTTGGAAATATTCAACAAATCTTTCATCATCTTCGGTAAAAGTTGGGGATTTTCCATTTCTAATAACTTCAACTATACACTTAACATGAGAAGATCCATCGTAGAGTGGAAAAACTAAGACATGGGCATCAGGTGGACAATTAGCGTATTCAGTTTTGTAATCGTAAGAAATATGTTCATTTGCGATCGGAATATTTAATGTTTTCCTTACAAACTGCGTATATCCAACAAGGCCGCTGCCATGCGGACAATAAGTTGTAGTTGATGGACAATATAAAACTTTTACAGAGGAAACATCATGATAAAACAGTACTTTTTCTGCAAGAAAATACACTTGTAACGTTGTTTCAAAGAGTCTATGTAATGGCATTGATGAACAGCCAGAAACAATTTTATCAAAACACTCTTCCATTTTAAGATGCTGCTGTAAATGGCGTCCACTGTGTAAAAGGAAGCTTTTATCTGTAGTTCTTGATGACGCTGGAACTAATGTTGTCGGATTTGGTGGATTTGTTTGTGGTTGTGGTTGAGTTTTAACAGATGTATTAGATTTGGTTTCTTTTTCTTCTTCTGTATCTTGCGTTACGCTATTTGTGAGAACAAATGTTGGCTGAGCAACAGTATTTTGCATTTTCATTTTTTCGATCTTTTGATTTCGTTTCATTGTAAGTTTCCTTGATAAGTATGGTGCAAATTGATCAACTGGAATTGGAGGTGGGTTGAAATCATTATAGACAGTTTCAAATGGGTGTGAAGCCCTGATTTCAACAGGTGTAATTGGTCTGAGTGAAATAAGTTCTTTAACAACACTTTCTCTTTCATTTTGTTCATGAATTTTTCGGAGCATCTTCATAGTCGCTGACATTTTTAGTTAGAGCTCCAAAGAAACGAACAAAAATTGTGTAAACTATTCAAATTTTCTATAAAATTTTTGATAAAAAAATATAGAAACTAAAATGAATAACTATATAAGCTTCTATTCATTCCAAAATGGATATGCTAGCATGCATGATGTGATGTTCCATATCCAAATTCAGCAAATACGACTTTTTCTTATTTTGAGATAAATATTAGTTATATCATGCAGTGTAATGATCTTGTTTTAATGGCGTGATCATGTCTGTATGATTTAGCTTTCAATTCTGTTGATTTATTGATTTAAAACAATAAATATGAAAAAAAACTAAAATATATAAATTTTAAGTAGACAAAATGGTAGAAAAGAATTGATTTTAGTCAGCAATGATAGTTTAGCTTTGTTTATAAACAAATAAAAAGCGGTTCTATAATTATTTTTAAATAAATAAACGAGTAATGTTAAGATGTCGAAAATCTCTTAAATAACACCATTCTTCTTAAGGAAACGATGATCTAAGATTGAAATAGCTAATGGATAGATAATAAGAACAGTTGTTGCTCCAACAGCCCATCCGACTTGAGAAACTTTTTCTTGAACTTGACCGAGTATTTTCGTAACACCTTTATATCTGCGGACAGCCCATGATTCGTGTGGATTTGCACTCATCTGTAGTTGGTCTGGTTTGTCACTTTTTTAATAAACATGTTTACAAAAAAATAGTAAAGCAAAAGATTAATGTATTGAATAAAACTATTCATCCGATATGATTCTGGGTCAACAATATTATCAAGTTAATATAAATAAGCTGAATAAATCAGCTAAGATTACATATACTGAAATACATGCATGTCTGCTTATGTAGGTTATCAAAGAGTATAAAGAATATTATGAAATAAGAAGAATTTTTTACGATCTTTTTACAAAAATAAGAATTTTCGTAAATACTTATGGCATTCCTTCGTTTTGGCTCATCACCTCGATGAGGTAATGTATTCATGACTTTATTAACTGAATATGTGAAGAGAAATTAAAAAAAAATTGGTTTACAAAAACCGATGAGATTTTTTTGATGATCGGGCGCTTTCAGATTTTTTTGACGATACTTTTTCATTGTTTTTCAAGCAAAAATATTACAGTAAATGTAGCCGTTATTTTTAATCTGTTTTTCTAACTGATTGGAAAAATAGGAAATTGTCGAAATTCTACTCATCTGATTGATTTGAGCAATCATTGACTGCATAAATGCTTTCTCGTAGGATGCTTAAACAAACCGTTTGGAGAAACAATCCAAACTCTTATTCTTTCGAGATATGATTACTTCTGAAATCTTTTCTTATCCAAAGATATCTTTTTGCATTTTTTAAGAGTCGAATGCAATGGATGAAAATATGAAACATGATAGATGGAACGGTTCACATCTAATTTAGAAAACGTGACGTGAACGGTTTGACAAAATGGGACTGATCAAGCACTTCTTTGTTATTAACTCACGTGGCAACCCCATCATCATTCGTGCATTCCTTGATGAAACAAACATCGCAGTTGTAGAAGATTTCTACCAGCGCTTGACAGAAGAGCCACCGCCACCACCAATTTTCAGATTAGAGCAACTCACATACTGCTGGGTTAACTGCGCAGGACTTTACTTCGTTGTTGCAACACCGGAGAATATGTCACCATCCACACTCGAGCTTTTACTCCGTCGTATTACAGTTGTTCTTTCAGACTACCTTGGCAAGTGCACAGAGCTTTCTATTCAGAAGAACCTTGCACTTTGCTACGAAGTTGTTGATGAAGTTCTTTCTTTCGGCTGTCCACAAGCTACAGATTCATCAATGTTACTTCACCTTGTTCACAATGAAGTCGAATACGATCAGAACTTCCTTACAACATTCTTGCAGACAGAAATCTTCCCAGGCGAAGGCTTCGATCGTCCACTTGCCCTTAAGACATCCGAACGTACAAAGACTAACAATGAAATCTTCATTGTTCTTTCCGAAAAATTGTCTCTTACATTAACAGCCCAGGGCAACATCATCAACTCCAATATTACCGGCCTTTGCACGGTCAAATCTTTCCTCCAAAGTGTCCCAAGCTGCGTCATCCAATTGGATTCGCAGGCCTTCTTCAAGACACGTAACATGCCAAAGAATTTACTTTACGAGTACGATGATATTACTTTCGCTCCTTATGCTTTGACAAATTCATTCGACTCTGATCGTTCGATATCATTCTGCCCACCTCAAGGTTCATCACTTCTCTTCACATACCGTACAACACGCCCACCAAGCCCTCCACCATTTACTGTTGTTCCTTATTTCGAAAATACACAGCCAAAGGTTGTTGTTGTCCGTGTTGCAGTTACATCTACATTCCCAGTCGATGTCAAGGCTACAGATGTTTCAATCATATTCCAATGCCCAGTTGAAACTTCCTCTGCTTCATGTGAACTTCCTCAGTCAGTCTTAGACAAACAATCAAGTGAGTTTGATAGCAAGAACCGCCAGGTTGTCTGGAGAATCAAGGAATTTGGAGGTCTCGCTGAATACAACGCTAGATTCCGCTTCATCTTCGATGGAGGCATCCCAGGAGCTGCTGAAACACTTCTCGGCCCAATCGCTATCGACTTTACAATCGCTGGACCACTGCCAAGTGGACTTTCAGTTAAGAACTTCATAGTTTCCACTCAGGGAACATCTAATGAGCCTCATAAGTGGATGAAGGAAATCACACAGGCTGGAAGTTATACATTCAACTTCATTTAAATGATAACTTTACTTTTATAATCGTTTTACGTTTTAAAAAATTTATATATCTTACTACTTTTGAAAAAGAAAGTTATTAAGAAATAACAAGATAAATCTCTAATTCAATCAAAAACCTCTGAACGAATATTCATTTTTTTCAATAAACAGATTTTATTATTTTTGATTTTCATATGAAATTGTATTCAAAATATTTCATAGGATCAATCTAAGCAAAATGCTGAGTCATAATGAAAATAATTTTTTTTATTTTTGATTTCGCTTTGTTGTTGTTTAGTTTGTATGACTATTTCATCTAAAGCCTCTTTTGTAGTGCAAAATTTATGAATGACCACTTTCTTGTGGAAATTTCTGCTCGATATCATTTATGGCTGGCAAATTGATTATTATGGAACATTTTTCTCTGATCAGTGCAATATATAATCAATAAGAAAAAAGCAAAAACGTGAATTTAAATCTCCCGATAGCGATCTCTCAAAATTTTTAAATTGAAAAACTCCATTGTAAAATTTTATAAAAATAATTTATTTATGGATCTTCAAAGTATTATTTGCCTTGTTTCCTGCGTGGTACTAATTGCAGTAATCACTGTATTTTATTGGTTCTATGGTGCGTTCAGGCACCCAGCTTGGGCAAGCTCATTCATGGTTTTCAGTGCATGTATTCCTGTTATCATTGTTTCTGGCATATTGCCTTATGATATTTCCCTTAACTTGTTCGGACATACAAATGAAACACCAAAAGTCTTATACATTTGCCTCGAAATTTTGTACTGGACATCATTCATTCTAACTTGGATTATTGTTCCATTTGCCGTATCATACTTGAGTTACTCTCACTCAATATCTATCAAACACCGCATATGGTTCGTTATCCGAGAAAATTTAATCTTTTTCGGCGTCGCTGGTGGTCTTGTCTTAATTTTTGGTATAGTTATGATTGCTACTAAGAAGCTTGATCCCAAAGGCCTCTTCAGTTTAGCCATAGCTCTTGGCAATGCCTATGGTCTGATCCTTCAATGCCTCGCATTTGGATATGCATTCGTTAAAGTGCCTATGAACATTTGGAGAAATGCAGATCCGGGCTTTAAATACAAAAACAGCGTTTACCAATTATTCAAAGAAACAAAACGCTGTGCAGCAGCTGTTGCTGATGCAGATGCAGCATTGGACCATTGGAGAAGATGCAGAGAAAATATTGAAGGCGAAATGGCCGAAAAATACCTCGATCTTGGAAGACCAAGAGCAGAAAACATCGATTTGCTCAAATCTGCGCTCCCTATCCCAGAAAGGTTCTATACATCACAATGCACAAACAGAAAGATCAACGCTGTACGTAAAATTGACTGGAAACACTGTACCGAAGCCAATATTGAAGATTTCTTCTATTTGATGGACCAAACAGCCAACGCCCTTGATCAATGCAAGAACTACGTTAACTATACAGCCGTTGTTGCCGAAAAATCCCTTGCAAAATTCAAAAAATCAGTTGAATCCGGCAAAAAGGCCTCTATTACGAAAATTTTAATCAGAGCGGCCGATATACTCTTAATGGTACTTATAGGAATCTCATTTTACAACGAAATTCTCATGATTCCTTCAAAACAAAAATACACCCTCTTCAACTACCTTTCTCATTGCCATATGTCGCAATACATCGGACAGATCCTAATTACATTCCCGCTAATCTCTTTCTACCTCTTTTTGGGCGGATGGGCTTTAGTTCAACTCCGCATTGGATCTTTCTACCGTTTCATTGCTCATGCTTCTAATGGCAATACACTTAACTACTGGGCCATTTTGATCGCTCGTTTTGGCCCAACAGTCGGATATCATTATATGTTGCAAGTTGGAGCTTCAAATGCAGCTTTTGTTAAGGTCATGGGTAATATGAACGATGTTTATTTCATTGGTAACTCTTTCAACTACATTTCTCCATCAATTATGATAATTGTTGCAATTTTTGTTGCATTTGACATTTGGGATAGAATTAAACCAAAGCTTTGCTGCAAGGCATTCCACACTTATCCTAATGATGTATCTCTTGCCTGGGCAAAGGATCTACAGGTCGGAGAAGAAGTTCTTTGCGAATTATCCCTTCAAGCAAAGGATATGATTGATTCTAACAAGGCATTTTCTGTTGTTAATATCGGTGAACAGAGAACAGCTGATTATGTTCCTGTTGAAGACGAACTTATGGATTAAAAACAATATTATTAATTTTTGCTGTCAAAATAAACTGTTTTCTTTGATTTTTAAATACATGTAACAAAAAATTATAAATTATCTTCTTTTTAAAAGTATATCTTCTTAAAATTAATATTAAATATTTCATTTGTCTTAATCCAATTGATATTTCATTTGTAAAATATAATTCGATAATAATCAAGTGATTTCAATTATTTCATCTCACAATGATAAAGAAAAGCGATTAGAACATTCTCTATTCAATCAAGCTAATAAAGGAAGCACAATTCCAATAGAATTCTCACAAATTATTACACATCTCAAGCAATCAGATGATTTCGAAGGTGTCTACAGTTTCTTTGAACAACTGTCATCTCAAGGAAATCAGAAAGGAATGTTGATTGCATGTGAAGAAGGTCTTTGGAAAAGGCTATGTCGTAAAAAAATTTATTTTCTTGCCCAGGGAATGTATTACATGAAGCATGTCATAGAGGAAATCTCATGCTAGTTAAATCTCTCATTGAGTGTGGCTTTGATAAAGAATCACGGGATCTTGATGATAACACGCCTCTCATTCTTGCTGCCATGTATAGACACCTTGAAATTGTTAATTTTCTTGTTTTTATTGGAGCTAATATAAATGCAATGAATGTATTTCAGAGAACACCACTCATTCAGGCATCAATGAGGAATAATTATGATATTGTTGAAAATCTTATTTCTGTTGGAGCTGATAAAAATGTAGTGGATTACAGAGGACAAACCGCAGCCAATTTTTGCGACCGTTCTGTCAACGAAATTCTTTCTAATATTGTTTGACATTACTAAGACAATATTTATTTTTTATTATGTCTGTGAGGTTTCATTATATTATCTCACTCGAATTTTTTGACGCTAAAAAATGCAGGTGGTATGGGAAATTGAAGTGAAAGAGCAAAATTAAATTGTTATTTTCACGCTATCTATTTGAGACTTTTTCATTTGTAGTAGTATACTTTTGCATGTTTATTGTTTTGCCCTCCTTTAATATACAGTGTAAATAAGATTAATCTTTACATACATTAATTCTCTACATGATAAAGTTCTCAGACAATATAATCTTAATAGTAAAAGCATATTTAAATACACTATATAGATCCACTATAGTCATAAATGAATTTCAAACAATTATAGAGTTTTTTCGCACTTCCGTAAATACGTATTTGCTCTGCCTTTCTGAATGAGGAAAGAGAATAAGGGTCTTTTAATGATGAAGAAGTAATTATATCATATTGTATATTACATAAACGAAATAGTTTGAATGAAAATACTCTCAACCGTATTCCTTTGCATTAGATAAATTTCATCCTGTCAAAACCTTTTGGTTTTTTGTCCAAATTCACTTGTAATTTTAGGTACCCAAATCTCAAGAATTTATATTTTCCAGAATGATGTCGTTTATGAAATAATTGACCCAAAGATAAATTGACTCTTATCATCAACAACTATGATCAATGGTTGAATCTTATCATCAACAACCACGCGAACATTACCTACAGTTAATCTCTTAATGGTTGAGTATAAAAATTTCGAAAACTGACAATCATTTTATCCGTTCAATTTTCAACTTTACAACTTTCAAAAAATTGAAATTCCAAAACAAATTGGTTGACAAAATTTATGAATAGTATTGTGCATGGAGCAATATTTTGCAATTTAAAATGATTGCTCTGTCACGTTTCTTAACGCACAAAATTTTTCTAATAAAAATGTACTACTCAGGCTTTCGACAATTCTTAGACATGATAACATACTGGATCTCATTTTGTTGTTTTCTAATTATATGCTTTATGATTCGATTTCATCTTCAAACCAATGAAAATAAATCATGTTTCACAAAACATTACAATTATTTCATTGATAAAGTTCCCCCACTTAAAGTATTTATGCACAACTTAACCTTACCGATGCAGGAATTATTGCTGCATAACCAATATTTAAAAGGAATCAAGCAAGGACTGGCCCATACAACCATTTTTGAATATATTGCCTTTAAATCATTAGAAAGATACGAGTTTAGGGTAAAGGACCCAGAAGAAGCTGACTTATTTTATGTTCCTTTATTCGCAGCTCTATTTAACGGTTTGAAAGATTACGCAAATATTGATACAATAATTATTCCTCAACTTCGAGCATTTGGAAAGTATTTTGATAGGTACGGTGGTGTCGATTATGCATTTATTCAGATGCTTTTCTCACAAGATAATATTCCAATTACTGTTCATCAGCAGAAAACGCTTGCCTCAATGATTACCCTTGGAGATCTTAATTACAACTACTCTAAATATCAAATGCGCGAATCATGGAGAAATGTCAACTTTCCTCTAACTTCAAATATTGCTCAGCAGTTTGAAATTAAGCCAGAATCAAGTCGCCATATATCAACATTTTTTATCGGGCAGATTAATCTTACCGATTTCGATACAGTTGCTGCTCCAATTAGAGAAGGTATGGCAAATGTCATGAGAGTCATACCGCATTCTATTGTTATTGATGCAAGAAGATATGATCCTATTACAGGTGTTTACAGCTATAATTTTTCAAGAATGATGTCAAATTCGAAATTTTGTTGTGTTCCACATGGAGATGGGCCAACAACTAAACGGCTATTCGATACTTTTCGCACTCTTTGCATACCTATAGTCCTTAGTGATGAAATTAAATTTCCATTTGAAGATCTTTTCATAAACTATCCAGAAATATTGATACAAATACCAGCTTTCGAGCCAGATCGCATACCTATTGCAATGAGTATCCCAAGCACAAAGAGAAAATTAAGTATGAAGAAAAACATGATCAGAGTTTCTCATCTCCTTGAACAAAAGTTCGATTATAATATAGAAAAAGGAAATTTAATGTGGGGATGGCTCTGGGTTCATTATTTCAAACTTTCGACTGTTGCAGCATCAAAACGTCGAACCTTACTCCAGTCAAGATATCTGGATTGAGTTTGTAGAACATGTTATTATAATTATTTGTATATATATTGTAAATTTTGTTTGTATTTTGTTATGAATTCCGACTTTTTTACATTGTCAGCGTTTGAACTATGTGGTATATGGTAAAATAGATATCATAGGCAAATAAGTGAAATTAGCATATGCATAAAAGATTTTCCCTTAATCGAATTTTGTTTCAATTAATCAAACATAACCCAGCGGTGTACATTGTTGCGTTCAAACAAAATACTTCTACCTAGGTTGTTCTAACCGTGTTTTGGTCATTTTTGAGATATGACTATGTAGCGTCAATAATTATCGGTAGCATACATCGAATAGATTTTTCATTCAAAGCTTCTGCTCATTTATTATCCAATACTTTCGAAATTCATATAAAAAGAGACCAATCAACAATTCATTCCAAAAAGTCAAGTTTTCCAGAACAAATTTTCTGAAATTGAGCTTTTTTACTAAAGAAGATCTCATATTGAGAAATGTCAGAATTGCGGCAGAAAAACGTGAATGCAGCCAAAGAGTGAAAAATTAAGATTTTCCGATGATTAGGATGTTTACATATAGAGTAACATAAAAACTCGACTGATGGTCATTCACAACCTTTCCCAAAATCAGAAAATCCAAATTTTACTCGATTCAAAGCGACTTTTCGTAATGAAACTATTGGATTAATTATTTATAACCAATATTAATGATCAGAAAAGTCCGAAAAACAATTCATAGAGAGGTGAAATCAAAATCAAAATGACAGCAACCGGTTTTGACAAGCCACTTTTCGATGCAATCAGCACAAAGAGATAATAAGCGTTCCACTTCTCGTCCACGTGGCGGCCGTAATGCTGCTGGCAGCAAGCCTGAGCGTTCCCCACGTCAGAATAATGAAAAACCACAACAGCCACAAGATGGCCAACCACAACGCCAGGAAAGGAGGCCAAACAACGACAGACTACGCCGCCCACGTCTTAACAACATCCATCTCAATCGCGACATCAAAGATATTAAATTGAACGATGAACAGACAGCTTTAGTTCGCGAACTTGACCAGAAGATTGCAGACATTGGTGAGGTTGTCATCCCTCCAAGCGAAGAGATCGAAAAGCTCAGAGAGGAATACGAAAAAAAGATTTCCACTCTTAGAGGCAGAATCGAAAGCCACTATATTCAGTTAGATGAAGTCCAGAAGCGCCAGGAAGCCTTCGAAGCCAAGGCCAACCCACACAAGAAGGAGTTCGATGAGACAGATGCTAAAATTAAAGAGATCGATGCTGAACTTAATCCACTCAATGCAAAGTTGAACGAAATCAGAGCAGCCAAGAACGAACTTTTCGGCAGAAAGAAGGACCTTAAGGATAAGATTCCAGGCAGATCCCTCGATGATATCGACGACCAGATTGATCAGCTCGAATACGAAATCGAAACACAGACATTATCCAATACTCATCTCAAGAGCAAGCTTGCCAAGATCGAATCCCTCAAGAAGGCTCGTGGCCAGTTCTCTGGCTTCGCTACAATCGACCAGCAGATTGACAAGTATAAGGGCACAGAAGATGAACTCTACCAGCGCAGAAAGGTTCTTACAGAGGCTAAGAACAAGCTCTGGGCCGCCCGTAAGCAATTCTTTGGCGAGAATAAGGAGAACAAGGATCAGCGCAACAAATTCTACGAAGAGCGCAAGGGCATCTACGACAACCTTACAAAGGCTAGAAACGAGCTCAAGGAACAGATCAACAGCCGCAAGAAGGCAGTCGACGAATTCTGGGCTCGCAAGAACAAGGCCTTAGACAAGCGTACAGAGCGCAGTAAACTCATGAACCGCCGCCTTCAGATCTACAAGGAAGCCGAAGATCGCATGGAGTTAATCGAAATCCGTGCACAGAAGGCTGGAACAATCCATGAGGTCAAGAATCCAAACGAGGAAAAGATCAACGCTGCCCGCTCTCTTATTTCCTTCCTTCAGGCTGTCATCGCCCTCGACGATGTCGCTAAGGAGGAAGACCAGACAGTCGTCTTAGGCAAGGCCACAAAGTCTGCCGCTCTCAGCCTCATCAACTCTGTCAAGAAGCAGTCTAAGAAGGAGAAGCTTGCTGCTAAGAATTCAAAGAAGGCTGAAGAGAGCAAGAAGGAGGCAAAGCTCGAGCTTTCTCTCCAGGCAATCCAGCAGTTCACACTTACTGGTGTTACACAGCCAACTACTATCGAACAGATCCCAGACGTTATCAACCAGCTCAAGGCTAAGGATCAGGAGTGGAGCGATGCTTTCATCAAGCTCGTACTTAACTTCGATATCAACGAGGATGGTTCAGTTAAGTCCACAATCAAGTTCGCATAAAGAAATTTATCCGATATTTCTCATTTTTGGTAAAAATGAAAGTTTTATAATTTTTATTTTACAATTAACATTGCAATTTAACTTTAAAACAAAAAATTCAAGGATAAATTATATTTTTCCATTTATTTTTTTCTATAGTGAGACCATAATTTATTGAATCTACTAGACATATAAATATGTATCTTGATTATGATACAAATATTAGAAAAATCTGCATATTAATGGAAATCATATCTAAAAACACTTTTTTAAAGGTACTAGCACATCCAGAACCTTATGAAACAGCATATTTTGGTTATAAAAATACATCGATATATAAGTTTATTGTTAAATAACTTTCTAAAGCAAATATATATTCAAAAAATGATAAAAAAGAATCAATTATCAAATAAAACGCACTTTCTCATATATTTGACCATAACTATCACTATAATGTCCCTCAATTTTGAAGATAAAATTCCAAAAAAAATTGAAAATTTGAAAAATAACAAGAAAAAATACAAATTTAACCATGAAAATCTAAAAATATAAAAAATTTAGAATTATAAACATAGTTTATTTTTGTTGTTTGTACTAATTCATATAATTTTGTCTCTAAAAAAGTTATTTTGAACAAAATATAATATTGTAAATTCAAATCCTGTTAAAAAATTATATATTTCTAAAAAACAAATCACAATTACTACATATTTAATCAACAAAAATCAATCTATAGTATAATTATAATAACATCAAATAATAAAATGATTCAGAACAGAGTCTTTTTCGGAACAAATGTCTTCATGATCAAGTCCATCATTTGTTTAATATCTCCATCATAATCCTGAGCCGCATTAGCAATCTTTCTCCACTTCTTTGCCGCAGCTTTTTCTTCATCAGTTTGTTTCCTCACTTGGTCCGACGTTTTACTTGTTTTCGCCTTGAGAAAGGACTTCCTGTCCAGTTTCCCTAACCCTGCCAACGCGCTCTGTGCCTTATCCCTCATAATCGTAGACCAATGGTTTGTAGTAACAAACTTCACTCTGTCAAAAAGTGACAAAATCACTCTTTTTGAGTGGTCGTTTACCCATTGTTCAGATTTATTGGCCAAGAAGTCGAAAACCATCTGTGCGGCACTTACCTGTTCACCCGTCACCACCTGCTCGAAGATATTCATTGTAGGTTTGATGGCTTCTGTGACTTGTGCCGGTGACATTTTCGACATTGTCAATAAAATGAATTCCACGAAACATGGCTGTTTCTGGCCGTTGCCTATTGGCCAGAAACTTACGAGGAAATGGTGGAACTCGCTATTGAGAGAGCTGTCCTGTGGTAAAACAGCTGTTAAAAGGGAGATCATCGATTGATGATATAATGGTAAGTAATTATTAAGGGCAAGAGGGAACACTGAGGACCTGATGACGGTGTAGAACTCATCAGGAGGGTTTTTGTTGCATCGCTGGAAGATGTGTGATAAGTAAACAAGTAATGGCATCACACAAAACGGCGGAGAATCTAAATCTTGTAGATCTACGAGCTTTTTCTGTATGCATTTGATAATATCGACTTTGCTGTTCTGATGGCTGTCGTAATATGCTCTAAGAAATGACAATAATTGAAGACGTTCGTTATTATCTGGTAAATTTGTAAGATATATTGCCGTTCGAGCGAATTCAATGTTGAGGAGAGGTGACTCGGGGTAGAGTGAGATAAATCTGTTGAGTAGTTGATAGACATAAAATAATTGTGGCCAAGCGGGTTCTACAAACACTAGAGCAAAATCAAGAAGAATAGGAGAGAGAGGAATGGATGGTGTTGGACGTATGATGTTGGCTTTAATCATATTCATAAGCAATTCTTGAACTTCTGGACTGAGTTTTTTGGAATCTGCTGATTGTTCAAAAAATTGCACTAGCTCGCAGAGGACACGCGTTTTCTGTTCTTTTGGACCTACATCTTCATATGGGTTTGCAAAATCATATATATTTGTGCAAAATTTGAGTTTTAGACTAAACTGTTCATCAAAAGATAGTGTAGAAATGTCATCTAATTTAACGTTGTATGCTATATTCTTAACTTGAGTTCGAACCATCTTTGTTGACTGATATAAAGATTCATTATCGACTTCTGTATCAATAATGGGTCCGCTGTCTATATTTGATGTAGATTTCGTTAAATCGTTTATATTTGGAGGTGGCTGTTGTTTTTTTCTGTAGCCCATCGCAGATATATTTGCAGATTTTGGTCTTTCTTCTAATTTAGGTGCAATAGGGCAAGACCATTGATAGCTTCGCTTTCGCCGATAAACAAAGCTCGGATTTCTCGTTGCATCTCCCATTTTCGGGTGGAATTTCCCCCGAATAGGTGGGAGCATCGAGCTCATTACAATTTTTTTTTCTCAAGAAAAACGTGTTTCAAAAAAAATTTGAAATGTAAAGAATAAAGGTGTTGATTTTTTTTCATTTAATCTTTCCTTTGATGAGGATGTATCAATTGTTTCTCAAAACTGCGTATTCCCAAAAATTGCCGGAATTCCAGAATAGCAAATTCATAAAAGTGACGCACTTTTCTATACTGCTGCGTATAATCCGTAAAAGTTCCGAATTACATGGACGATCATTCAATAAATGATGCTTTATTGCACTTCAAAAGATCATATATCATGATTATTCTATTCGAATCATGTGATGACATCAATCGCAACTCAGAAAGGACAATAAATTGTACTTTTAACAGCATCTATTTAATTATTAGTAGAATGCATATTCGGTTGTTTGATTTTATAAACTAAGGTAGTCACAAAATCTAAGTAGTGAGGCTCTCAAAAATTGAACCGTACTCCATACAAAATTTGTGTACCCTCACTACTTAGATTTTGTGGCCTTCAATTGAGAGGTTAGTTTTGATAGAGCACGTTATAAAATTAAAAGGGAAAAATAAATAAAATTTAAACATTTAATTATATATAATGTAAGGAGTGTAATTCCAAATTTTCTAAAAACTATTCAAATTTGAGCATTTTTTTGGAAATAGTAAATCTAATATGTACATCTAATGACAACATGATTCATCACCTTTTCAAGCTCTGCAGTCAATTTTTTGAAATTTGATTGAAATAAATGTAGCAAAAATTACATTTCATTAGGGAATATATGAGTTTCTCTGGAAACAGGCTGATAAATTTTAAATTTTGTCCAATCAACATGAATGCATTGAGAAATTTGGATTGATTTTCTGGTAGAATCTGGAACAATTCAACCATGTATAAATGGATCATGTAATCATCATGAAATGTTAGTGTTAGAGTTCAAAAGAAACAGAATGAGTGGAAATCAAACACAATCTGAATAATTTTAAACGTATACAATCTTTAAGTTTGTATTTTGAATTCTACATATATGATTGTGTAATTCGTTCTTTCAAATTTTCGGATTCAGGCATGTTTTGATAAAATTCATTCCCAAAAACGTCAATTAACAATTAAATTTAGTGTATTTTAAATATATATACGTATTATATTTTATAAATTATATTAAATTCGCAAAATTTTAAGTTTTAAACAAAAATAAAAAATGTTCAAAATATGAAATTATGCATAGGATATTAAAATTTACATGTTAGCAATTTTTTTGAATTGCTTTCAATTTTCATATTGAAATTTTTAAGATTTTTTTCTGAAATAATAAGCAAGAATATCAACCTAAATAATATTAAATTCCATGCGTTAATTTCCCCTCAAAAGTCATTGACCGCCTCTCAATCTAGATTTTGTGAGTACTTTATATAATGATTTCCTATTTGCGAAACTAAATTCAGACTTTATTAGTTGTTTATGAATATGTATCACATTAATTTCTTTATGACTGCTGAGAGAATGAAATAATTTTAATTCAGTAATAAAATAAACTTTTAAATTTCCGTAAATTTAATAATATTTATAAAATCATTCGCCAGTTGAAATTCCTTTCTTACCATTATCAATATATTCCTTAAGAATCTGAACGACTTTGTAGTGAGCACTTGTTTGATCCTTTGATAGTGGATTCATTGATACAATATTGTAAGCTGTATCAAGCCCAACAATATCAAGTATTTTGAATGGGCCCATTGGAGCTCCAGTTGCTAGGCGCCATGTTAAATCAATGGTTTCAAAATCAGCAACACCATTGGCAAATAAAACTTGGGCTGAAGTTAATAATGGAACAAGTAATGAGTTCAAGATGTATCCTGGTTGCTCCTTCTTGAGCTTAAGTGGTATCATTCCCATCCGTGCAGCGAATTCTACAATTGTATCATAGCATTTTTGATCTGTTCCTTCATGACCCATAATCTCAGCTGTGTTATTCTTCCAAATTGAGTTTGCAAAATGAAGAGCTAAGAATTTAGCTGGTCTTCCTGTGAATTCAGCAAATTTGCTTGGAAGTAATGTTGATGAATTCGTAACAATGATTGTCTTCTCTTCAAGCAATAGAGCAACCTTCTTGTAGAATTCAATCTTGTCTTCTGGAATTTCTGCAATGGTTTCGATCAATAAATCACAATCCTTAAGAGATTTCTCTAAATCAAGCTCGAACTTGATTGAATTATATGCATCTTCAGATTGCTTAATCAACTCATCAACCTTTTCAATTGTGAGAGAGGTGAAATCTCTAATTAAACCTCTTGGATAGAGTTTTGAATCTGTTCCAGTGAGTTTTTGGTTGCTTCTAGATCATTACGGATATTAACACGTAATGCGTCAAACTTTGGTTTTGTCCTTTCGATGGATGCTTCACTTCGAAGCCAATGTGTAACGTTGAAGCCCCAATATGCAGCCATATAGCAAATCTGGCTTCCTAAAACACCACCACCAGCAACTGTGACGTTTTTGATCATTGATTGGAAATGAAGTAAAAAAGTTGTTTGGTATCCAAATTTTTTGAGAGGAGAACCGCTATTTGAGAGAAAGAAGTTGATACCTACTACTTCTCGAGCCCCATATAGTTAAAAATATCAATTCGGAATTTGATAGCTCATTCAAAATCAAAATTGAAAACACTTTTCAAAATTTGAAAGGAATTCTCCATCAAGTGAAATGTGAGGCGAGTAATAAAATCTATTTTTTATCGCCTTTTCCTTTTCATATTAACTTTAAAAATCACAAAACACTCAAATGGAAACGATAAAGCAAATCGAAATTTGAATTCATTCAAAATTCCATCCCTAAAGGAATGCAAAAACACATTTTCTGTAATAAGTCACTATAAACTATGTCAGAAATTGCTTACAAACTATTTATGCCAACTAACCCAATCATAATGTTCTCCAAGTCTATAAAATTTAGTTATTATTTTTTTTATTCCGAATAATTTTTTTTATTTGCTCACTTTATAAAATCAGATATAAAATTTGATTAAATATCTGATTAAAATAATGATAAGTTAAGAAAGGAAAATGCTTGGTAGATTTAATAAGAAAAATTGAAAATATGAGAAACAATATAGATTCAGTTTAAGTGAACAGATGCTGAAATGCTCAAGAAGAGTGATTTTAAAAGCACCATCACCCAGATGACCTTGTTCGTATGTAACATATTGGTTCGTCATTGATACGTTGAAAGATGGGAGTTGTTCGCTGCCTGATAGCATTCGAATGTTCTTGAATGAAAGGCCTGAGTAATGAACAGGGCCAATGAATGTATTATTATTTTCAAATGAATAGTCTTTTGAAACACTAACACATCCATCACATCCTGACACATACGAAGAACCTCCTGCACCTGATCCGTGTTTTCCGTATACGACGGATGCTCCTCCACCTCCAAAATAGCCAGAGCCACCTCCTGAGGGTTCTAAAAGAGATTGTGAACTATTTCCGCCCATTCCAAACATTCCATCTTCACCGTTTTTTATTTCAGGATGGATAGTGATTCCTGGAGAGCCGCCTTTTATTTGGCTACCGCCTTTAGCTGGTGTATATTGATCATTATAACGGCCGTGAACCGAATTACTTCCATCGCCGCCATAAATGTTTCCGCCGTGACCTCCTCGTCCAGATATTATTATTTCTATTTTCAATGTAGCTATCCAAAGTTACTCCGCCACCAGCTCCAGCAACAATGATTCTAGATTTTAGTCCTTCAATATCAGATTCGTTAATTAAACGCACATCTGTAGCTCCGCCTCCTGAATGACAAAATATATAATTTTTTTGTGGTTGTGATGGATCATAAGGAGAACAGCTTCCACCACCATTGAATGTACGTTTGGTACCACTCCTTTGGCCTTGTTCACCAACATAGATAAATAGTTTGGTGAAGTGTTTGAAAGTGATTACTCCGGAAACGTAACCGCCAAGGCCACCGTTGTTCCGGTCTTCACTACCTGATGCACCCCAACATTCAATTTGATAAACACCTGGAGATGCATGATATTCATATATACCATATTTATTCCCCGATGCTTTTTAACATCACAAAGGAAAAAAAATTGATCCGAATTTAAGGTTCATATATAATTTTGATTACTACAATATATTATTACTAGAATTCCTGATTGTTCATATTGTCATGATTTCAATCGAACAATTGTATTGCATTGACTAATACTAATTGTCATTATTTCAATCAAGCATTTTTATCACACGTAAATATCGTACAACAACAACAAAAATATTATAAATTCATAACTTCGTTGCTTCTAGCTTTACCAAAAGTTTTATTAGTGCTATATAGAATTTGCATCATGAATCTCTTTTATTTATGTATCTGAATTTAAAAAATCTAAATTTAAAAATAGTCACCATTTTTCAAACAAAGAAAAAATAAAAAAATTTTATTTATATTTCACACTGTCACAATTTTCCAAAAATGCAACAGAGATCAATAGCTATGTAACATATTATACATCTGAGACAATTTCTGGAGCAAACTCTGATCTTTCACCTTCTTTTGCTTACAAATTTCAACAAAACAATCGCAAGCAACAATTACATTCTTACTTGGCGCTTTGTAGTTCTCTATGAACACTTCAAGAGTCTTATCGATATCATAATCATCGCAAACCTTTGTCTTCTCCGAAATAAACTTTGCTGCGGAATTTCCAATGATTTCGGACGAAGAATGGACATAAAAAGCAGCAACAGGATGAATAGCCGAATAATCAAAATCACTGATATATTCAGCAGCAGAAATTACACAGAGGAAAGCTGGTTTTCGAAGCTCCGTTCTTTTACCGAACAAAATCGATAAAAAAATCTGATCCAAATTCACGAATTCTTCAACTCTAAATCTTTGCAAACAATTGTAGTAAATGAGCATCAAACTCGTGCATAATAAATCATCGGAGTTGTAAAACGCTTCACTCAATAATTTCGGTAATTTTGTATTTACAAAAAGTGACTCTTCAATTCTGACAGTTTTCAAAATTTCACAGGCGTATTTTATGTCATTATTCACCATCAAATATTCAATGACTGAATAAAACTCTTGTATCTGTGAAATTTTTTTCGTGTCATGCAAAAAGAGGTTTTTGTAAACTGCCACAATTTTTGAGACATCGAAATTAAAAGGTAAATTTTGTACAACAGAATACGCGAACAAAGAATTTTCCTTTGAGTTTTCGATGATGAATTTGAGGCAGATATCATTAGATTTGGAACAAGACATCAATGCAGGGATAAGCTTCTCAAAGGTATCATCGTATTTAAGGATCTCTTTGAACAACATAATATTCGCATTGAATGTTTGTGACAATTCTTTGTAGTTGTCACTTTTTATGTCATTTCTGACTTCCACAAATTTTACAGCTCCTATCATACAAGGCAAAACAAGAGGAGTTAGCATCTGCGGGAGATTTAATCTTGCCCACAGAAGGACCTCCCACAGACCTGTTGGCGCATTGGATATCGATCTGATCAATCGATTGGCCAATTGCAAAAGTGCTGCAGAAGATTGTGGTGGCATCGGGAGATAAATGAACTGAAGAAGCTGCTGGACAAAGGAAGGCGCGGACTTAAGGAACTCGAATCTCAAAAGACTGGCGGAAAGAAGAACACTTAACGCTTTGTTCCGAAAAACGTCACTTTTTGATGATGTATACAATAAAAGTGCTTTCAAAACTTCTATATCGAAAACTTTTGGTTCACGACATGTCAAAAGGTAGGTCATTACTGTTTCTGAGTCCTCTGACTGCTCAGTTAAGATGAGGGATAAGGCTTTAGTGAATCCTAGGTCCAGAAAGTTATAAAGAGTTACTTGATCTCCGCACATTTGGAGAGAATACATAAGAGCTTCCTTTCTGGAGTCAGAAGGAGGTCCGTGCATGCATTGCATGGCTCGATCAGGCGAAATAACTTGAGATTCGCGGGATTTCGGACGTGGTTTTGGAGTTTCTTTTCTAATGTATGGTAAACTAAGGCTTGTCTTATGGCAACTAACGATTCCGGCCTTTAGAGCGAATTCTGCTTCATCAGTTCCGGCTAAATGGTACTTCGAATCTTGTAATTCAGCAACTACTTTCGCCATTGTCGGTCTGTCTTCGGGATCTTGGCTCCAACATTTGGTAATGAGCTTGGCAAGGTGTTGTGGACAGTCCTCGGGTATTGGTGGCCTCTCACCGAGCTCTGTTACCGTTCTAATAATTTGATTTGCCTGCATATCTTTATATGGCATCTGTCCTGTGAGTAATTCCCATAGGAAAATGCCAAAACTGTATACATCGACACGTTCATCGTAGAAAGGTGTTGACATTAAGACTTCTGGAGCCATCCAATGGACTGTGCCTATCATACCGGTCATTGGACGACTGTCGCGAGTTCTCACCATGCCAAAATCACAGATTTTAGCATTGTTGTTGTCATCTAGTAGAACATTTAGCGATTTTAGATCTCGATGAATGACTCCCTTTGAATGTAGGTATTCTAAACCACGAGCAACTGTAAGAGCGATTAATGAGCGTGTTGTTGGGTTTAATTGTTCTGGATTATTTCGTAATTTGTGATATAAAGATCCGCCACTCATGAATTCCGTACAAATATAAAATGGAGCATCTTCAGTGTAACCACAGAACTTCGTTAAACTAGGATGCGATAGAATTGTAAGAAAATAAACCTCTCTTCGATAAGATTCAACATCTGCTTGAGATAATGTCTGTTTTGAAAGTACTTTTATAGCTATGTTGTCGTCTGAGTCTTTAAAATGTCCAAGATAAACTGTTCCTGATTGTCCTCTTCCGATTGTTTTTTCAAATACACAATCTTCGTGTTTAATTAGAAGCTTAAGACTTTCAGGAATTTCTGGTATTGTAAGACTATCGAGTTCTTCTGCATCATAATGGACTCCAAGCTCTTCTAAAGATTGAAAGCGTTTTTCAATGCGATCTCCTGCTTCCTTTTGATTTTTCTTATACAGTTGTTCAAGTACGATTCCAATTCGCTTCATATCGACCAAATCTTGAGATGTCAAATCGGAGTCGGATATTTCCATATAATTTGCTGCTTGAGTTAGCCCAAGAACAAGTAAAGATTCTTTCATAGAATGCCTGAATTGTTTGACTTCTTCTTTCGTTGCTGAAATTGGAGTTGAAAGTAAGAAAGTTATACAAACCTCTCGTTGGCATTGCGATAACAATTCGGTAAATTCGTCGAGTTTTGTCATCATTGTCGATGCAGCTTTCTCTTCTTCCCTGTTAAATGATTGCTTATCATCCGCATAGGAAGAAATTATATTTAGAATGTTTTTTATCGCTTGAATTGCACTATTCATTTTAGAACAATGAATATATGGTGTAACTCTCCTCTTTTTTGTGCTAATTATTTTCATTTTAAGCGCCTGGGGAGAGGGGAGAAATGCCAATTCCATTTCTGAGAAACGGGACGGCACTTTTTCTCTCAAATGCGGGTGGCATATATGATTTTTATTTATTAGTTTTGACATGTTATTTATTAGCCAGCTAATTACACTTTAAGGTTTTCTCACAATTATTTTTCATGCATCAAAATTGAGTTTCAAAGTGATTACTCATAGCTCCTAATAGAAATTACACATTCCAAAGTTGATTTCATCCGATGTAAATGATCAAGACATTTACTACATTCCTCTATACTAAATAATTTTGATTAATTTCAAACCACCATACTTATTAAAGTTTGTAATATGACAAGCTCTCTTTTAAAGTCATTGTTGGTGCTTTTCATAGTGATCATTATCAAGTGAACGAATATATATTTGTTTTGATCTATTAACTAAAATTAGAATTGTAATCAAATGCATTTTAGCATTAAAATGTAAACACATTATGTCTTTTAGCACATAAAGTTGATTTATGGTTAATAAATTATTTCGCAATAAATTTGTTCAGATTCATCAAAAAAGATGATTCATGTATTATATTACCGAATGTCTAGGTAATGATAATACTTAATAGCGCAAAATATGGCATCTTAAAATTTTTATTGAAAGATGAATAAAATTTCGGGGCTGTTATAGACCGAAAATAGATTTTTTCGGTTTTCTCTTCAAATAATTGAAAGAATGATACTATTATAGGTTTATTATATTATATAGCATATAATCATGCTATAGCCGAAAATTATAAGTTTTGAGAAGATTGAATATAACACAAATAAATTTGAATGTAAGTTAAATTGCTTGTTGTTTTTAATAGCTATTTAATGAGAAATCCAATATTGCAAAATTCAAATTGAATGATTGAAAGAACAGAAAAAGTCATTCTTTTTAATTTCGAATATGTTTCATTGTATTTATAATTATATGGCAAATAAGATATTTAAACTTGATTTTTGAAGGAAAATTCACAAAATTGAATAAATTCAAATAATTTTTATTCAAAAATAAACTAGTTATTTGAGTTTAATACTAATTATCTATTCAAACTACAAAGTTTGTAATTTAAAATATTTTGTGAGATCAGATTGAATTAATTCAAGGTTCTTTTCAATTAATATTAATGACCATATTACGCATTTTCGAACATTCTAAACCAAATATATAAAAATGGGAGACGAATGTTAAATTTGCTAGACATGGGGGAGTTGTCTGCAAAGTTTTAGCTCTTATCTCTAACAAAAAATTAATTTTTAAAAAAATGACCGAATACGTTTCACAGCGAGAAAAAAATAAAAGGCAAGATAGAATTTTCTAGACATAAAGAAGTTGTTTACCGAGTTTTAGCTCTTATCTCTAACAAAAAATTAATTTTTTAAAAAATGACCGAATACGTTTCACAGCGAGAAAAAAATAAAAGGCAAGATAGAATTTTCTAGACATAAAGAAGTTGTTTACCGAGTTTTAGCTCTTATCTCTAACAAAAAATTAATTTTTTAAAAAATGACCGAATACGTTTCACAGCGAGAAAAAAATAAAACTGTACACTGATTTTAATTTTCATTTCCAGTCACTTTACTTATTATTTTTTTCTTTTTTTTCATTTTAATTATAAATTTTTTCATAATACGTTTATTTACGTTACCATTTTCTTTATTCTTTTGAATTCCATACTAGACACTTATAGAATATTTTGATTGTTAACGTACTTCATTAGAATGAATCCTTACAAAGGGTATGTCGATCGAATTTACCTAATTGGTATTTCCAATCAGATTGAAGAAGGTAAAATGACATGGGAAGAAGCTTGCACCCATGTTCCCATCGCCCCAACCCTTCAATCAGAGGGGGGCACAAACTTGCCCAGTGAGGTGAAGTGAAAAGTGACAGGTTTACATATCAGAAATGTAAAGTGCCAGATTTGAAACAAAAAATGGATTAATTTATTATTATATGATAGAGAGATTTGGTAAGTTACTATCAAATTTGTAAGTAAGGGAAAAAAAAGTAAGAAAGAAAAAAAATTTAAAAAATAAAAAGCCACTCGCTTCGCTCGCGGTTGACAAAAAGAACAAATTCGAAAAATAATTGTATGAAATTACGAAACTAAGCCACTCGCTTCGCTCGCGGCTTAAGAAAAGAACAGATTCGAAAAAAAATTGTACGAAACTACGAAACTAAGCCGCTCGCTTCGCTCGCGGCTTTAGAAAAGAACAAATTCGAAAAAAGATTGTACGAAATTACGAAACTAAGCCGCTCGCTTCGCTCGCGGCCTAAGTAAACAACATATTTCAGATTATCGATACTAAAAATTTTTTTATCTTATTACATTTTTTTTGCATTTTTGTTAAAGCTTCTTAACTTAAATCATGGAATGTCTCAAAGACAAAAGTAGCATACAGCATGTAAAGCTAAAGAAAGATAATCATAATTAATACCTTAATTTTTAATATTACGCATTTTTAGGTGCAAAATTTAAAAACATTCTAATACAATAGAGCAGTTTCCAAAAGTAGCATACAGTATGTAAAGCTAAAGAAAGATAATCATAATTAATACCTTAATTTTTAATATTACGCATTTTTAGGTGCAAAATTTAAAAACATTCTAATACAATAGAGCAGTTTCCAAAAGTAGCATACAGCATGCAAAGCTAAAGAAAGATAATCATAATTAATACCTTTAAAGTTTAAAATCTTGATTTTTTTTAAAATCAAATATTTATAACTTTAATACATACAGCTTAAACCTTATACTTGTTTTCTCTTGTGAGAAAGCAATCTTACAAAGCTAACAATCCTAAAAAATAAAGAATTAAAATTTAATAATTTAATCTAAAATTAAAATCAAAATTAAATAAAATGAGTTCTTTGTAATAATACTTTCAAGGTAGGATATATTTTAGTGGGATCTATTGAGTCATCACTAACAGCATTGAGCAATCTATTGAGCATTGAAATACTCTCGATTTTTCTTTGTCTTTTTACATCAATTTCTGCGATAGTTGCTTTTTCCATGATCCTAATGACACGGTCATCTGCTGGATTTTGATCAATTTTGAGTTTGATAACGAAAGATGGTATCACTTTTGTATAAATTTCTATAATAACATCATCAATTCTGAGATTTTTTCGATCAGGAAAATAGTCATGTTTGAGTGTTCTAAAATGAGCTTCGGCAATATTGTTAGTTGCGTCGCCTTCACGCCTGTCACGAGCAATCAATCTTGATATGTTGTAACGCCATTGTCTGTTAAAGTATTGAGATGCTGTTGGATCTGTGTCGAGCAACTCCAGAACTTGATCATAAGCAGCATTTGCTTCTTCCTCATGTTCTGCATCTAATTTGAAGACTAAATCCTTCATCAAATTATAGAATTGTTCAAATTTTTCTTGAGAAGAAAACTTATTTGATTTGCGAAGAATTGCACGAAGAACATGTACTCCGCACCAAAGTATTTGAGCTTGTGGAATGCTTTCTTCTATTGCTTGAGCTATCTGTGGAGCACAGTCCATGCTAATGTATTCTGGCTCAATTGTTACCCATCTGAGATAGGCGCACACGCAAACTTGAATGTTTTGATAAGTGTCTGGTTGACAAAAGAAATATAAAAAAGGGAAAATGTGAAAATCTTTGATTTTGCCAGTAAATGCATACAATGGAATGTTTGATCGCAACAATTTATAGGTGCTGTCTATATAAAATGTCTTGATACTATGCGCATAAGCTTTGCCTTCAAAAGACGCGTAATAGAAACACATATTATTGTCTGAGACTTCAAATGCAATGAGATCATCTGGAGATTCTTCTTGTACTGTCTGAACAAAGATTTGCAATGACACAACATCGTCAGGAGAATATCTAGTTTGAAGAGCATGTATTCTCTCTGCAAATCGTTTGATTGCACGTGGTTTTTGAGCGTACATCTCTGGAATGGACGGACCTGTAAGAGGAATTTCAAGATCTTTGAATGCATTTAGCTGTGCTATCGCTCTTTGATTGTCATCTGTTTGGAAGTAATGTTCTAAATATTTGCGATAAAAGACAGACGAATATTGACTTTTGTCATTTGGGGCGGAATGATCATGTTCTTCAACTATTTTGATTAGTTTGTATTTATTTTGATCCAAGATTGCAACATTAAAATGTGCAGGACATTTTGGATATTTGCAGTGGAATGAAATCTGAGATCTTTCTTTCCTGACACGTTCACCATATCCATACTGTGCTTGTATTTCTTGTTTAACTCCAAATTTACAAAGATCCATAACAGTAAAGATAGTTTCTTCTTCTAATTCCATTTGAAATTGAAATGAAAATTAAAAATTCAGAAATTTGAATAGATTTGGTCTGTAATTAAATGAGAATAGCAGTTTGTTCGTCATTGTTTGAGGCAAGAGTATTATAGGAATATTATATGATGGATTTGAGTTGCATATAAAGAGTGCAAAAGGATAAAGAGAGAAATTTTGTTAGATTAAATTATTAAATTTTAATTCTTTATTTTTTAGGATTGTTAGCTTTGTAAGATTGCTTTCTCACAAGAGAAAACAAGTATAAGGTTTAAGCTGTATGTATTAAAGTTATAAATATTTGATTTTAAAAAAAATCAAGATTTTAAACTTTAAAGGTATTAATTATGATTATCTTTCTTTAGCTTTGCATGCTGTATGCTACTTTTGGAAACTGCTCTATTGTATTAGAATGTTTTTAAATTTTGCACCTAAAAATGCGTAATATTAAAAATTAAGGTATTAATTATGATTATCTTTCTTTAGCTTTACATACTGTATGCTACTTTTGGAAACTGCTCTATTGTATTAGAATGTTTTTAAATTTTGCACCTAAAAATGCGTAATATTAAAAATTAAGGTATTAATTATGATTATCTTTCTTTAGCTTTACATGCTGTATGCTACTTTTGTCTTTGAGACATTCCATGATTTAAGTTAAGAAGCTAAATTCTGAAGTTTACATGATCCTCTCGTGTGCACCCTTAAAAAAATGCAAAAAAATTGAATACTTTACTGGCTGGGCAAATTTGTCGCCGCCCCCTTCAATCAAATGATTTCAAATATTTAGATGTTTCAAAATCTTTTTTACAAAATCAATTTAGCTTACAGAATCTCCCATTGCCTAAAGGCAAGAAAGGTCGTAGGGTCAATCCCTACGACCAAATCAAAGCTCTTGCTGTGATACATGACCACTGGGCCTTTCCCTGTGGTCAAACAAAACAATGGAAACGTTTGAAATTACAACAAATTGATGTATCTTATAGAGAAGTACGCAGATACTTCAAAGAAAATCATTTCACCAAGACGCGATTAGAGCATGCCGGGCAAGAAACAGCAGTAAGATATTGGGCGCTTTCACCCAATCTTATCTGGCACGCAGATGTTCATTATTTTAGGGGTGTTCGTGGCCAGTATATTTATGGCATAATCGACGATTTTAGCCGCAAAGTCCTAGCGTGTATACAAATACCAGATATGCTGGCAGCGACGACAGCGAACGTTGCGGCTTCCGCCTTCATTGAATTTGGCGTCCCTTATTGTTTCTGGACCGACAACGGTTCAGAAAATAGGGGCGCCTTTCAAGATCTACTTGATCTTTGGGGCGTACAATGGCGGCATACAGACTCTCATTCTCCCTACCAAAATGGGAAGATTGAGAGATTCTGGCCGACATTGGAGCGCTGCCAAAGCATTCAGGCTATTCCTGCCTTTATTTGGGAGTACAATAATAACACCGCATGAAGATCTCCCAATTAATCCATTAACTGGAACAAATTACACGCCAAATCAAATGTATCAGCTGAAACCGAAATACACAAATGCAGATACAGAAAGGTTGTGGCAAATATGGGATACAGATACAGGCATGACCGCTGTTGACACATTCACAGCGTAATAATAAACATAATTTTTTAATTTCATTTTTAACAAGTTTTTTTAAATGTATGTAATGAATAATTCATTAGAATATGATAATGCACATTGTAACAGAATAGAACAATCACCAAATTTTTTTTGAAATTAAAAAATAAAAGTAAAAAGTATAAAGTAATCTAACCAAAAAAGATATTTAAAAGAATTTTGGAAAAAACAGAATAAGGATAATAATATTATTTTAGATACACAATCGATGTACTGAAGAATAATCCGGTAAAATGATGATATAAAATTAGATTATTTTACAAGTAGCTAAAAGAATAAAACTATAATATAAAATAAATGAAGTTTAATGAAACAATAAAGGCTAAATAAATAATAAAGATTTTTATTTTATATCAGTATTGAGAAGAAGTAACAGCTGACACTTGGTAGAAAACTTCTTTATGTCTAGAAAATTCTATCTTGCCTTTTATTTTTTTCTCGCTGTGAAACGTATTCGGTCATTTTTTTAAAAATTAATTTTTTGTTAGAGATAAGAGCTAAAACTCGGTAAACAACTTCTTTATGTCTAGAAAATTCTATCTTGCCTTTTATTTTTTCTCGCTGTGAAACGTATTCGGTCATTTTTTAAAAAATTAATTTTTTGTTAGAGATAAGAGCTAAAACTCGGTAAACAACTTCTTTATGTCTAGAAAATTCTATCTTGCCTTTTATTTTTTTCTCGCTGTGAAACGTATTCGGTCATTTTTTTAAAAATTAATTTTTTGTTAGAGATAAGAGCTAAAACTCGGTAAACAACTTCTTTATGTCTAGAAAATTCTATCTTGCCTTTTATTTTTTTCTCGCTGTGAAACGTATTCGGTCATTTTTTAAAAAATTAATTTTTTGTTAGAGATAAGAGTTAAAACTCGGTAAACAACTTCTTTATGTCTAGAAAATTCTATCTTGCCTTTTATTTTTTTCTCGCTGTGAAACGTATTCGGTCATTTTTTAAAAAATTAATTTTTTGTTAGAGATAAGAGCTAAAACTCGGTAAACAACTTCTTTATGTCTAGAAAATTCTATCTTGCCTTTTATTTGTAAGCAATAGTTATGGTGAACTATTTTCTATCGATTGTTTCTAATATCTTTCTAAACAATTTTTCGAGGGGAAAATAATCTTTGGCTCTGTCACTATGAGAGGTAAGTGGCTCAAGAAGCGCATGCGGAGACTGAAAAGAAAGAGGAGGATGATGAGGTCCAAGTAAGGTCTCTCCTCGATGGTGTCTTCAACATTTGAATAAACAAGACCGAAATTTCATGCTTATTAACTTAATTTTCTTTTTTTATACATTTTTACGAAGGAATTATAACCAATTCTAATACTCAGAAGAATATTCCTTCAATATTATTCCAAACAGTGCTTATTTTTCACTAAAAAATACGTTTGAATTAATATTAAGCGTATTATTCAAACTTTACTATTTAAGATTAAAGTACTCAAGAATTGTATCCTTAATAATCATTAATTTTCTTTTTTTATTGGAAAAATCGTTGAAATTTCGAGAAATGGAAGATTTTCTTGAAAGTATATGCAATAAATAATGAGGGAAGTGGCATTGACTTGAATGTATTACTATTAAGTTAATCTGAGTGCTTTTTGGTGAAACATTGCTACAATTCAGAGTTTTGGACGAAAGATCTTAAAAGAGAATCTAATTCAGCAATCGCATAGTTTGTTTGCTTATCTTAATAAAAGCATCATGTAGGAAACAATAAAAAAGATTTTGTCAAGTTATTAAGTTTTTTAATCCCATAAAAATTGCATTTTTAGTGAGAGATTGAAGGATTTTTCCCCTACCATTTATTCATTGATAATACCCAAATGAACTCCTCAAAATTGCATGCATTCATGTCAGGTTCTCAAATTAGCATACAGTTGGGTGAATCCTTAATATTTGCGCCATGTGAAATAAGAAGTTCAGCAATATTTTTATTACCATTATCTAATGCATATTGAAGAGCTGTTTTTCTATATCTATCTTTTTCATTGATATTTGCGCCATATGAAATAAGAACTTCGGCCATTTCTTTTCTATGTTCACGTACTGCAAAATGAAGAGCGGTTTGTCCACGTTTATCTTTTTCGTTGACATTTGCACCATGTGAAAGAAGAACTTCGGCTGTTACTTTACTATTAAATGCTACTGTAGAATGAAGAGCTGTTTCCCAATCATTATCTTTTTCGTTTATTTTTGCACCATGTGAAAGAAGAAATTCGACTGTTTCTTTGTTATGATTATATCTTGCTGCTTTATGAAGAGCGGTTTCCCCATCATTATCTTTTTCGCTGATTTTTGCGCCATGTGAAAGAAGAAATTCGACAATTTCTTTACAATTATTAGATGCTGCAAAATGAAGAGCGGTTTTCCCATCATTATCTTTTTCGTTGATATTTAAACCGTGTGAAATAAGAAGTTCAACTATTTCTTTGCTATTATCCTTGGCTGCATCATGAAGAGCGGTTCTCCCTCGATCATCCTTTTTATCGATATTTGCACCATGCGAAATTAGAAATTCGGCTATTTCTTTGTTATTATATTGTGCGGCTTTATGAAGAGGTGTGCTTCCTCGCTTTTATTATTATTATTATTGATTTTTGCACCATGCGATATAAGAAATTCAGCTATCTCTATACAATTATGCTTTGCTGCAATGTGAAGAGCTGATCCAAATTCTCCCATTATATTAATATTTGTACCAAGTGAAAGGAAATATTCACAAAGAGATGGTATTTCAAACATCGCCGAATAAGCAAAACATCTGTGAATATTATTAGTTTGATCGAAATAAGCTAAAAATGATTCAAGATTATTAGACTGTCCACAAGGAATTACATCGATTTTATAGCCGTATTCATTCACCAAGAATGTAACAAAATCGATATTGTGTGAAATAATTGCATTATCCATGCAATAGCCACATGGTTTTTTATATTTCAAACATTCACCCATGATCTCTTGATTTCCGCCTAAAAATGAAAATTCTAGACATTCTTGTGTTATTTCTGAGCTAAATTTCGTTCTTAAAAACTTGAAACAATCAACTGCTCCATGGTAACAACATAATTCAAGTAATGTATATCCTTTTTTAAAATGCAATGGTGGATATACACTATATGTCATCTAGCAGTACTTCGCGCCGATAACTGAAGCATAAGAGCTTGATATCATTTCGAATAAACAATCAAAAAATTAACACCCGATCAAATTTACAAAATCCACTTTTGTAACGTATTCAAAATGCAGCGCCCTCAAAGCGCGCCAAAGAAAAAAACTCGGCGAGTAATTGACACAAAAAAGGTCACAGTTAAGAGAGTAGTGCCTAAAAATACCATAGATACTTCCTGTTATCGTTTATCCAAGACAACACCAATTAACGGAAATAAAGTTGTTCTTGCAGAACAGGCAGAACCATTCGCAGACAAGTATTATCGCGAGCATGAAGATGAAAGAGGAGATCTTCGCCCTCCTGAAGAAAAATTAAAAGATATTGAAGCAAGATTAGATGAAAATCTCGAAGAAATAGATAGATTTAACTTACTTATGAAACAAAAATGCTATATATACGTCGTATATGGTGAAACATCAGAAGAAGCACTTCGTGTTCACGCTTCACTTGGAGATTTTTACAATTTTTCAAACAAACCCAAGAGTGCGTTACGTCATTTCGAAAAGGCTCATGCTTTAGAACCAGGTAAGGAGCTTGATAACGATACGAAAGCGAAAATATCAGTTGGAATGTCGGAAGCACATCTTGCGCTTTCAGGAGAGAATAAACGAGAAATAAATCATGCCGGAAATACTCTTAAACCAGCATTGGAACTCGAAATTGAGAACAAAATGCTCAAATTTAGAAGAGATCTTACTCATGCAAGAATTTTATCGGCAAAAGAGAAATATGAAGAAGCTTACGATGCGTACATGATAGCTGAACAGTCCCACAAGGAATGTGAGCATGAAGAAGATGAATCAACTGCAAAAATTTACACAGAATTTGGAGAAGCTTGTAGGAATGCAGAAAAATACCATGAATCTCTTCCATTTTATCAAAAAGCTTACGATATATATACAAAGCTTGAAATGACCAAAGAAGCGGAAGCAATTGCACCTTTCTTGGAATTGCATGAAGAAGAAGAGGTCAAAGAGGAAGAAGAAGCCAAAGAAGAAGAGGAAAAGAAGGAATCTGAACAGAATAATGACAGTCAAGCCGAAACAAAGAGTTTAAGTCTCACAGATGGATTAAAAGAACAAATAACAGAAAAAATTGAAGATGAAAAACTAGAAGCCGATGGAGAACAAGATCTCAATAAAGAGGAAGAAGAAAAGAACGAAGAAGAAGAGGAGGAAGAGGAAAAGAAAGAACCTGAACAAGATCAGAAGCAGCCAACATTAAACCTTGGAGAAAGCGTGCAAAAAGTTGCAGAAGAAATAGCTAGTGCTGAAGATAACAATGAAGAACAGAATGTTGAAAAGAATTCAACAGCGGATTCCTTTGAAAGTACCTCTAATAACAACTAATGTAAATTTATTTATATTTTTTTGAGTTAAATAAACATGTCTGAATAATTAACTTTCTTAGTACATATATCTATTCTAAGTCCTTTTGATCCTATCATATAATTCCAGGCAGGAGACAAACATTAAATGATTTAGCTGAGTATTAATGTGTAATATTAGCATTTGCATCACCATATTCCACTTGTATTCAAGATATAATGCATTTCATGAGTAATTGAATGTAAGATATGGAAGAATACATTTGAAGAATTAAAATTTTGAAGATTTGACCAGCGGAAAGTATTAAACCCAATTTGAAGAATCGAGTCTGGTTAAAATATAAAAAATCAATTTCGCTTATCCGCTCTGAAAAAAAAGTTTTTTTATAAATCAAGAATGTTTTTTGTTTTCCTTTCTGGAAGCCTCTGTGTTCAGAGGATGATCTCCGCATATTACCATGCCGAAACAGGTGAGTATATGTATAAAGAAGGAAAATATGATTCAGATGCAGCAGCTCGTGGAATCTTTGATGATACTGATTTTAATTCCACAGGATGGTACAATCTCCAGATTGAAGGCAAGCGTGGCACCGATGCTTTAGCAGAAACCCATGCTGCTGGATATATTGAAGGTATTTTCACTGCTAGTTTTTACAAAAATCACAGAAACAATGTTTATCAGCACTTATGTTCTAAATATATCAAATGCGAAGACAACTACACAATTCCAAAAGTAATTCGTGACTATTTTAAGAATAACTACAACTGGGTCAAATTAACTGGTTTATCTAATCCAGATATGAGCGACCCATGGTATTTTGCTGCCGCCACTACAATGGCACAGATTGAAGGAATGGTAGAGGCATACAATAAAGTTTCTAATGACGACACTCTTACAATCGAAGATTTATGGATGTTCATGTCTCATGCATCAATCTACGATATCGCTCGTGCTCAAGGCTTTGCTCTCCAGCAGGATAACGCACCGCTATTCACTCGCCGTGGTACAGTTATTGTTGGCCGCACATCTTCTTTAGATAATGTTTTCATTGGCCAAACAGCATGGCGTACATATGGCGAATCCGTAAGAATTGCCAAGCGTTACAGACTTCGTTACAATTCTACTGGAAACATTGTTGATCGCCGTTCATTATCTTCATATCCATTTATGCTTCATTCTGACGATGAATTCTGCATCAGCGATATGGGTCTCGCCATTACATCAACATCTATCATTACAACTAACGATTACGCTAAGACAGTTCAAGCATCATTCCAAGGATATCCATATTGGTTCAGAAACATCGTTGCTACCCTCGCATCCCATTCTGCAGGTGAATGGTTCGATAACTACAAGTCAGAATACTCCACAGGAACAGGTATCGAATATATCTTACTTGATATCAAGAAATTCAAGTACAAAGAAGGCTACCAGGATGAATTTGTCCTTGCAGTCGATGAGATTCCAGGCCAAAATGCCGAATCTAAGGACATGACCAGCAGATTAATCGAAAAAAGATTCGTTGGAAGCTACGACGTCCCTGCTGTTGAGTCCATCTTCAAGACTGCTGGATACGACACCCTCGCACAGACATCTCCGGAGTGGTATTCATACGAAAACTCCGCTCGCGCAAAGATTCTCCAAAGAACTTGCCAAAGTATATATGATGATGACAAGATGAAGACACTTATTCGTTTGAATGATAAAGATCGTTACAGTGAACAAGGAGATACAACAACAAACGCAATCGCTGGAAGATTCGAACTTATTAAGCCTGCTTCTGACGCTATGTGCTTCGGAGCGTTCGACGCTAAGTTCACATCAATCCCAAGAATGTTACACTCAGAATGGGTCGGCCAAGTTGGAGCTTCTTACGATAATTTGCCACAACTCAATTTGCTTAACGCTGATGCATGCGATAACTCAGATTATGTTGGTGTTGATACACAAATGTACAATGGCTGGGTTGATCAGTACTTTGACATTGAAATAGACTAAAAATTAATAAAAACTTTAAGTTTTCTTCTCTTCAAAACTCATATTGATGTAATTTCATTTACAATACCAACGGCACTCTGCAATCTTTAAGAATAATGGAATTAAAAATAAATTAAATATTAATAAAAATTTAAGTATTCTTCTCTTCAAAATTCATATTAATGTAATTTCATTTATAATGCCAGCTGCACTCTGGAATCTTTGGGAGTGATGAAATTGAAAATATCGATTAAAATTTAATAAAAATTCTGAGTTTTCTTTTTTCCAAAATTTAATGTGTGTGCTAAATGTTTATGAAATCTCGTTAATGATTTAAGTTGGATCTGAATCTTTTTTAAAAAATTTGGATCAAGGTGATTTTAAAGTTTTATAGAGATTCTTTAGTTAGACAAATTCACTGTCTGAATGTGCATCAAATGCTGAAATTATAATCAGCATTTCTAATGGAAAAGCAACCTCCAAAATTCAAAACAATAGATTTCAGAAGTTTTTGAATTTAAAAGCATATCATTTGAAAAAGCGGAAGTTTTTCAAAGTTAATTTATCTTCCAATTAAAAAACTTAGTATGATAAGTCTAATATAGACATTCAAAATTTATGAGCTCACAAAATTTTGAGTTGCAACGTCGAAAATAAATCCCATATAAAGTTCAATAGATAATCATGCTCTTCTATTTGTATATTTATTTCTTAAGATGTACTGATCCATTATGGAATTTATATTACCCTGATGTACCTGATTTTACTCAAAAGAACAACGAAACAATAAATTCGCCTGGAAATTATCTTTTAATAGAATCTGCTTTTACCAATTGTCGTTCTAATCTCGTCTATTTAAACAAGGATTCAAGATTACTAATTAAAGGTGGTTATTTTTATGGATGTGGTATGTATGAATCTGGTGCAATAATTACTCTCAATACTAATTGTTCATGCGTTTTTGAAAAAGTGTGTGTTAAAATTGTTAACAATTATAATGTAAATGGATTTCCATTTTTATTTTCATCTGGAGGTTCTGAAAATGATAACATGGATATGTTTTATTTGACGACCTTCAGTGGCTTTGCAGGAAGAACAAGCTGTCTTCAATTCAGTAATTGTTATAATGTTACTCTTAACTAATTAGCCCAAGAGGTGTATCATATGACATGATAAATTCAGAAGCAAATATTTCACTTTCAACATTTTATAACAACACAGGTCAGCGCATATTGAGTCATTATGATAAAGAATTTTTCATTACAAAAGTCAATATTGTTAAAAGCAATTTTTACAATGAAAGTTTTAATTCAACAGTTATTTTAGGATTTGGTTTAATTTCATATTCATCATTCGTGTTGAATCATTTAAATTATTTATTTTCAACATCAAAGCAAATTGATGTTTCAAACTGCAATTTTGATAATTATAAATATGAAGGAAGTGTTAGTCTACGACATACAACATTTAATACACATACAGTTTCCATCCTATATAATTCAGATCCTCCTTGTGCCGTAGCACCTTATGTTATTTTTGAACCATATAATTCAATTCATTTAGAATTAATTTACCAAAATAATGAACGATATATAAATTATGAAATTCAATTCCAAAATATAACAACTTTGGATATTCGTGTTATAGTTACGTGTGAAGACAAACAAGTTGATTCATTTGATACAAAACTTGAACCTGGAAATCCTGTTATTAGAGGTCAAATAAATGCAGAAAATATAAGCATTGGGTATCATTCATTTAGCTTCAAATTTATTGATTTGAAAACAATGGATGAATCAAAATATTTTAACAACTACTTCGCTGTATCTCATCGCCCTAATATTACACTTTCCAATGATATTCAAACGATTTACAAATATGGTACAGATTCATTTGCTATTATTCAAGGTTATATTTCGGACGAAGATTATAATGATCAAATTAATATCTCGGCATATGTTAATGATCAGTTTTTAAACCTATCAATACTCACATTTTCATATCGAAAACCTCATAGTTTTGATTTATATTTAAACTTGAGTCAGCATTTTCATATGAACGAGAACCAGATCAAAATTATTGCAAAGAATAAATATTCGGTTCAAAGCGAGCCAAAAATGGTTTCGATATATATTTATGATGAAATTCCCTTCGAAATACGAGAAATTCTTATGAATGATACCTTCATACGATCAGTGGACAAAATTATCAACATCAAAATGAATGTTGTTTCAGAAATTGAACCTGATTTAACAGTGATGATTAATAATTTTAAAGAATATACGTCAATGTCCCGTAAATTAAATCCGTATAATCAAGAATACACAATACATTTAAATTTAGAACGTTTCAATGATGGACCGAAAAAATTGAAAATAACTATCCAATCAGGTGACAAGATATGCTCGAAAGAAAAAACTTTTAATATTATATCTCCCAAACCAGTTAAAACAAGTCAATTTGAAAAAAGGCCGCATCAAATTTACAGAAGAAGGTAATTACTTCATCATCCTTCGAAAATGTAAAAAAAGTTGTCATCATGCTGTGATCACTATATTATTTATCTGTAAATTGAATGTATATAAACATCTTACTTTTTTAGTACATTACACTTAAGGGTGCACACGAGAGGATCATGTAAACTTCAGAATTTAGAACCTTATTTTTAGGCATTATCTTGGCTACCTATTTAGGCTCGAAAAGCAAAAAATATCAAAAAATACAACTTGACTCCATTATGACCCTTTCATGGAGGTAGTTTTTATCCGCTAGTATTTTCCCTTTGAATCTCTTTACAATTCGAAATCAAATTCAAACCTCAGTAGAAGAAAGGAAGAATCGACTTACTACGGTTGTAATACGAATAAATACATATATTTAATTATTTTTATTTACATAATAATTGTTTGAAGCTCATATTCCATCAAATTTTTAAATAAAAACATTAAAATGTTGAAAATGTTCATATATTTTAATAGGGTTTTGGCACTTTATTGAGGAATTACTACATACATAGTCGAACTGAACTTGATATTTTGAAATTTAAATTATTTATCAAAATTAAAATTTAGCTTGAAATTTATAATTATTTAGTCATATTTTTATGGCATTCCAAACGGGAACCGCGGTTGGTTACCATGGATTTCCGTCACCGGTCACATTTTAAAGATTTTTAAAGCCTTATAAAAATATGCTTTGTAAATCATTTTTTGTAAATCGGCAAAAATTTGGTAATTTTCTTCAACTAATAAATCTGCGAATAGCATTTATAATACAAGAACAATCTTTTAAAATGCGTTTGATTCATTTTTGTATAATTTCATATAGGCACATATATTCTTCCGGGACTTTCCGTGATTTTACCGTAAAATCATTAGTTTACACCAATTTTTCCGTATTTTGAATAGTTTACTGCACTTTTTCCGTAAAATTGAGTTACGGGAATCCGCAAAATTTCCGGACCTCATTTTTCATAGAATATAATAATAATATTTGATAAAAAGATATATTATTTATATTTTTGATTTTTGAATTACGGAAAAAGTGAATTGTTAACTTGATTTTTTTATATGGTTAATTTTTCAAATGATATTATGAAGATCTAAAATATTAAAAGTAAAAAATTGAATTACGGAAAAAGTGAGGTCAAAAGTGAAATAAATTTGCAGAACAATTTTCATTGAAATAAGACATTGAGTATCACACTTTAGTGAATCAACATCTATAAGAATGAAGTGTTTTGAAGCTGAAATAATATTGAATAGAAATTAATTTTTTCTGAAATTTTGAATGAAATTATGGGAAATAAAAAAATTACTAAATATTGTATTCATACAAATATATTATTTTAAAGGAAAAATAGATGCTGATAGAAACGATGAAAAATTTTGAAAACTTTACAATTAATTTATGTTCGTTAACCACAGAGCTTGCAATCCAAAGCTCACGTTAGACTACAAGAGTCATGAAGTCTCATACTAAGGGATATCCAACATATATTTTAATAATCTAATGTTTGTGACAAATATTCAACATAAAATTAAGTTTTCGTTTCGTTACAAGGCATTCATACTTTGGAGATATCATATTTAATGTACAGAAAAGTTAATATTAAACAATACATGCTAAAGAATTAATAAATAAGATAATAAAATAAATTTATACGTAATTACTTTCATTTAATATGCTTTATGCTGTATAATATTGATTAAGAGGCATTAAAAGGTTCCATAGTCTGCTTTTATAGGCAAGATTTTTGATAAAAATTTAAAATTTTGAAAAATGATGAGAAAAGGAAAAAAAAGGTAAATGAGAGCAAGAGGAGGGAAAAAAAAGAAAAAGAAAAGAAAGGGAAGGGAAAAATAAAAGAAAGAAGGACATATAAAAATTTAGATGCGCATTCTTAATGCCGAGGCGGCTTGCCGCCGAGGCGCGATTTTTTTAGGCCTCTACGGTAACCCGGCAATGTTTTTTTAAATCTTGTACAGCCCTACATATTTTGCATAATTCTAAGTAGATTTTGTAAAAAATCAAGCAAGAAAAAATTTAACGTGCTTTATTTTTTCTTTTTTATAATAATACATATTATTATATAATTAACATATTCATAATGTTTCACCCTTTCAAAAATATCCTCCTCCTCTCAAATAAACGTACATACGGGTGGCCTCTTTTTTCAAAAAATTAAAATTTGAAATTTTGGGCTCAAATATTAGAGATTTTTTCAACCTTCAACGATATATGTTGTCTATATCAGACCTCCTTTCTTTTTGATACTTAACATTGTTCCTAAATCTTAGCCGTTAAGGCTGTTCTGAAAATATTTTTTTTTCGAAAAAATTCGAAAAAAATTCTTAAAATTCAAAAATCCCTTAATTCCTGAGGATTTTGGAAAAAAGTTTTTACATGAACATGTGTATATTATATGAAGTATATTGATAAGGTAAAAATCAAATTTTATTGCATATTCATCGAGAAAATAAACTAACGAATCCCTCAAAATTGAGAGGGTAATCCTCCTCCTCTCAAATAAACGTACATACGGGTGCACCCTTAAAATTTATTTTCATTATTTAAAAAAGGTATGATATCGATAATTATTCATACTAATCGAAATTTATAAATCCACACAAACTATTTATATATGATATCAAAGTTAAATAAGAGATATTTTCCATTCACACATATATTTGGTTTGTTCATATGGTTTCTATTATATTCGTACTATGAAAAAATATAATGCCAGCCTTTGTTCTTTACTTCAAATGTTTTAATTTGAATTTCTATTATTTTTAATGATAATTCTCCAAAAGGAATATATAAACCAGTTTTGATTGATAAAATCTAATGATGCGAACTAGATTAATCACAATATCGTCATATTGTTTGATGATTTTCTTATTTTGTCTTAAATATGAGTATCACATGCTTGTAAAATAATTTGATATGCATTTGCTAATGAATATTTAATGTCCCCCAAAATTAGCTAAAAATTTTAGGGGTTGCTAATGGCAGAAACGTGAGATTTGAATGGGGCTTCCGTTTTTTGTCTCATACCTATAATATATGTTCTATTTCTGATTCTCTTTCGATATATCATAAATTTAATCTTTTTTTGGAAGCAAAAAAATTTCGGATTTCCTAAAAATTAATTAAAACTTTAATATAGAAATAGCATATGATTTTAATGCGATTGCACAAGGATTAAAAAGAATTTTGGAAGGCATAAAAATTGTGATGTTTACAATTTATTTTGACACTCAATGAGCTTTTAAAAAAATTGTTTTTAAGACTAAAAATTAAGTTTATTCAAACAACAATGATACAAATAGGTAATTTACTTAGTATATTTTTATCTGCTTCAAGCTCGAGTCTCGATTTCTTCTTTGAGCTCGAGATTGAATAGCATAATCTAGCCAAGTCGGCACATGTATTTTTTTGATCTGGCGCCAAATGCTTTTGTTTTCCCTCTCTTCTTATTGTGTTCTTCTCAACTTCTGTTTTTGTTCTTTTCTTTTGTATACTATTATTGCAAAATTTGTTTTTTCTTTAGGTTGTTTCGAAAGTTATGAGGTAATTTTGTATTTACTTTGTTTCTGTATATGTATTATCGCTAAGTTCTTAAGAATTTTTGTAGTTTCGGGTGAATGATTTGAATAATATGTGAAAAAGTTTTGTTTTTGTTGCTGATCTTGAGTAGGCGTGGGGTATGCTATCTAGGAGCCTCTTCTGTTCTGTCTGATTGCATGCTTGGTGTTTCCAAAAAAATTACGAAAGCTAAAAAGGATAGATCAAAGTAAAGTGGACAAGCCACAAATTTTATAAATTAAAATTTTTTTGGAAAAAAATTTTAAAAATTAACTTATATTTTAATTTTGAAACGAGAATTTATGGATTAAGTCAAAATTAAATCGACAAATCAATTTAATTTTATATAGAAATATCATTTATTACATCATTTTCATATAGTGGCTTAATAAATTTTAATATTTTTTATTTATAATCTAAAGTAAAATAATATAATTTTTGAATTAGACTACTATCATATATGTCACTCATTATCATAATTATTTGAGAATGCAATTTTGTGGTAAATTTCAAATCCAAATTGAGCTTAAAATCCTAATTTATCTCAAAGCAATCAGAAATATACAATATTCTTGAAGTATAGATAAGATTACATTAAGTAATATTTGTTTAAATAAGATAAAAAATGGGAAAAATTTGCATTTATTCGTATATTAGGAATTTAACAAAAAGTGTTTTGTAGAATGTCGTATCGAAGGTTCTAAAAGGTGGTTTGTGATGCTTTTATGAATTTGAGTGAAGATGATAAAATTTAAATTATAAAAAATTAGATTCTAATTTGAAGTACAAGAATTACATAATTTACAATGACAAAGAATTTCTAGCAGTGTAAACTCGTAATTCCTTACGCGAAATAAAGAATTCGTAAAATAGTTTATTACCAATAAAAAAAATGAATGAGCATTATAGAATTGGGCAAGGAATGAATGTTACCAGACTAATTCTACGAAATTTTGAGTTTGAATGAAATTATCTGATAAGATTTCTTGAGATCCAGACAAAACCATATGGGTTAACACGGGATCACATATGTGATTCAATTGCTCATATTGAAGTCTGGAATCAACCTCACTCTTGAGCCAATACATTGAATTTGACACTCGAGTGTCAAAAAAATGCTCATTTTAGATGGGGGCGATACCCAAAACTACCAGATTTGCCATTTTTTGAGGGGAAATAACTGTTTTTTTAGCTGGCAGATTTTTTTAGCAACAAACGGGGGACATTATTGGAAATAAAAAAAAATTGATGAATAAAGTTTAGCAATAAAAGTATGGTTTAAAATAATAAACAAATGATAATATTATATATAATCATGCAGAAACCTTAGGGAGGAAGTGTGCAGCGGAGCAAAGATCACGATAAGTTGTAGAAGCTTGTTTAACATTCGAAACATCAGGATCCATGCCAAGAGATGGAACATAGCCACCATATCCTGATATATTTGTATTATACTGCCATACACAGTCAGAAGCTGAACGATCTTCTCTCGGTACATAACTTCTGTTTCCTTTGAACTCGCAAGGTATATATCCTGTATACCCAGGTGGATAGTATGTTACTTTTGGTGTTCCTGATATATCTGCTGATGTCTGCTTGCTTAAACTTCTGATTGTTGTTGGTTTTGATTTCATTGCTATCTGTTGGCCTGCTTTTCCAAAGCAATGTTGATAGCATGTTTCTGCGGTCTTTCCATCCAATTTTGGTTTGATTGTACTATTATATTCAGGAGGAAGCTCGGATTGTTGCATTTTGAAGCTTTGAAGCTTCTCATAGTGAAAGTTTGCAGATGGATTAACAAACTCTGATTTGTAAGTTGATTCTGGTGTTGGTAAATAATTATCAGCAAATGTAGTTGAACGTGTTGTTAAATTTGCTGGTCTGGCAGTTGTAAAACTCTTAACACCATATGATGATGAATATGTTGTTTGCCAAGGTGGATCGGAGACTTTGTTTGCTTGAATTTTCGGTATGATGTAAGGATAACCGTTCTCAAAAAAATCAAATTGAATTTGTGAAAAGTGACAAATTCAATAAAAATGCTCTTCTTCATTTCGGAGACTTTGGCTCAGGATTCCAATATTATCTGAAGGTTTTTGCAAATGGTAGCTGTAAGTGATGTTAAATATATAAATTATTATATTCATCTCCAGTTGTTCGAATTTCATGATTAATATCATGACTAAATAAGCAGCTCTAAATAGAGATTTTGTTGAGAATTTGGATATGGATATTAAATTTCGGTCTGCTGTTGTTAGAAAGGCGAGAGATATTATTTTATTTCATCAATTAGCATCGATTAATGATTTCAGGTTTTATAAGTGAGTGTATGATTCTTCCCTTTAACTTTCCTATGAAAAATATTTTTATTTTGGCCCAAGACAAATTTTCGATGATCCGTTTTGAAACAAATAAAGAAAATTTCTTTTCCAATAGCTTTGGATATATAAACAAAGCTTATAATTGGAATTCAACAAATGAACTGACAACAGATAATTGTCAATGCTTTTTTTGAAAGATTAATTATTTAATTCATAATATGCATAGCATGGGGAGACTCTGGCCTTAGTATTCATTAAGAGAGGAGACAGGATAATCATGAAAATCGAAATCTATTGGATTTCTCTAATAATTCAGATCAAAATCAAATTTTTACTGTGATCCTGTAATATACATTGCTTATGCAGTTCATTGATCATAGTATTTTGGAAAATCATGAGTGTAAAAACAGGTTGATTTTTTTTTCAATGCATGACCAAAATAAGAAATCGAAAAAATAATTTCTTTAGAGGAAAATTGGGATGCTGTTATAAAAATATCGGAATATTGAGATGTTTACACAATATTTGATTCACCCACGGTCATGAATTTTCCGGAGTAAATTTAAATCTGATTTTGGATAATAAATTTAAATATTCTATGGTTATCCATATGAATTTATTTCATTTTTCTGACGAATTGAGAATCTATCGCTTTTGAAGTTTCTCAAAACTGATTAAATATTTGTGAACTGACGTAAAACATGACATTTTCTTTGATAATATTGATATCCAATACATTTTTGGCATAATCAATGGATGACCAAAAAAAAGTTTTGAGAGAAGATTTAGGTTTGTTTCTTGATTGAAATATTTGATAACGTCATTGATTTAAAAAAATTGATAATAGACATATAATAATATCGACTATTTAGTATAATAAACTTATAGCTTTTGAATAGTATCATTTCAAAAGTAAAAACTCATTAACCTTTAAATCGAAATATAACTATATGGTATTCTCTAATAAAATTAACTCCTTTTCAATTGAAAGAAATCATTTTCTAGAATTGAATACTTCAAATTAAACGGTTAGAGTGATTTTTCTTTTGATTCGAACTCTGTATATCATTTTATTTAATATCAATAACCTCTTCTCTCAAAAGTCACTACAATTCAAATTGAAACCACTTTAGAGTTTTCTAAGTATAGATTATTACGTATGGATAACGATCCAATGAGGTCCCAAACTCAAATGCAAAGCTATAGCAAATATAAACGCTCTACAGCACAAAGTATTAGGGATCAAGAAAGGATCAAACTCCGCATTTTTAAATTAGGAGCAAAATATGACTTGGTCAAAGCAAACCTAGACAATTTATTTGGGCCTAATGCGACTGTTTATGCTTTGCTCTCACATGCTTCTATTTATGCAGAAAAACTCAATTTACACATCGATAGATTAGCTCAGCGATACCGACAAGGTCTCATATGCTGGTTTACAGAAAATTGGAATGCAATAAATAATCTTCTTACACAAGAGCCAATGCAAAAAATAGAGGAACCTGTTCAACCTGTAAAGATTGGGCTGTGTCAGCCACATGAAACCCCATCTATAGATATATCTGACTTTAGAGAATTGTTAAATTATCATTAAATCCTGTTTTTTAGTTAAAATATGATAGATCTTATACCAATGGAATATTACCATTTTTCTTCTGTTGAATAACTTGTTGCATATGATTTAATATGATGCAAATTCAAGTTTATTTGAAAAACTATAAGAAGTTTTCTTTCAATTAACTTCTGAAAGCCGTTTTAATGGCGGACCTTATACGGTTAGAAAATACTAATTATTAATATATTTATTTGTATGGAGTGCGATCAAGCATCTCCTGATCCGTCTAAAGTTGGCTAATTCACCCTTGAGTTTTTCATGAATAAGGCTTTGCGCCATAATTTGGTATAGGTTATATAGCCTCTTCCAAGAGTAAATAGGAGAAAATGCCAAATAACACAACCTGTATTTTTGAAATTTTTCTATTCGTTGTTGGTGTGAACTATAGTAAGTGTTTTAACGTGACTTTTAAAGGGTGTATTCTCGTGATTATGAAAAAGTTTCATTTTTCAAAGAAAAATTAAGTGCGAAACTATGATTGATGGTAAGATTCTCATGAACGTTTAGTAGATTATATGATCTTAATGCGATACAAAGCAATAGACCTTTTTTTGGCCATTTTCCTTAAAATTCATATTGAAGATCGAAGTAATGGCAAATGAATACATTGTAAATTGATTCATTTAGCTACACCTATGATACTCCTTGACGAATGAATTGAAAAATTAGATATTTCATCTAATAATATCATCATTAAGGATATTTGTAAACTATACACAAGTTGCATCTATAGAACTTAATAAAAATGATCTTAATTTACTATGAGATCAACAATAACTAAAAATTGGACTTTTTTTAATAAAATTTTACATCAATTAGGCATATATAATTAAAATAGATCAAGATCCTTTATTTACAAATGGTTTATTATTCTTAAATTTTCCAAAAAAATCAATTTTTTATTTTTTTCAGCTAAAAATTATAGAAATTCAACAGCAGATTTTGTTGTTCGAGATTTTTTTGGAAATCAAAATCACTTTAAAAGTCATTAAAAACATATTACAATAGAAAAGATGCGAAAAGATCAAACAATAATGTTAAACCAAATTCATTTTGCTTGGAATCTTATTCTCTATGGTGTATATCGGGGATATGAGGTGTTGTCATCATAACCATACTTTATCTTACCACAATTATTAGATTTCATGAAATTCCGATATATTCGTGTGATCTGCTTGATTTCTGTTAGACACTCTAGCGGGACAGAAGCATAAAAACTACTATTTATTATAAATATTCAGTAAGAAAGGAAAATTAAAATAATGTGTTCGTTTAGAAATTTTAAAGAAATGACTGAAAAATCTTCAATACCTGAAGCCAGGACAATTGAAGATATGCAAAGAAAAATTTCATCAAAAGAGGCTGAATTGGAAGAAATATTTAATGAAATTGATGAACTTCAAAATACAAATGATGAATTACACGCCCAACATACAGCAATTCAAATCCAATTAAATCAGCGAGTTAAGGAAGCTAAAAGAGAAGAGGGATTAAAGAAATCTCTCTTACTTGAAAGACAATCTAGCGCTTCGCCTGCAATTGATCCAATTCTTCTTCAAACTGAACATTACGATTTTCTTGTTGGTAAAGAAGACTCGATTCGCAAACTTTCAATTGATTTAGAAGCACTTCAGAAGAAATGTGATAACCAAGAGTCCGAATTACAAAGTGTCGTTCAAAAGAACGATGAAACAGAACAAGAAATCGCAAGGATCGAAAGAGAAATACAAATCCTTGCTTCAAAAGGAAAAACAATGATTCAAGAAACAAATGCTTTTAAATACAACATAACCCAGTTAAAAAGCGATATAGGATTATATAATAAAAATATAAACGAAATTGAAGTACAGATTAAAGATGTTGTTAATCAAATTGAGAAATTACAAAGTGATTTACCATTATTAGGTAACATTCAGCGTGAAATCGATACAATTAGAAGAGATAATGAAGAAATTAAAGATAAAATAGCACGTGCTACAGAAGATGTGGAAGAATTCGAGAAAAATGCTGCAGATGAACTGGACATGATTAAAGCAAGAGGTGAAAAAGCAAAGGAGATCATTGGATGGTCTTCTGAAGAAAAATCTCTAATGAATGAACTTAATACAGTCACAGTTGAAGATCAACAAGTTTCAGAAGAACTAGATAAGATATTAAATGAAAACACAATTCTAAAGAAGAGGTTATTAAAGTTACAGCCTATTCATAAGAAATGGGCAGTTGCACTCAGAAATGCAGATTTATCTCATGAAACAGACACAAATATTGACCAACTCTTGAAGGAGTGCACACTCAAAAGTAAAAAGCAAAACAAGAAAGAAGGCGATCATAAGAAACGTCTTCAAGACTTAATTGAAAATAATGAAAAGTTAGTGAACAAGATTGCTAAAAGAAGAGAAAAACTTGATATAGTAATGGGAAGATTTAAGATAGAAGAAAGCCAACTTAAATCTCAGATCAGATCAATTAGAAATAGCGTGTTCGAAAAAGAGAATGAGCTTATTGAACAAATACAGGCTTACAAAGTCAAATTTGCTGATAATAAGTAATTTTTTATCGATTTGTTGTTTTATAAATAGTGTTTTGTCGTTTAATTTATAATTTTTTTTTAATTAATATCACATTCAACGTTTAAAATTATAACTATACATATCTAATTGAAACGTTCTATCAGAAACTAGAGATTTATGAGATAAAATCCAGGATTTTAATTTAAATTTTTGAGTTGAAAGAAAAATATTAAATATAGTATTAACAAAGTATTTAGTATAACTAATATAGTATTAATTAGTGGAGTTTTCAACCCATTGGAAGCCAAGACCAAAGTTATATTGAGCATTTTTATGATCTAAGTGGGTAGAAACGAGAATATTGCATTGAGGGTACAATTCTTGCTTATATACAGTAGAAACGTTCAATTTTGTGTCAATTGAACTGTGAATAATTGCGTCGTTGACTTTTGCAATCCAGGCTAATTCTACCTTGGAATTGAGATTACTATCAGCAGTAAGACTTGCTCCAACTGTAAGCTTATCGTTAATTTCGTGCTTATGACGCAAAGTTAAAGTTCTAAAATTATCTTTCATAATTGCTGCTTGAAAATCACGGAGACCATGCTTGTAATGAAGTAGAATCGAATATGCTGTATTTCCTTTCACGCAATTTCTAACATTTTGGTAAGTAAAAATGAAATTCTTATATCTGAGCGTCATTTTAGTATCAATTAACGCAATATAGATCATATCACGCGTTTGAGCCTGGATAGAGAAATTATGGTATTTCGAATTATTTTCAAGGAGAATTGATGGAATAAATGAAGTAGAGGTGAAATCACAGCGGCAGCGTACTGATGTGTTTTTGTTAGAATTGGATTTTTGATATGATATGTAATTCTTCTGGCCTAAAGATAAAATAACATTTGAAAGTTTACTTGTTTGATGGTTTAGCACTACCTGAGCAATCCTAATAGGAGAAGGAACTATTTTTGTTTGCGAATTTTTCTCTATAATGTTAAAATATGGATGTCTAATATTAATTGAAGAATTTATTGTTGTTTCTGGGCTTTGATTGAGTTCAACATCAAATTTTATGCCGGGGAAGTTCTTGTTATCAAACAAATTGTTCATCGATTCATAATATTCAGTTCCAGATTTCATCTTTTTTTTGCACTATAATAAAAAAGGTGACAAAATAATTTTAAAATTTGATGAGTAATTTCAAGTCATTCTTTAATTTAAGGATACCTAATGGTGAAGAAATCCCTCTTGAAGCCGAGGGAAATGTATCAACTGTCCTTACTCAAGTTATTGTCGATAATAATGGAAAACCATATACTCGTGCTACACTAAGCGCTCACGTAGAGACATTAAATCCAGCAGAAATAGAAAAAGATCCCGATGCTCCTGCTATTGAGCATGATGTTATTATCGCTTCATTTACTCCAAATACACAACAAGTTATTAATCTTTCTATTGGATTTACAAAGGAAGATATTACATACTTATCTGCAAATGGAGCAGATTTAATCATAAATGGATATACAGTTCCTCCACAAACTGAATTGATTAAAGTCGGACAGGATCAAGACTAATTTTGATATTTGTATTAGAGTTAATAAAAATAGAACAAGTTACATTTCAATCTTTTTTTTGATTTCAAATTTCAAATTTTATTTTTGTTTAATTGATAGTTTTCGTAGAGTAAATTCACAACAGAAATACACAAACAACATCAATTTCATAAATACTATTAAGGTTTGTTTCCAAATAAATATATATTTGTGTTTAGAAATAAAAATGCCATTTTCATAATAATTATTTTAGCTGTAGTGAAGCCACTGAACAAGCTTCTTGGAGAAGAAGTAGATGATGTATCCTGGGACAACAAGGTAGAAAACTGTAGCCTTTGACCACCAAATTGCTAAGATCTGAACGAACATTGAAACGCCGAGGAGGTCGATTAAGATAGCATGTCTGCCCTTAAGATCGCCTTGTGTAACGTATTTTTTGCTGTTTCCTTCAACAACAGATTGGACTCTGATAGCGCGCTTGATAGCGATGACGCATCCAAAGGCGACAATTGTGGCAAATCCGAATGTTTTGATGTTCTGCTTTGCTGGATTATTTCTTCTTAAGTAAAAGATGCAAAACATTGAAATAATTGTAACAACAGAGGCAATGGCAGCCCAAATCCCGAAGATTTTTTCATTTGTTCTAATTCGGTTCATCATAGATTGATTCGCCATTTTTTTTATCTGTCACTTTTTATATAAAAAATCAGAATTACAAATAACATTTCAGAATCGATTAACAAAAAAATTAAATATTACTACTTTGGCGGAACAATTTTTATGAGATTTGATCGATTTGTGATGAAATTAATCGATTTTATCGTTCCTTCATTTTATTACAGAATTTCTCAAGATATAAGGCTCAGAGACAAAATTCCAAATCCGTTGCCATCTGAAAAAAAGCCAAAAAAGTCTACAATCAGACTGGATACAGAAAAATGTATAATGCTCACTGATAAAATTAAATCGTTAATAGTTAACTCATCAGCAAACTTAAATACGCTTCAATTGGGTTTAGATGACCTACTTGATAAAGTTGTCAAGGCAGCAAAGGTTCAAAAACGAATGACCCAGTATTTTTCGAAATTAAGTATCCCAATGGAAATCAAGCTTAGTATTCTCACGCAAATTACAGAATTTGGATGCAATACCCCTCAATTCATTGTTGAGAATGCCAAGTCTTTTCAAGATAAAATTATTACAGATTTCCACCTTCAAATTTATACAACATTATAAAAATTTATGAATAAAAACTTGATATAAAATAACATTTTTATTTTTGAGGATGTTTTATTGTCGTCTGGAAAAAGTGACAAAATTATTATTGTCGTCTAAAAAGGTGACAAATTATTATTGTCGTCTGGAAAAGTGACAAAATTATCATTGTCGTCTAAAAAATAGATTTTTCAAGCATGTTTCGGTACCTAAATAAAGGAAGAACATCAATTCCATCTATGTATATAGTATGCAAACACGCATGATATATGGAGTAGCTCTTTATCTGGCTAAAAATCCTATTATTTGAAAATTCGCATTGTCGTCTAAAACCGCCAGACGACAATAATAATACCCCTTTATTTTTACTAAGAACAAAAAAGTTTTTGATAATAAATTTATTTTATTTCGAAAAAGTAGCAATAATCGTAAAAGGGTATTGATAGGCTTGCTAAAGTAACTAATTTTCGCTGTCAAATACTTTTGTATTTTGAAGTAAATTAGTATAAATTTGTTTTTACTTTTATTTCGAAAAAGTAACAATAATCGTAAAAGGGTATTGATAGGCTTGCTAAAGTAACTAATTTTCGCTGTCAAATACTTTTGTATTTTGAAGTAAATTAGTATAAATTTGTTTTTACTTTTATTTCGAAAAAGTAACAATAATCGTAAAAGGGTATTGATAGGCTTGCTAAAGTAACTAATTTTCGCTGTCAAATACTTTTGTATTTTGAAGTAAATTAGTATAAATTTGTTTTTACTTTTATTTCGAAAAAGTAGCAATAATCGTAAAAGGGTATTGATAGGCTTGCTAAAGTAACTAATTTTCGCTGTCAAATACTTTTGTATTTTGAAGTAAATTAGTATAAATTTGTTTTTACTTTTATTTCGAAAAAGTAACAATAATCGTAAAAGGGTATTGATAGGCTTGCTAAAGTAACTAATTTTCGCTGTCAAATACTTTTGTATTTTGAAGTAAATTAGTATAAATTTGATATTATTTTAACTCCCTTTGAAAACCTCAATTTTCCATACAGAGGGAACGGGAATAGCATCCAATATTCCCTGAGAATGGTTGCGCATTCTCAGTTCCCTCTATATTTCGAACGAAGCTCTCATCGGTCTTTTTTTTTAATACTAAACGTTTTTTTTCCCTGTCACTTTTAGCTAAAATTTGGGTTTGCCATGTTATTTGTGAGAGCTAAATTTTCATCTCTTTCAGCGGCTGTCCATCTTTCTTGGTTTGATATCCATTGATTTTGTATGTATTTTGAAAATTCTGGGAATTTTTCGGCTATTTCCAGAATTTTTTTGAACGTTGGTTCAATCCATTCTTTCTTGCCATTTCTGCCGTATGCAAGATAGTTCATTTTTGTATCTAATATCAATTTGTCTGAACTCTCAAATGCATAATCTTTCAAATTTTTTCTGAACGCCCTCATTACATGAACTGCACACCAATGAAGGATAACTTCTGGAAAAGAGTTGATAATCGCATTTTCGATTTCTTGTGCACAATCTGACATAAAATATTTTGGTTTTACTTTTGCCCAGTTAAAAAATGCCTTGAGACAGAATGCAATATTTTCTGAAGTGTTTGGATAAACGACAAATTGAAAAATTGGGAATGCATGTGTATTTGGAAATTTGGCTGATATCATGTAAAACAACATTTTAAATTCAAGTAATGAATGGGTTGCATCAATAAAATGCCCTTTCACAATTTTGATTATGTCCAGAAATTTGAAAGAAGCATAATAAAAGATTAATTTCTTTGGTTTGTTGTAATTATCGACATCGAAATAAATTAAATCTTTTGGTGACTCTTGTTCTTTGATACCCTTAAATAATTGAGTTGACTTGAATTGATTATCATCGTACTTTTGAATACCTTTGATCTTTTTATTTCCTTTTTCCTGAATTGTTTTCATTTGATCTGAAGATGCATTCAAAAAAGATGGCCTGTTAAGTGGATCATCCAGATCAAGTTTTTTGTCGCATTCAATTTGAGCCATTTTCGGATCACCCCCCTGTTTATAAAATTAATAAGTACCGACGATAGCATTGTGATATGTGTGGTATTTCTTTGTCTCATCTTTGATTTGATTGTGATTATGTGTTCCATTATATTCTGTTAGGATATATTCTTCATCATCCTTTAGAAATGAGATACATGCTTCACATTTATCTGCACTGCACCTGAATTTTAATTTTGTTCCCCCTAAATTTGGATTTTTTTTAATTGATATGGACAACCTGCATGGCATTCGTTATCAATGACAGCTTTCATAGCATCTATATAAGATAGCCTTTCTTTAAGTTCGCATGGTGCATCGATATGCATCAAAAAAATGAAATGAAATTTCAATATCAAAAAAAGCACAAAATTTGAAAAAATTCACAAATCTCGGTTTCTGAAAGAAAATGGCCTCTTAAACTTTGTGCATATATTCATCTATAAGACACATTGTATCCATATATTATTTAGCCAACACAACTTATCTGGTATCGAGAAAATTCAAAAAAAGCACAAAATTTGAAAATTGCTCGGTTCTACATTCAAAATAAATTTCATTAATTTTTACGTACATATTAAGGTACTTATCTTCTACATATATAATCTTCATTAGATATATACATGATAAATAAAATTCATAAAACATTAAAAATCAAAATATTAGATGAACCTTGGCAATTAAACTTTATTAAATAATAGTTGTTTATAAATTATATTATATTATCATTTAATATTATTTTGATAATGAAGATTTTATTTTGCAATAATATAAACGAAATTTTTTACCTTATGAACATTTGATGAAAATATGCAAATTTAAAATAATAAAGAAAGCCGCGAGCGAAGCGATCGGCTTAGTTCGAAGATTTTGATTCAAATCTTTGCTGATCTGTAATTCGCGGAAGCCGCGAGCGAAGCGATCGGCTTAGGTCTAAGATTTTGATTCAAATCTTTGCTTATATTCCTTAAATTCTTTATGAAACTCGCAACAGTTCCATAAAAAATTTTAAATTCTAAACTGTCGAAATTACCGATCGGTAATCACACCCTTCACGGGTGTGTCACTTTTACAGGTGTGTCACTTTTAGCTAAAATTACCCCTACTCATAATTTTCCAAATTTTCTTATTTGAATTTGATGATTCTGATTGAGTTTTACTAACCACTATTGTTTCTGTTCAATAAAAACTTATTTATGCCTATAGATTTCTAACAATTTGGTCTATAAATGATGTAATTTCAAATTCAAACATTGAATAGAATTGTTATTGAATGAGTGATCAACTAATTATTCCTATATCATTCAAATAGCATATCAAATTATTTTTCAAATTGTATTCTTTACATTGACGGTCAATTGATTAAAAATCTACAATTTCTATGATATGCACATACTGATTTTAACATAATTTTCAACAAGATTGTTATTTTCTTGTCAGGAACGACAAGAAGCTATTCGACTTAGACGGAAAATAAAAATTTTGAATAAAAGATATATTTCATGACTCATTGTGATATAGATATTATATTCATTATTTAATTGAAACTTAATTATTGGATGAATACGTTTTTACGATAAGTGCCAGAACCTTAAAGTGAATAATATAACTTTTTTATGAAAATTTGTTTTAATTTTAGTTATATAGCATATGAAAATCCTCACTTTTTGCCACTTATCGTAGACAATTGAGAAGTTTACAATACTTAAATTTTTAAGGATAATAACTCACCCTCTTGATGATGAAGTTTTTCAATTTATGAAAGAACATTAAGAAAAAAAATTGAGTGAAGAAATATTTATCGTGATTTCCTAGAACATTATAAGATTCTAGGCACCAATGGTTTGGGAAAATACAATTTTATACCTATGTAGATATTATCCTGCTTAAAAATTTAAGAATAATCATATTTTTGAGATTTCCAAATTATATATTATTTTTCAGAATGGAGTTAGAACATAGAATTCATAACTTAAGCTCCTTATACGAATCTAAGAATATGTGTACAAATAGCTTATTTGCATTCATGCCCGTAAGAGTCGAATAGCTTCTGAACGAAAAAAACGTATTTTTTCTTAGATGAGCGAACTCCGGAATTCTCTTGGAACTCGTTCACCAAGAATTACTACACCACAGCTAAATCAGACAAAAAACAAGTCAGTGACAACACTGAAAGTAAAAAACATGCCTAATGCACGTCTTTTTGTTGATAAGAAAGAAGGTATTAGAACAATGCGTCTTAGAGAACTCGAAGCTGCTCAAGAACGCGAGGAAAAGGAACGCCTCGAAAGAGAAGCCGATAAAGAACCAAATGTTTTTACAATTTTGAAAGAAAGACGTGAAGAAGAAGAGAATTGCTTGGATTTCCTTGATGTAAACAGGCGCATATTACGTCAAAGGAACTCAGATCTCGTTGACGATCGTCTAAACGCTGATTATCAGCATTATTTATACAAATATATTCGTTATCAGGCAGAAAACGAAACAACGCTCAAAGCAGAGCTCAAAGAGGCTTATTCCAACAAGCAAAAGTTTTCAGACAACAGATCTCATCGCAACGACCAATATCTCGAACAAAGGAAGAAAGATTACGCTATTTCTCAGAAACGTGTTCAAATGCTTATCCAAAAGTTACGCGATGAGTACAGAAACAACGTGAACAACGCATTAAGTACAATAGAAGCTATTTCTCAAGAATCAAACAATACATCAATGGATATGATCAATACAATGAGCCAAAACATTACCAATGGTCTTGTTTCATCAGCTCTCGCATTACAGAAAGTTGCTGATGTCATTAATTTCGTTCCTTTCTTCTACAATGAGTTAATTCCTCATTTCCAAGCGAATGGCTTAGTTTTTGATATCAACAACCAACAGATACCACAATTCCATGTTACAAACTACATGAAATCCCTTCCTAACGAGACAAACAAGGTCTTTACAACGATTCTTGAAACATTTCAACCGGAATCGATGACTCCGAAGATTCTTTCGAGACAATGCCGCGCGATATGTGTTGTTACGAAGCCCCTCGTCTTCTCCGATGAGCAGAAAGCCAAAATTGCTGAAACATTAGGTTGGAATTATTATAATGTAGAGAATTTCAACAATGCTGCCGAAGAAATATTCACTCTTCTTTCTACGACAACAGAAGATGCCTTAATCTTCGGTTTCCCGCGTACTCCAAGCGAAGCACAAGATTTGTTTAATATGTTCAACCCACAGACCGACAAAGAAGTCAAATCTCATCTCCTACCACGTCCTGTGTCCTCCGAAATCACCCCATTCGACAAAATCATCGAATTAGACGTCAGCGACAGAATTATTGTCGAAGATGTCTATTCCAGCTTAGTCAATCCTGAGGGACAAACATACGATGTGAGGACCTTGGACATCCAGGATGAGAACCAATTGACTCAACTCCGATCAAGTCCAGATGAGAATCTCGATATTCCACAGTTCCCAATGAGAAGTGTCACAATGAAGACCAATTTCGATCTTTTACGCGAAGAATATGCAAAACAGTACGAAACAATTGAATTACATAACAGAGAAATAACTGATGATCTTATTAACCAGTTAGCATCAGTTACAGAGAAGATAGAGATGCCACAAGAGCCACAGTATCCACCAAACATCTTAATAGATAATTTAAGCTCACAAATTGCTAATTTCTCCCCTGAATTGAAAGAATTTTTCGTAAATCAGTGGAAAGGCATCGAAGAAAGGTACGAATCTGCAATCTCAAGAGTATTCAGCCTCGTAAACCAATTACATGTCAGAATGGTCGATCATCTTACGAAGGCAAGATCCGAAATGCTGAGTTACCTGTTCAGACCGGGCAACAGCCAGCAGCATGTAATCGAGTTCCAGCAATGGCACTGCACGCAAGTTGAGCGAGGAATGAGAAGAATGAGTAAAGTGAAAGATGAGTGCAATCTTCGGTTGAATTCGTTGAGAGAACAATTAATCTCAATAGAGAATGACCGTAAGAGTGAAGAAGAGTACAAACAGAAGGATTTAATGAACTCATCATTTAGAACTACACTTTTCGAGACAATTTCGAACGCTTACACCATGCTTGCGCAAGCAGAAATTGATAGATGGACATCCTGCCATAACATGATAATGGATATCAACCAAATCATTGTAAATTTGGATCTTGCCGTTCCATTACCAAGAAAGAAACTTCCGTTGATCGTTGATTCTAAGACAGATAAGAGGAAGAGTGCCAAGAAGCCAGCTAGAACTACTCCACTCTCAAAGAGCCGCTTAGAAAACAAATTACCTCCATTTGAAACTCCGATCACAGAAAATATTGACACTTTTAAGAAATTTGTTTCTGACGCGAGCTGCATTTACATTCCATCTACTGCTCCTTTGTCAACACGTGCAAAGAAGCCGGTAAAAGACAAGAATCCTCTTGCACCTCATAAAATCAACGCAATTGACGAAGTCCAGAATTGTTTGAGAGATGATGATTCATTTATTGTTTCTCAACTTGACAGAATCAATGCCATGTGTTTGGATGAAATACAAGCCATTCAACAGGCATTCGACAGCTATGTTGAAGATTCAAGTAATTGGATTTCTTCTCATTACGAAAAGAGAAAGGCAATTGCTGATACAGCTGTTGCATTCATGTTCCAGAAAGTTAATGACGAACAACAGTTGAATCAACTCATTTTGTTCAGTGATGAAAACTGTGTAATTGATTACAGCCAGTTGTTGAGTCCAAATGAGGAATCTCCGAAGATTCCTGCTGCATTTCCTGAAGATGCAATCAAGGAAGCATCTGATGGACACGCTGAGAACTTGTATCAGATAATTGCTACTTGCGATGAACAACAAACAGTATCTAATTAATTTTTATTATATTTTTATTTTGTTTCAGATGTAAAAAAAAGATTTTGTTTTTCTAAACAAAGCATTTTTTAAACAATGATAATAGTAAAAAAATTCTCATGTGTATGTTAATGTTATATCATAATTCATGAGAATAAGATATTTTATAATTTTCCAAAATCTTGTCTTTGTAGTATTTCCAATTGAGGCATACCATATGATACAATTTTGAAATGACAGACATAAATAATATGATGTCTTGATCGAAATTATTGAATGATTTGGATTTTATTTGCTTTGCTTTGAACGCACACTATGATATTAGTTTAGCCTATGCATACATATTAATGTTTCATGTCCTTTGGTTGCGCATTATAATTTCTAGGTTGATTTGATTGCTTTTTTATTTTTCTCCGTTTTATTTTTTTTCATGCTTCCAAGATGGCTTTCTGATAAAACAAACGAAATTTCAAAATCAGGAACTCTTGTAGTTTCAAACTGTTATTCGTTTGATGTGACTGCATTTAGATTACCAATGTTTTCTATCTATTTAAGCCAAATCAAAACAATAGATTTAAGCGGAACTTGCATTTTCAGCTTAGATGGGTTTCCAAAAATGCGCTCTTTATCTACATTCATTGCAAACAATTCACAAATTTCTTCGTTTAAAAATTTTTCAATTCTAAGAGGTATATCATCGATATATCTTAAAAATACGCCTGTGTCAGCATCGAAAAATTACGGATTATGCGTTAGCATAATGCTTCTCCCCGAATTACGTTCAATGGATGGAAAAGTCATTGCAGATAGAAATAAAGCTAAAGCGTCATCGATAGATCCACATGTTAGCTTACTGCTTGATAAAGGTTGGGATATGCCTTATCCTATTCCAAGTATTATGACAATCATGAATGAATGCGAAAAATATGGAATTCCATTTGACGAGAAAGATGAAGAAGGACAATATAATACCTATAGCGATGATGAATTTGATGTCTCTCAAAATGAATCAAACTCTTCTGATCATATTGTTCATGTATCTGAAAATGACAAGAAACTGGCAAGAGGCCTTGCTGAAATATTCAATAGCTATGGCGAAAATATAAATCCTAGTGATTATAACACATTATACCAGCGCCTTGCTGACATTGTTTTACAAATGTAAGCAATCTGTACTTTCCTTTTATTGTTTGTATTAAAGATAATCTTTTGATTATTTATACGATATTTTTACCATGCTAAGATTCTAAGATGAAAAAAATGTAAATTATTAATAGATTAAAAGGCAATGCATAATGTATATCACAAGATAGCTCAGGATAGTTTAAGATGGTAATCCTTATGCAACCTCTGCCCTTATTGCCAATACCATACGCGTTCGGCGAGTGGTAGAGAGGCATTGTTGTGTTTCCTTTATGCATCGATGGCTGCAAAAAAGATATGCCAGAGTAATGGATTGAGCTGTTATTAGGATTAGGATCTTCATTTTCAGAGCTATTTAGAGCAATGCATCCATCATAGCCTGATATAAATGAGCTTCCTCCACCTCCAGATCCTGAGTATTCCAACGAAGCTCCACTCCAATACCCATTCCCTGCAATACCTCCGTTATTAGACATGTCAGCATTTAAAGAAATTCCAAAAGCTCCATCAAAACCCTTTTGGGAAGGAGCAAAAATAAAGTTGTTTCTCTTTGATGCAATTCCGCCTCGAAGTTGAGTTCCTCCAGTAGAAATTATCTCAGGGCAAATAGTCCCATTATTAAAACAATCTGATTGCCCTGCCCCACCTTCAAGTCCTCCTCCATTTCCACCTATAGACCCTGGCCATTCTGTGCTTCCTCCACCACCAGCCACCATAATTCTGGATCGAAGAGAAAACGCATCAAACCATTCAAAATTTGAACTGACATTCAATCTAATATCGGTCGATGCACCAGCATGTATTCCTAATTTTGGGCTGTACCTTATTGAATTAAATAGTGCTGCTGATCCAACGAAGAGGTAAAGAGTCTGGCTCTCATTAATAGTTAAAATTCCGGATGAATAGCCTCCTAAGCCAGGAGAATTGTACTGTGATTTTCCTGCTGATCCCCAGGCTTCAAACTTGTATATTCCTTTAGATAAATGAGCAGTATATGAAGTGCAATCCCCAGACGAATCATTGCATGGATATCCAAAGACATATTGATTCCTGCGGATAGTGACATTTAGTTTTCCATACCGCTCATTAGATAACTTGTAATGGATCAGATTTGAATTATTTACTGGTTATGTCACATTCATAAGAAATATTCTCCATTTATATCTGTGAAATGGAAAATCTTTAGATAATTTTAGAATATTTTTTAATAATTTTCCCTATAACCTTATTTAGTAATAAAATAATCTCATGCGCATTCAGTATGTATCAAAAACTTACGAATTCTGCAAAATTCTGAGAAATTTTAATATAAAAATTTCAATTTAGAGAAATAAAGTATGTTGAAAGAATAGTACATTGTTTTTTCAATAGAAAATAGTTTTACATAATGAAATACCATTCGAATTTTTATATATAAAAAAATAAGAAAAAATAATTTTGCAAACAATAAAAAGAAGGCGATTAAAAGTTGAACTGAAACTGGAAACCACCACCACCACCTTGTTGGAAGAAGATTTTTCTTCCTCCGCCTCCTCCACCCTGGAAGAAGTTAAATCCGTTGAACAAGTCGTTCAAATCGATTTCTGTCTGCATTCCATTGCCTTGGTTATATTCAGGATGTTCAGGATCAACTCCGTTATCATACATCTGCTTCTTCTGTGGATCAGATAAAATATCGTAAGCAACGTTGATCTTTTTCATCATTTGCTCGGCGTCTTTCTTCTCTTCTTCACCACGATGTCTGTCTGGATGCCATTTGATCGTAGCCTTTCTAAATGCGGTCTTGATTTCGCTTTGTGTTGCAGAACGTGGGACTCCGAGGATCTTGTAGTAGTCGACCATCGTGGCCTCTCTCTTCTTCTGCTGGGCTTTGTTCAATCCGTCGTTCGCGCGCTTCAAATTTCGGTTTTTACGAAGAGCGGATTGGAAATCGTAGATGGCGGCATCAAATTCACCATTCTCTAGAAGTAGTTCACCACGTTCGATCTCGAAATCGGCGCAATTCGAGTAATTTGCGATGGCTTCGTTGAGGAAAGCCATTGTAGCGTTTTTATCTTCTGATTTACGAATAAGCTGTAATTTGATGAGGTTGAGATTCATGATAATCTCTGATTGGCCGCTGCAATACTGATATGCGAGATCATAAAGTTTAGAAAGTTGTTTTTCGACTTCTGGAACATCTGGACCTTGTAATGCGCGCTTTGCTGCGATGTAAGCATGAGTCATTTCTCGAACATGGCCTTTTGCAGCACGATATTCCTTTGGAGCTCCTTTTGTCTTCATTGAGTCAGCGAAATGCTTTGAGGCTTCATCAAGGTTGGCATTGCATGTTGCAACGATACCGAGATGGTAATGTAATTCCATATCGTTTGGAAAAGCCTTTGGAAGATCTTTTGCAACTTCATTGAAGCGCTTGTAATCATTGAGATCCCAAGCAAGCTTAGCTCTCTCAAGTTTTAAGACATTGGAGCTGATGCAAACTTCTAAAACTTTATCGAGGTATCTAGCGGCATCTTGGAGCTTCTTATACTTAAGATGGTTTTGATATTCTTGGTAATATTGATACATCGTACTAACATCTCTCTGAACACGCTGGTTTTGAGAATTACGAGCATCATCAGAAGCATCCTTGAAATTTCCAAGTTGCAAGTTAGCACGGGCTCTAATTTGATAGCATAATAACTTTTCGTCGCCTGTAATCTTCCTATTGCCAATAACGAAGGTGGCTTCTTTTTTAGATTCTTCTGACATTCCCATATGCAAAGCGCATTGAGCTCTCAGGCGAATTGCTTTTGGATCTGCAGCTTTGTAGTTGTCACCAATTAATTTGCCGGCAGCTTCATAAGCATCCCAATATTTATTAAAGTGCATAAGTTTTTCAATGTTGCCAATTGGAGTATCTGGAAACTTCTGGAAGCCTCCGATGTCAATTCCATTGATTGTAAAGAAGCAAATCAAGTAATACATTAAAACAAACATGCGGCCAAATTATTTGATTTGAAAAAAATTTGACACAACAAAAATCAGAATAAAGACATCAAAATTTCGGATTTATTGATTTTCAGAAACTCGGAGTTCAAAATTTTTCTAAGCAAGTTTAGTCCATAATCCAAAATTATATCCGCAGAATTCTGAAAAATTGAAAGGATTCTATCATAAACACGTATAAATTATAAAATGACTCGAAATAGAGAATTATGGACAATAGAGACCAGGGCATCCTTTTCGACTTAAAACATATAATTCCATCATACCTTTATTGATAATTCACATTTTAATACTTCATTCATTTTGTGATGAGACCTAGAATAAAAACAAACTATTAAATTATTTAAAATTTCTACAAATAAGGGTTTCGTTTTGCTAAAATTGTCACTTTTATAGCATATTTGTTTTTGGATGTTTTGCGAAACCAAAAAAAAAACTATGATATACAATGTGTGTGTAAAGAAAATACTTTATTTACTAGTTAAAAAATCATTTGGTATTGATCAAGTTATTTTTTCTGGATAAGATATTATATGGATAATTGGATAGAAAATACAATTATATAATCTTGTACCTGGTTTAATTAAGCTAATTGTCATCAGAAACTTGTAATTTTTATGAATTTCAGATTTTCTTTTCATTACTGCTTTTCTTAATAGGTCAAGTTCTTATTTACGTTATAAAGTATGATATTTACAAATATCAAGTTATCATGTTTTTTGAGAAATTATGAGAAACAAACAAAAATGAAAAAGATAGGAATAGCAATGAATAGTGATGTGGGTATAGAAAATGTAAGAGATATGAATGCAAAGCAATCAGTATTTAGGATATTGACCATAGATTTCGAAAAAAAAATGCTGCATATTGAGCGAAAACTATGATTATATTATAAGGCTGTCATTTAAAGCATAATGAAACTATTCCCTTTTCATTTTAATCGAATAAGATAGTAAAGATTTTTGAATTAGCTAGAAACTGATGAGATGTTTTCACAAATCAGATTTTTAATCTCTATAATGCATAATTCACTCAATATCTCAATTTTGATATTGCGAGATATTTTTGCTATCGGTTTCGCAATTTTGACACAATAGCAAGAGGGTTCTATAAGCATTATTATCAACGTAGAATCTGAATATCATATCAGAAAATGTCGCAAATCTGACATTTACCCGACCAAATAGCAAAAATAATTGAATACTTTTCGCAAAAACTTTAAAAATCGATAAAAATACGAAATATAGATATTAAAGAGACTTTTTATATAATATTCATAAAGATTTTCCAATAATATGATACCGCAAAATTAAAAAAGTGACGTCTTGAGTGGAGTCAAAGGTCGAAATTGCTAGCTAAATGTTTTTTTAGCGAAATTGCGTATTGTACGTTTTTTTCGCAAAACGAAACCCTTACTACAAAAAGTAGAAATACTGAGAGATACATGAAAATAGAATAAAATTGATAATTTTTTAATAAGAGTGTAGTATTGCATGCAGAACTATCTAAATCTGAAGAACTACAATATTTGAAGAAGCACCCTATTGCTCTGCACATTCAATTTAAAGGACGTCCCGAATTCTATGAAATATTATCAATGTAATATATTAGATAGTTTATTAATTTTACCAAAATCCAAGCAAATGAGTAAAAAGAACTAAACCAATAGAAAATTTTCGAGAATATCCATCCATAACTAAAATTTGATCAACATATTTGAAATTTAGATACTTATGATCTGAAACTTTTTGATCATCATCAATTGCAAATAATTCAATAGAATGATTTCCAAATTGTAATGGAACCAAATTAATTCTTTCTGAGAAATTCATTGTGATATTACTATAAATATTAATATTTGTCAAATCAATAAATGAATTTTGATCTAATTTGTATTTTATGGTTAATCTTCCTGTTTCGTCATCATCTTGAACTATTCCATTCAATGTAAGATGTTTACTGACCTTTTTAATATATGTCTGATTGTCTTTATTTGTAATATCAATAATTGGAGAACTATAGCAATACTCAAAAGTTTTCCGAATACATGATGATGATTTATTGTTTTCATCAGTTGCAATTATTGATACAAAATGAAATGATTCATTAAGTTTACATGGAAATTGTAAATCAATATTAAATGGATGTTCTTCTATATTAACAATATCAATTATAGTTTGTTTGATATCAATGTCATCTATAAAACATTTAACAGTGACTTTTCCAAGTCCATCTTTGTCAATAACAGTTCCTTCAACATGAAGAGTTTTGTTGATACCTCGTCTATATGGACCATTATCAAAGAAATTAATTGCCAATTCTGGTGAATTAAATTTATACAAAAAGATGAGTTCTTCTAAATTAGATATTTTATTATGTTCATCATAGCACCAAATTTGAATATTGTGATGACTTTCTGAAAGTCCTGATGGGAAATAAAATTTTTCTGAGAAATAGTATTCTTCATTTGAATTTATTTCTTTTGTTGTTAATAAATTTTGATCTTTTGAATCAAGTTTATACATTATAGAAATAGGACCTGTACAATCTAAATCTTTTATCGAAAAATCAATAGTGATGTATTTATCAGTTGTTCGATAGAATGTGTTAAAATTAGGAGATGTAACACTAATACTTGGTGAATTAAAGAGAAATTCAAATGTTTTTGTGTATTTTCTTGATGATTTTCCAAAACTGTCAACAATCCAAATATAAATAGTATGACTACTTTCTGATGTAAATGTATCAAAGAATTCTGATGTTGAAATATCAAATGAAAATCTGTCTTCGTTTATTGTTACTGAATCAATTTTTTGTGATTGCATGTTATCTATCATATAGAAAAAGTCAATTTGTGTTGCACCATTATCATTAGAGAATGTTCCTGAAACAGAGATAAATGTGTCAACTTTATTGTAATAAGAAGATAGAGGTTCTTTTGTAACAATTATTGATGGACCACTTAATATATATGAGAATTTGATTGTTATTTCATTAGATTTCTTATTTTGTTCATCGATACAATAAAGTTTGATATTGTGTGTACCTTCAAAAAAGTTTGTTGGAAAATCAATTTTGTTTGCAAAATTTTGTTTTGATGTTGATGAAATTGTTAATGATGTTAACTGTTTTTCGTTTGTATTGTCAAGATTATAATAAATTGTAACTGTTCCACTGCCATCTAAATCTTCAACTTGTCCTTCAATCAATATGAATGTGTTTGTATTCTTTCGAAGTTGTTGATTGTCTGGTGTTGTGATATATAATGTTGGTTTGTGTGAAATGTATGTGAATTCAATATTAACTTCATTAGATCGTTCTGAACTTTCATCAATAACATAAAAAATAATATTATGTGTACCTTCATTAATATTTCGTGAAATAGGAATATAAATGTCAATCGATGTTGGTGATGAACTGATAATGAATGTGTTTTGATATTTGATTGCATTAGAACTATCAATAATATAATATAATGAAAATGCGCCTGTATGATCTAAATCAACAACTTGACCTTCAACATGAAAACTGATATCATTTGGACATTTATATATTTCTTGTTTATTTTGTGTTGTAATAGTTAATGTTGGTTTATTTGTTATATAAGTAAATCTAAATATTTGATATTCAGAATTTTTCTGCTCATTGTCTGTAGCCCATAAATATAGTTCATGTTTTCCTGCAGTAAGTGTTAAAGGGATTTCTAAACTTTCTTCAAATTCTTTACGAGTTGATATAGAATATGAATTCAATTGATCATTTCTAGCATCATTATCAAATTTATAATAAATAGTAATTGAACTGTCTCCATCATAATCTGTTACACTAGGGATGCGACGGTTTTACGCCATGACCGTTTAAAAATAGAATAATACGCCATTTTTGGGGCCGAATGGCGGCTACTTCGTACCCGCCATTCGGCCGAATAACAAAACAATACAAAATTATCGCCGTCCCTTTTTTTCTTTTTTTTTTCTCTCTCTTTCTTTTCTCTTTCCTCTTTTTACTCCTCTTTCTCTTTTCATCATTAAACGTAGAAAGATATATTAATATTATTTTAAAATTAAAAAAAAAAATAAATAAAGTATAATAAGTAATTATTTCGTTATCGATATATATATGTAAAGTGATAATCTGAGGATAATCTGAGGAGGAGTCTGAGGATTAGACCGAGGAGTAGTTTGAGGATAATCTGAGGAGGAGTCTGAGGATTAGACTGAGGAGTAGTTTGAGGATAATCTGAGGAGTAGTTTCAGGAGTAGTCTGAGGACTAGTCTCAGGACTAGTCTGATGAGGAGGACTCTAAGGAGTAGTCTGAAGAGTAGTCTCAGGAGGAAGATCTGAGGAGGAGTCTTATGAGGAAGATCTGAGGAGTAGTCTGATGAGGAGGGGTCTAAGGAGTAGTCTGAGGATGATGAGTAATCTGATAAGGAGTAGTCTGAGGATGATCTGAGGATAACCTGATGACTAGTCTAGGAGTGGTCTAATAAAAATGTAAAATATTTTCAAAGAAAAAATTCTATGAATTTTATATTTTAATTCTTAGCATTATACTGAATAAAATAAACATAAATATCAAAATTTGAAATTGAACACGCCAAAAAATTGATAATCCACATTCAATATTTTGTAAGTGGCGTACTTTTTGAATACTCGCCATACGCCTTGGAGTTCTCAATTTTGAATTCGCCTTTATTTGGGCGACCTCAGAAAAATACGCCATTAAGAAAATATTGTATGAGATTTTAAATTTGAACACGCTCTACCTTAAGGAATTAAATTTATTAAGATATATTTATATATAATAAACGATTACTTAAAAAAAGTATTTCATCGCTTATGTAAGTTTCAAAAAAATCACGAAAATAAAAAAATCAAGATTAAAATTTTATTTTTAATTTTTGAATTTCTCAAATGGCGAAATTTTTGGGCGAACAAAAAAAAATGTACGCCCGGTCAAATGGCGTGTTTAACGCATCCCTAGTTACACTGCCAATAATTTTGATTGTTTTATTTATATTCTTTTTTAATTCCATATCATTTTGCAAATTATCAATATTAAGAATTGGCTTATTATGGTTGAATCTAAATGATTTATATTTAGTATCACTATTATAATCTTCATCCCTTGCGTTCAATGAAATCGAAATAGTTCCTTCACGAAGATCATTTGGAATTGTGATATATTTTTCAAATGATACAGCATTAATTGATGAAATAGAAACTGTAGTTAATGTTCGATATGTGTTATAATCAATGGAGTAAAAAATTGTTATTGTTCCTTTACAATCTTTATCTTTAACATTGCCCCAAATTTTCATGTTCATATTGAAGTTTCGTGTAAATTCACTGGGATCAATATAAAAACCAACAATTTCTGGTGCATTTGATACATATTGTGAAACTAAGAAATGATATTTTTTATTTTCTGATTTCTTTCCTTTTTCATCAATTGCCCATATTGTTATATCATATTCACGATTTGGAAAATTATTTGGAATTTGATAATTAAAATTAAATGGATATTTAGTATTTTTATCTGATACGATAATTGATGACGATGTCGCTTTAATAGGTGTTTCACTATTAAAACAATAATAGACGTTAATAGAACCAATTCCATCTAGATCACTAACTTTTCCTTCAACAAAAATTGTGTCATCCGTTGTACCTTTTAAATATGATGAACGAGGAGCTCTTGTTATTTCAATTGAAGGATTATTATAAAGATATGAAAAATTTTTTTGTAATTGTTAGAGAATTTTTATTTGCTTCATCTGTTGCCCAGATATTGATGTAATGACTGTTACTTTCTGGGAAATTTGATGGAAATTCAATAATTTTATAAACAGGATAAGATGTTGTTTGTGAAATAGTTTGTGTTTGTGCAACAGCTTGATTTTGTCCATCAAACTGATAATAAATTGTAACTGTTCCACTGCCATCTAAATCTTGAACACTTCCGGAAATAATAAATGATTGACCATCATTCTTCTTGAAAACTTGATTGTCTGATGTTGTGATAAATAGTGTTGGTGCATTGTAATTAAAAGTGAATTTGATTGTTATTTCATTAGATTTCTTATTTTGTTCATCGATACAATAAAGTTTGATATTGTGTGTACCTTCAAAAAAGTTTGTTGGAAAATCAATTTTGTTTGCAAAATTTTGTTTTGATGTTGATGAAATTGTTAATGATGTTAACTGTTTTTCGTTTGTATTGTCAAGATTATAATAAATTGTAACTGTTCCACTGCCATCTAAATCTTCAACTTGTCCTTCAATCAATATGAATGTGTTTGTATTCTTTCGAAGTTGTTGATTGTCTGGTGTTGTGATATATAATGTTGGTTTGTGTGAAATGTATGTGAATTCAATATTAACTTCATTAGATCGTTCTGAACTTTCATCAATAACATAAAAAATAATATTATGTGTACCTTCATTAATATTTCGTGAAATAGGAATATAAATGTCAATCGATGTTGGTGATGAACTGATAATGAATGTGTTTTGATATTTGATTGCATTAGAACTATCAATAATATAATATAATGAAAATGCGCCTGTATGATCTAAATCAACAACTTGACCTTCAACATGAAAACTGATATCATTTGGACATTTATATATTTCTTGTTTATTTTGTGTTGTAATAGTTAATGTTGGTTTATTTTTAACAACAATTACTTCGAAAGAAACTGAATATAACCTGTTCATCGTTCCTTCACCAATTTTAGTTACTTTCAAGTTTAAGGTATTTGATCCTGATTGTAAGTTATCAGGGAGAGTTATAGTTTTACTGAAATCTTTTTCAGCTGTTTTAGTAGCAAAAAGAAACTTGATGATATTGCCATCAGAATAATCAAGTTGGATCCTTCCATAAGAAGTATCACCGTTAAATCCGTAATTAATCACATCAGTTCCTGAAATAGTTTCATCTTTTAATGTTCCAGTTAAAGTCACTTGTTTATCAATATTTTTAGTTACAACATTTGGAGTTAGTACTAGATTTGAAAGTGTTGGAAAAGGATAGATATTGTTTCGTACCGAAATGGCTAACAAAAAAGTGACAGACAACCTTAAATTGCGCGGCAATTTTAATTAAAAAAATAAACATTAATTTTTGTGATTGATATTATGCATTTTATTTATATTATATAAGATTTAAATTTAGGGGAAAAATTGGAAAAAAAAATAAGATTGGAAGTCTTTAGGTAAGAAGGAACGGGCAAGAGATATATAGTGTACCTATATACATCTTGCCCTTTCATTCTAAGTAGAAATGGGAGAAACTTTGTCCGCATCATAAGTTATGCGGACAAAATTTCTCCGATTTCTAATGGGAATTGCAGGCTATGAGGCACTGATATATAATCAGTACCTCATAGCCTACAATTCCCCTTATTAGACTTCCAAACTTTGAGTTAATGTCAAGACATTAACTCAAAGTTTGGAAAACTTCTCGTAAGAATCAATCGTCAAAAACCTCGATTGCAGTTATATTCATTGTGTTAAATTTGATTTATTTTGAAATTTTTATAAATTAAATTTATATAACATAAAGCGTTATGAATTAGTATTTCCATATGAATTTTATCTCGAAAATAGTAATTCTGTACAGTTATATTTCAGTTAATTTTGGAAATTTCTAGGAATACTTTAAGATAGTATGATTATATATAACTCTGCCTTCATGATTTATTTTAGCTTTCGCGCAAATATCAGTTAACTTAACTCCATTATTTGATTTTGTGATGGCTTCACAAAGCCAATCAATATCAATCTCTTCTGGAGAATGTCTTCTCATCTAGAATATTTTCAATACTTTACATACAAACATTTTTATTTCTAAAAAACTTTTTAATTTTTTCTAGGATATATGAATGAAAATAGTTAGAACAAGACTTTGAAGCTCAAAACATTAAAAATTATTTGTTATAGACCGAAAATAGATTTTTTCGGTTTTCTCTTCAAATAATTGAAAGAATGATACTATTATAGGTTTATTATATTATATAGCATATAATCATGCTATAGCCGAAAATTATAAGTTTTGAGAAGATTGAATATAACACAAATAAATTTGAATGTAAGTTAAATTGCTTGTTGTTTTTAATAGGCATTTAATGAGAAATCCAATATTGCAAAATTCAAATTGAATGATTGAAAGAACAGAAAAAGTCATTCTTTTCAATTTCGAATATGTTTCATTGTATTTATAATTATATGGCAAATAAGATATTTAAACTTGATTTTTGAAGGAAAATTCACAAAATTGAATAAATTCAAATAATTTTTATTCAAAAATAAACTAGTTATTTGAGTTTAATACTAATTATCTATTCAAACTACAAAGTTTGTAATTTAAAATATTTTGTGAGATCAGATTGAATGAATTCAAGGTTCTTTTCAATTAATATTAATGACCATATTACGCATTTTCGAACATTCTAAACCAAATATATAAAAATGGGAGACGAATGTTAAATTTGCTAGACATGGGGGAGTTGTCTGCAAAGTTTTAGCTCTTATCTCTAACAAAAAATTAATTTTTAAAAAAATGACCGAATACGTTTCACAGCGAGAAAAAAATAAAAGGCAAGATAGAATTTTCTAGACATAAAGAAGTTGTTTACCGAGTTTTAGCTCTTATCTCTAACAAAAAATTAATTTTTAAAAAAATGACCGAATACGTTTCACAGCGAGAAAAAAATAAAAGGCAAGATAGAATTTTCTAGACATAAAGAAGTTGTCTACCAAGTGTCAGCTGTTACTTCTTCTCAATACTGATATATAAAATAAAAATCTTTATTATTTATTTAACCTTTATTGTTTCATTAAACTTCATTTATTTTATATTATAGTTTTATTCTTTTAGCTACTTGTAAAATAATCTAATTTTATATCATCATTTTACCGGATTATTCTTCAGTACATCGATTGTGTATCTAAAATAATATCATTATCCTTATTCTGTTTTTCCAAAATTCTTTTAAATATCTTTTTTGGTTAGATTACTTTATACTTTTTACTTTTATTTTTTAATTTCAAAAAAATTTGGTGATTGTTCTATTCTGTTACAATGTGCATTATCATATTCTAATGAATTATTCATTACATACATTTAAAAAAACTTGTTAAAAATGAAATTAAAAAATTATGTTTATTATTACGCTGTGAATGTGTCAACAGCGGTCATGCCTGTATCTGTATCCCATATTTGCCACAACCTTTCTGTATCTGCATTTGTGTATTTCGGTTTCAGCTGATACATTTGATTTGGCGTGTAATTTGTTCCAGTTAATGGATTAATTGGGAGATCTTCATGCGGTGTGTTATTATTGTACTCCCAAATAAAGGCAGGAATAGCCTGAATGCTTTGGCAGCGCTCCAATGTCGGCCAGAATCTCTCAATCTTCCCATTTTGGTAGGGAGAATGAGAGTCTGTATGCCGCCATTGGACGCCCCAAAGATCAAGTAGATCTTGAAAGGCGCCCCTATTTTCTGAACCGTTGTCGGTCCAGAAACAATAAGGGGCGCCAAATTCAATGAAGGCGGAAGCCGCAACGTTCGCTGTCGTCGCTGCTAGCATATCTGGTATTTGTATACACGCTAGGACTTTGCGGCTAAAATCGTCGATTATGCCATAAATATACTGGCCACGAACACCCCTAAAATAATGAACATCTGCGTGCCAGATAAGATTGGGTGAAAGCGCCCAATATCTTACTGCTGTTTCTGGCCCGGCATGCTCTAATCGCGTCTTGGTGAAATGATTTTCTTTGAAGTATCTGCGTACTTCTCTATAAGATACATCACTTTGTTGTAATTTCAAACGTTTCCATTGTTTTGTTTGACCAAAGGGAAAGGCCCAGTGGTCATGTATCACAGCAAGAGCTTTGATTTGGTCGTAGGGATTGACCCTACGACCTTTCTTGCCTTTAGGCAATGGGATATTCTGTAAGCTAAATTGATTTTGTAAAAAAGATTTTGAAACATCTAAATATTTGAAATCATTTGATTGAAGGGTTGGGGCGATGGGAACATGGGTGCAAGCTTCTTCCCATGTCATTTTACCTTTTTCAATCTGATTGGAAATACCAATTAGGTAAATTCGATCGACATACCCTTTGTAAGGATTCATTCTAATGAAGTACGTTAACAATCAAAATATTCTATAAGTGTCTAGTATGGAATTCAAAAGAATAAAGAAAATGGTAACGTAAATAAACGTATTATGAAATAATTTATAATTAAAATGAAAAAAAAGAAAAAATAATAAGTAAAGTGACTGGAAATGAAAATTAAAATCAGTGTAAAGTTTTATTTTTTTCTCGCTGTGAAACGTATTCGGTCTTTTTTTTAAAAATTAATTTTTTGTTAGAGATAAGAGCTAAAACTCGGTAAACAACTTCTTTATGTCTAGAAAATTCTATCTTGCCTTTTATTTTTTTCTCGCTGTGAAACGTATTCGGTCATTTTTTTAAAAATTAATTTTTTGTTAGAGATAAGAGCTAAAACTCGGTAAACAACTTCTTTATGTCTAGAAAATTCTATCTTGCCTTTTATTTTTTTCTCGTGTGAAACGTATTCGGTCATTTTTTTAAAAATTAATTTTTTGTTAGAGATAAGAGCTAAAACTTTGCAGACAACTCCCCCATGTCTAGCAAATTTAACATTCGTCTCCCATTTTTATATATTTGGTTTAGAATGTTCGAAAATAATATGGTCATTAATATTAATTGAAAAGAACCTTGAATTCATTCAATCTGATCTCACAAAATATTTTAAATTACAAACTTTGTAGTTTGAATAGATAATTAGTATTAAACTCAAATAACTAGTTTATTTTTGAATAAAAATTATTTGAATTTATTCAATTTTGTGAATTTTCCTTCAAAAATCAAGTTTAAATATCTTATTTGCCAATAATTATAAATACAATGAAACATATTCGAAAAAAAGAATGACTTTTTCTGTTCTTTCAATCATTCAATTTGAATTTTGCAATATTGGATTTCTCATTAAATGCCTATTAAAAACAACAAGCAATTTAACTTACATTCAAATTTATTTGTGTTATATTCAATCTTCTCAAAACTTATAATTTTCGGCTATAGCATGATTATATGCTATATAATATAATAAACCTATAATAGTATCATTCTTTCAATTATTTGAAGAGAAAACCGAAAAAATCTATTTTCGGTCTATAACAACATTAAAAATTATTAAAGATTTGTATAATATGATTAAAAATGGGAAATAATATGAGGCAATATAAAGGAATATGAATATTAAATAAATATATCTAAATAGAAAGAATCAGAAAAATCAAATTATTGGCGCCAAAAATATCACTTTTTTAGTGAGCCATTTCGGTATGAGATAGGAAAAGGATAGATATTAAATGTTATTTCATTAGAACAAGAACTTCGAAGACCAACAACTGCACATAAGCTAAGTTTATGTTGTCCTGCTCCCAATAAAGCTATAGGGATTGGGTAACCAGCTATATTTTTAGAATATAAAAATGATCCTCCCTCATCATTTATGTCGTGAGAACTAGAATCAAAATAGAATTTAATTAAAGCAGTCACATAAGTACTCCTAAAATCAAAGGATGCGTTTAAACAATTAGAAGAACCTTCGATAAATTTATAATTTTTTGCACGCAAGTTCGTAATCTCTAGAACTTCGTTTGTTAAAGGTGAATCTACTTTGGTACGAAGCATAGTGTTCTTTACTCTAGATAAAATAAATTAAGGATCAATTTTGGAGAAATAATAGTGAAGATCTCCAAATTCCAAAAAAATTAGCTTCTTGAATATTGATAACTTAAATGTAACACGGGTCTTAGAGAAAATTGAGAATTTATAAGGGTGTACTTTCACCCCTATGATATGGCCGTCAATTCAGGCGTTTAAGGTTGATTTTAAGGATGCTCTTACGCCCCTATGACATGGTATTCAATTCAATTGTTTAAGGTTAAATTTCAATGATGATTCACGCCAATTGTCAAAAAGTGAATTAAAGTCAGTAGTGTGTATGTGCAACCTTCAAGTGATATTATTTTCAAAAAAAAGTTTTTAGGGGGTGCTGAAAATAAATAAAAAACGAACTTTTTTTGCTTCCCAAAAATTTTATAAATGCACTCCCGATTTCATGGGAGTGCATTCAGGAACAAGATGCCAAAGGATCCCGTAGTAACAGATGTAGAAGATCCTTTGAAAGAATCTGGTTTACTCGGTCGAAATCCTAGTGCAGTCAATATTATTCGTTCAAATACTTCACAAGCTACATTAAATTCTCCACAAACAGATACAATCAAAATAACTCGTCCTAAAACAGCATTTAGGCAATTACAAAAACCAAAACAAACAACAATTGACATAGAAAAATTATTAAAAGAGCACAATATCACACCAAGACGCACAACAGAAACAACAACATCAATATTTCAAGACACTAAACCAGAAGAAGGCCCTCATGTGTTCTACGGAAAGGTTTTGCAGCCTAACGAACCACCTGCTGAGACAAACTTCTTGCAACTTTCTGAAATGATTGACAGATTGATGGATCATGGCGATATTGATGCTGAAACCATATATTATAAGATATTTGGAGATGTTGTCAGACAATATTATATCGAATGTACATTACAAGGTGATGTATTAGAGAAATGTAGAACATTCTTTTCTTCAGCGCAAAAAGAAATACCTAAAATCGAAAGAGAATACAAACAAAAAGTCACTGAAGTTGAAGATAAAATAGAAAAAGTCAATAAACTTGCAGATCAATACGGACCAGAAGTAATTAAAAACAAAGATCATAGTGAACGATTAACAATAGCAATTGCAGATAAAAGAAATGATCTACAAGTTTTAATTGATCATTATGATTCGATTGTTAAGCAAGTAGGCTTAGCTTCTAAGGAAGCTGCATCGATAAAAGAGGAAATGAATCAATTGGATAATAGAATTGCCGAGAAAAACAAACAATTAGTTGAATTAAATAATGAATTACGACAGTTAGATACTTTATCAACAAATTATACTGCGGATACCCTTAGATTTGCAGAAAATCTTAAAATGCTTAGACAGCAACAAGAAGAATCAAGAAAAGGAATACAAGACGCGAATAATGAAATGCAAGACTTCAAAAACGATATAATGGCATTAGATAGAGAAATTCTAACAGCAACAGAGACAATAGAGAAGAGTCGCGTTGTTCCCGATAAGTCTCCTATTGAAATTCAGTGTGATATTATCAGTCGAAGATTATTTGCTCCAAAGAAGATCAAAAGAATCTCACACGCAGGAGATAGACCATCAGTAGCAGGATCGACATCAAATATTGAGTTCGAAGACGATGTTTTCAAACCAATTTTGAATGCTTACAATAATGCGACCAAACAAAACTACGGACAGAAGAAAATCAATGTCCAGACATACGAAGACTTCGCAACACTTAAACATATCATCCTGAATAACGACAAGGAGTTCAGAATGGATGACGAAGACATAAAACAAGGTGAAGCAGGAGAAGTTGAAATAAAAAAGGACAATACGGACTTTTTGAGGTTATTTGCATCAAAAATCGTATCAGATGCAATATACAGAGCATGCAGAACTAAACCTGTTACTACTGCAACAACACAATCTTTACTTCCTCAACCAAAAGTTGAAACAGAAATTCAACAAAAAACGGAGCCACAAGCAAAAACAACTTTTTTGGGTTTGCTCAAAACAAACTATTCAAACAGAGCTCCAAAGCGTCTTGAATGGTTATTAACAGAGATCAGACAAATCCTCAGTGAAAAAACTGCAGAAAATGCTGATCTTATTGCTGATAAAAAACCATTGACACCTTTTCCGAAATTTGTTTTTGATTACGCGAAAAGGTTGATGAAACTGGATTATATGACTGACCAATATTGTTGGGACCTTTACATCTCTTGTCATGAACATGCGGATAGGACTCCTGAAGTTGAGTTATTCACTTGTTTCTTGGACCAAGTATTCAATGACGAACAATTGGCTTTTGCTTTACGCGCGAGGACAGATTGTATCAAAGTTGGTTGTAGCATACCAATAAAGACAAGGGACCAACTGGAAACGCTGTCAGAATACTATTTGAGCCAAGACCAGATAGAGAAAGCCCTTAAAAGATGGTGGGCTGCAAGATATCAAAACAGATTTTACATTGACATTTTGGAATTGTCAATTGCAAGACCTGCGATACATTTGGAGTCGACAAAAAGATATGTTGCAATGCAGGATATATTACAGAAGTGTATTATTGAGTATCAAAACGATGTAATTGCAAGATTGAATGAACAATTACTTCTATACAGAATAATTCCTAGATTATCAGCACAGGGATTTAATGACTTAATGTATCAGTTAATTCCTGCTTTAACTCAAAGCCAAGTTGAAGATTTCTACAGATCTACGGTTACTAAGGCCAAACAAAGAGAAGACGTCGACATCGATGGCTTCATTGAGATATTCAAAGAAGGCTGCTTGCTTTATCATCAGAACTTTAAAGAAAGCAGCAGAAAAACTCAAATGGAAGCTGATGATGTTCATGCAACTGTAGAAACTCTTTGGTTCAGAAGCCAAGCTAATATAAAGAAGATTATAGAGTTCTTTACTAACCAATTGGCTTTGCAACCAGATAATTTAACTTTGAGAACTTATTTAGATGACGCAAATAGATATATGTCAATGCTTAACCACTCATTGACAACAAGCGATGGAGTTGCAGGTGTCCAACACTATTTCTCTCTCATATTTACGTTGGATGTGATGTATAGTACAATATCATATATTGATGCTGAACTGTTTAAGCCATCTCTCATATCAGCAGAGTGTGCAATTCGCGAATCATGGCTTGATGCTTTCTTATCGTAAGAATTTTAAATTTCATAAATATTAGACTGTTTTTTATTAACTAAATTATGGATTGTTAAAGCTACTTTTTAAATGCAAATAAGAACATGCAGTCTGATCTTCAACTAACGTTGGATTATTTTATTCCATCGTAAATCAAATTATTTTTTGGAAAGAAGGTCAGGTGAGTGGGGCTTCCAGGCGCGTTGCGCCCTCTAGCCCCGAAGATGTTTAGTATAAATGAAGTTTTTATTCGGAAAATTGTTAGTCTTCTGGTGTGAATTCGGAGGACTCTTCTTGGATAGAGTCTTGTATTTCCTCCTCCTCTTCTTCCTCCTCCATTGCTTCTGGGAAGAAGCCTTCTTCTGGGTCGAAAACATTATATAATGTGTCACTTTTCACAAATTATATATGTTTTCATGTTTTGTCACTTTTCTATCACTTTTCGGGTAAAAAAATTTTTATTATTATATATAAATGAATTTTACAAAACCACCGTTACCGTTCTTTGGAAATATGAGTAGATGTAAAGATATTATATTGAGAGAACTTAAGAAACTACCGAATGGTCTAACATTTGTAGATTTGTTCGGTGGAAGTTTCTATATATCCCATTTATGTCATACAATATTCCCAGACTCAAAGATTATATGCAATGACTTCGACAACTATATGGACCGTCTCAAACATATTCCAGACACAAACAATATATTGAAAGAGTTAAAAGAAAAGATACCTATAGGTAAGATGGAACGTATACCATTAGATAAGAAAAATATTGTGAGAGAGGTTTTGAAAAAAGCAGAATATATAGACTGGGATAGTATATCTGCTAGACTATTATATAGTGGTGCTATAAGAGTTCATGACATTGAAACACTTATGTCAAAAGTTTTATATCTTAACTATACAAATGTTTTCAAAGAGGACATAGAAAAATATATTGAGGGTATAGAGTTTGTGAGATGTCATTGAACAGAGTTGTATGAAAAATATAAAGACAAGGAAAATGTTTTCTTTATAGTGGACCCGCCGTTCTATAACACATGGGATTTTCAATACCAAGTAGACTGGACTTTGAGAGACTCTTTAGAAACTTTAGACGTTATACATAACCATCCATGCTTTTACTTTACATCCGATAAAAGTGGTTTGGAAACCGTTATGAGATGGTTAGAAGACATACATGACTATGAGTTTAGATATGACAAGATAGAGTATGAGAGAGGTCCTATAAACTGGAGAAAGTGTCACAATAACGAAATTTTATTAGTAAGTAAATGTGGTTTGAAATAGGACTACTTGTTTTAGGTTTTTTCCATTGTGTCATTTATTTATTTGACGTGGCAGAAAAGTACAGAGAATATGAAGATGAACCAATGCCTGCAAATGTTCAGCATATGTACTCGTAAGAGATATTTTTATCTAATATTAAATGGACGCACAGAACTTAGCGAATGCACAGCAACCTGGACAACCAAACCCAGAGAATATTCCAAATGAAGTTAGAATACAAACTGCAATGGCAAACTATGGTCAAGTACCAACAGATGTACAAATGCAAACTGCCATGTCAAATGACGCTGCGTTAGGTTTGCCACCATGGTATGCAAATATGAGATGGAAAGAGTTTTATACAAACCCTGAAGTGGGATATAAACAACTTTATGCAGATGACGCGAACACAGGAGTTGACCCAGAATATGTTTTCTACCAGAGGAGAAACAGAATGTATGAGCTCCAGTTAAAGAATGCTATGGAACTCAACAGGAAACGTAAGAGACTAGGCGGACATTAGATTTTTACATATAGTAAAATGGGTTTCTTCAGTAAGATAGGAAACTTCTTTCGAAATGTTGGAAGAGGTATATGGAATGGAATAAAATCTGTCGGAAGAGGAGTATGGAACGGTGTCAAAAATATTGGTAAAAGAGTAGGTCAGTTTGTTGGTATTATACCTAAAGACCCTGAACCAGAAGAACAAGCTCCTGTAATACAACAGCCTGAACCTGCACCACAGTCAAATTGGCAACCACAACCGGTATATTAAAAAGTTATATTTTTATCGTTCGATAGTAGTTGTATATGAAACTAAGTTCTAAGTAAAACGCATGGTATAATGGAATTATTCTTTTTCTTCCATCTGTAGTAAACCATACTTGAAAGTCTGAAATACTTCCACTTGGTGGTTCGTATAACTTTGTAGGTTTTTCGTAAAAGTCATTTGCCAAGCATAAGAAAGAGTTTTGGGCGCCAGAAAATGAAGCATGAACAATAATAGCATCTGGGTCGAAAACATCTTTAAATAAATATGGTTCATCTCTTGCATATCGACTGTAGATATTTGCTAAAGGAGGTTCAACTTTCTGATTTAACATTCTTTGCAAATAATACCATGACATTGCAGTGAATTCTGTATATATTTGTTCGTCTTTATTTGGATTGTCTTCATAGATTTGAAATGACACTTGTGAATTTTGTTTGTCATATACAATTCTCACATAAAGTGTGCTATCGGTATTCGCATATTCATCAGCATATTTTGCATAACATGAATTTATTTTATCTTCTATATTTTTTAATGCAGTCTGTAGAGAAGATGAGAGGTCAACTTGTATTAGCTCAATTTCTTCCCACATTTTTCGTTGCCCTTCAGATGTATAATCTATATGAAACCTTACAATAAATGGAAAACTTTTATCTTCTATAGACACAAACTTTATTCTTCGAAAGCCAATAGCTTGTGTGACAGATGGGTCTCTTAACCATCTTAATGGGTAGTCAAAACGATAGCCTTCATGCTTTACGGTATCTGTCTCAAACTTTTGACCGACATTAGTAAAAAGTTCATCTAATGGTTTAGTTGTAGCAACTCTAGAATTTTCTTTTTCTATTGGAAGCATATTTTATCTATAATAAAAATGTCAAATGAAACAGCGTCTATGAGAGAAATACAACACAACCGACAACTCATTATGCAAGCTCTAAATAAGAGCACAACAAACTTTTCAAACTATTCTAAGATATCTGAGTCATTGAAAGGGGGTGACTTAAAACCGACATTAAACCCTATAACAGATGAGTTTCTATTTCAAGACAATAAGAACAATACTGTCTGTATAAATCCAACAAAAGGAACTTTAAACGAGAAACCTATAAATGAACTTCTTTTGAAAGCAGATGTTGACAACAAAGCTGACAAAGAATATGTAGACGATGCAATAGCAAAAGAAGAAGAAAGAGCTAACAATGCTTATGCAACAAAAGAACATACTCATCCTGAACTAGCAGACAAAACATATGTTGACAATAAAATGTCAAGTGAAGTGACAAGAGCTGAAAACGAATATTCTAAAAAGACTCATATACATCATATTAACCAAATACCAAGTCTTAAGGAAACATTAGAGACAAAAGCAGATAAGACTCATACACATTCTATATCTGATATTACAAACTTACAAGAAACCTTAAACAGGAAAAGTGACATTGGACATACACATACCATTGCAAATATTACAAACTTACAAGAAACCTTAAACAGGAAAAGTGACGTTGGACATACACATACCATTGCAAATATTACAAACTTACAAGAAACCTTAAACAGGAAAAGTGCCGTTGGACATACACATACATCTTCTGAAATAACAGACTTAAACGTTAGCCTTGAAAATAAAGCAGATAAAACATATGTCAATGAAATATACCAAAGTTTGATAGGAACAAAAAATATTGAAACTATTGTTGGTGACTTTTCTGTCAATGAAGAAAATAAATATTTTAGATGGCAGTTGGTACAGTCCTTAAAAAATGGTACACGGTATAAACTCACTCCGAAAAATAACAATGAAATGTATGTAAGCTATAAAAAGAATGATGGTACACAAGTTAAAGTTCCATTAGACAACAACTGCTACTTAAACTTATATGGAGACGAACAAAAGAAATATTTAGGAGTTTATGAAATGGTGGATATGATATTACCTGACCCAGCTCCGGCACCACATTATTATGACTATGGAGATGACGACAGAACACCATATGTAGATGAACAAAAGCTAACATTATATTTAGATTATTATAGATATAAAAGATATAATGCAATAGAAAAAACGAGAATAGTATATTATTATACAGATGATAGAAATAAATATTATAGTCAAGACTTTACTTACCCTGAAAACATAAGATTATATTATAAAAAATATTCTGACACAAACCAGAAGAAACCTGAAATAGTTGCACTATATTTTAAGTTCAAAAGAGACAATCCTATAATATCTCATATGTTTGATTTAATGAACCCAGTAGGTTCTATTTATACATCTATGGATGCAAGAGGTCCTCAAGTAATGTTTGGTGTTGGTGCATGGGAACAAATAGTCGACAGTTTTTTGTATTGTGCAAACTCTTCAAAGGAAACAGGTGGAAGTAAAACGATTTCAGGTGAAAATTTACCTGCACACAGTCATTACATAGATTTAAGTACATCTCAAGCAGGTTGGCATAGTCATAGATATTGGGATTGGTCAGGAATGACAAAAGGTAAAGGATATGATGTTAAAGACGACGTTAAGTTTGCTATAAATTGTTACTGGAATAACACGCAGGGAGAAGGAAACCATACACATTTCGTTTCAGGATATACGCAAACAACGGGACAAAGTAAAGAATACATGCCACCTTACATGACAGTTTACGCATGGTATAGAATTGCTTAGTCGTCATTTTCAACTTCTTTAGCATATTCGTCAGGAGTTGTCTTATATTTGTTAGGAACTGTCTTTGAAAGTATACCACCTTGAACTTTGACAAGTTTGAAACGAGGTCTGACAATAGTAGTTTTATCTTCTGCTTGCAGTGTGTACATTTTGCCATGTTTGCCTAAAACTTCATAATATTCTCTTGTATACTTTCTTCTATTTTTACGAACACGAATGTGAGTACCTGTCGAGTTCCCATTGTTGTCATAGTCAATAGTATTTTCATATGGGTCGCGTTTAGGTATTTCTATTTTTACTTTGTCACCTTTCTGAAGTTTGAAGCCCGGCATTCTTTCTTGTTTGTCTCTTTTGACTAAATTATTAAATATATAGTCTTTCTCTAAGTCAGGGTTGTTTTTCATTTCTTCGGGGGAGTGGTTTCCCAAACCTTTTTGTTTACGGTTATTGTAAATATTTAAAACTTGTCTCATCTTTGCCATGGAGAAGTGTCTATATTTGTCGTCATATGACATTTCATTTGCTTCACCACCATGTGGTTGGTTTAAGTCTCTTAACATTTTTATACATCCGTCAATGACACCAAGAGCAGAATGGTTTTGGTCGACAATGAAATATTGGTTTACATTTTTTGAACGCAGATAGTTTTTAATATCATCTGATTTGAAAGAACTTTCACAGTCAGATGTCAGTTTTGTTGGATGGTATTTGTCAACGAATATTGTCAAAGCTGCTAAGATATCTAAAATAGCTTTGGACTGTAATGGTATGGCTTCACAGTATCTTGTGTTTTGACCAACAAATATTAACCAGTATGGAGGTCCATCTGTTCTAACTCTCGGAATGTTTTCCAAGATATCCATAAACCAAGCATTTGGTGTTGAACTAAAGATTTTTATCATGAGTGCTTTCTTTGTCGCTTTAGAAACATAGGGGTCCTTGTTCGGATTCGTCATTTTTTAACCCATAAGAAATGGGTTTATTTGGCGCATTAGCAGGAGTCGCATCTAGATTTTTACCCGCAGTGGGAACAATAGCCAGAGGTGTATTTGGAGTTGGAAGGAAGATTTTGAGTACATTAGGTATACTGAAAGAGAAAGCACAACCTATTATACAAACTGTACAGAAAGGTTGGGATGTAGCACGAGATGCAACAAATCTTATTCCAAATCCTGAAACAAGAGGAAAAGTTCAAGGATGGATGGACAATGTAGGAAGACAAGCAGGAAGTTAGTATCTCTAAGTCGTGTACTGAGGCACTGCGCGCCTCCGTACACCACTTAGCGGTTTTGACACTTTACGAAACCGGTAACGTATATTTTACAACACAACCATAACACCAACTTAACCTTAAATATTTACAAAACCGTCTGACACATAAACGACTTCACTAACGACTTCACTACCGTCCTCACTAAATAAAAAATAACCTTATTTTTATTTTTTTAAATTTTTTATTTCATTACAAAGACATATCCGACTACATTTACTATGACTCTTTCCCAGAACGTTTCCGTGAACTATTCAAAACTCAAGTAAAACTGAGAAACATGCATTTTAACAAAGACAGACCCATTGACGATGAAAGAAACCCTGAATATATTACAATCCCTTATGACGCAAAGTTCATTGCATACATTCCTTATGGACGTAGAGGAACAAAAACTATTTCAACAATGACGAAAAATTATTTCTGGAGCGATGAAGAAAATTGCCTTATCTACATAAATGCATACTTAAATAAAGCTACATATTGTACAAAAGAAGGTTGGACTGGATTTGAGCTCTACATATACGACGACGATGGAAACAGACGTTGTGTATACCCATACGATAATATGTACCATTGTTTTCATCAAGCATTAAACGAATACATAGTCAGTAAGGGTCTCATTCCTGTTGAGTAGAAATGTTATATTTTTGTTCTGTCATTTATATAAAAATAAACTTAAAAATAAATGATATCACCACCCTCACACGTATGAAAACATAGCCCAAAAATAAATTTAGGGTAGAAGGGTATATCTAACTCGATTTCTAACCTCTTTTCTACCCTGTTGAATTCATTGCTTTATAACTCTCTTCCTTGGTTTCTTTTTAGTTGCTTTCTTCACGTCTGTCTCCAACTTGACTGTCTTTCTTCTTCGGCCGTAATGATACCAATTACTTCCACCAGTCAATGGGTCAAATGGTCTTTCGTAAGGGTTTCCATACATTCCATAGGGACCATACGGAAGAACTACTGGTGGAGAAGAAACATTTTCTTTAGTTCCATCGACTCTATTTAAATGCATTGTTTCACCTTTCATCTGGTCATTAAAGTCTTTTGCGTGTTTTGCAAACTCATCGTCCTTTCCTAAAGCATTTTCTGACTCAGTCGCAACCAAATTGGATGCTTTATTTATGAGCCCTATTTTATTTAATCTTAACTTCTTTGCAACCCAGCCTCCAATCTTCCCTTTATTTGCATCTAATGTCTTCGAAACCCTTCCTCCACTCATTTTATTTACTGCGTCATAAGCTCCAAGTGCTTTTGCTCAAAATGCTAATGCTTTTGTTCCCATTGCGCCTAAAGCTGCCCAAGCTACCATTTACACCATATTAAAATCATCTCTCTTCAATATTATCTCATAAAAGTTCTCGTTACTGGAGAAAGTCAATGAAACATAAACATTCTCACGGGCTTCGCCCTCACCGCTTTGCGGTCTATCTAACTTCTTTCTTATCTCATCTATACGCTTCAAATGTCTGAACAATTGCTAACATCTTCTACAACAGTTATTTCATCATGAATGACCTTCAAGAACACAGCTCATTTAATATGCTATTAAAAATCATCTCAATAATGAGTCCATCCTTTCCATCTTTAGGTAGCACAACATCTTTCATTGAAGAAGGTTCGACAAGTCTTATGTTTAAACTTACTGACAAAGTTTGTTATACTATAATGCTTCGGCGGCGAATACATATAGTTTGAAAGACATAATATAGATTCTTCAGCAAATTCACTTATACTGGATTTTATAACAATGTTCTCACGAGACCAAATACCACCAATTGACAATCTTGTAAGCAATCCTGCTGAACCTTCTACTGTAAACGTCGATGGTAACATTCCACGAAGGTCATCTATTGACATCGTTTGAGTCACTGAATTTAAATATTTTCTTAAAGCAATCGTCATTAATCTAATAGCATGCAAGCTTTGAAGTTTTCATTCGAATATACATCTGCTTCATTAAATGTAAAACCTGACTTCTTTGCAGAGACGACTTTAAAATCTATTGAGTTTGTTTCAAAATTATATGCTATGGTAACTTCTGAAGGTAATGGATGTCCTTCCGCAGTCAGTTGTTCTCTCACTACCGTTTGAAGCTTTGTATTAAAAACTTTCATGTCATCTCCTGTGTCTAGGTTCACATACACAGCAACAGGAAAACTATCTTGCTTCTTTGTTTCATCATTATATCTCAAAACATTAAAGTTCTTCAATAATATTGTTCTTCCTGCTGGAATACTTCGAACCTGTCTGATTTCAATAGCTTTCTCACCTCCTACATACTCTACCCAGTGTCTTGGATATTCATAAGTATACTGACTTTCTTGAATTTTGGTTGGTTTCATCATAACATGTTCATAGTATATCTTTATACTCTTGTCAGTTAGACTCGGTGCTATGTTCTGAATATTTCTGACTTGCATTTTTAATGGAGATAAAATGAAGCATTTAATACATGACGTAGATGAAGACATGAATGAAACTAGAAAACTTAACTTTCTCTCATTCTTCCTTTCAGTAAGGACTATGAGTTCTGTTCAAATGGTGTTTATTTCTATTGTGGAAAGATGGGTTCAGGTAAGACATTTAACCTCATTCGTCATATACTCATAACAGAACGTTTAGGAAACGACTCACTATGACCAAATCATTATATCAGCAACTTCAGACTCTATGGACTCAACAGCGAAAACATTTATGTCAAAAGTTCAAGCCTCTGTCGTTAAAGTTCCAGACAGTGAACTCATTGAATTTCTTCAACGTTACATTCGACGTAAGAGGAAATATTATGCCATCGTTGAATTTATACAGTCAGGAATGCAAAAGACTTCTGAGGAGATGGAAAGAATTATTGACAAACACCACTTACGTCAATACTCAGGAGTTTACGATATGAAACGACTTACAAACTACATTCTATCAAAACTTTCAAAATACCCCTTCAAAAAGTATCCTTCAAACACTCTGCTCGTTTGTGACGACTTCGCCGGAAAAGGTTTAGTGTCAAAACCAGACTCACCATTAGCTAACATCATTACTAAAGTCAGACATTACCATTTAACTGTAGCAATACTTATGCAAACATGGAGGTTTTTAGCTTTAAACATAAAACGTCTCATAACTGACTTCGTTATCTTTCAAGGTTTCTCACGCTATGATATTGAACTCATTTGGAAACAGTCAGGTATAACATTACCTTTTGAAGAAATTTGGGAAGCATATAAGTCTCTCATCTCTCCTCGTTCATACCTTGAGATTCATATCATGACTAATACCATTAAAGTCAAAAATATTCCATGGGAACGACCAACATTGTTTTAAAGTTTAACCTTCAATTGACTGATGGTAAACAAATTCCATGCATCTCTGTCGCCATTTCTGTTAATATTTTTGCTGTCATTCATATCATCCACTTCCCCATCCGTTAGCTTTTGAGGATATGCGTTAGAATAGCTGTTCTTAAATGAAGGCTTTTCACCTTTGAGAGCATAAACTCTATAACTTTCTGCATACTTTATGTTTGAACCTCCTGAGCCATCATTGACATAAATTTTTATAGGCTTCCACCCTTTGTTCATGTTCCTGCTTCTTCCCTTAGCTCTTTTGTTCAGTAGTTCTACATCTTTATACACAGCACCTGTCTCAGTGAATTCAACAATATTTTCATTCGTTAGCTTTACATTCAAACCCTTGTCGAGTATATTGTTCATTTCATACATATAAAAGGTTTTTATTCTATATGAAATGAGAAGCAAATCCATCTTAGCTGGTGCCGTTAATGTTCCAATTGAACCAACATCAAATGTTGACTCACGAACGACAAACAATATTGTCATAAAGAACTATAGTTCGAGTGTTTGAAAGAAAAAGAACCAGATCTTAAGTCGGTGAATTTAAACACAGCTTCAAACGCTAACGCTACATCAGATGTTAAGTTAGAGTATCCACCACTGGACCAAGTTCTTTCAAGAGAAGCCAACGACAACCCTTACACAAATGTTCAAACAAATCCTTCAGATAACGTAGACCATTACCTTCTTCAGTTATACCAAACAATTTTACTCAAAGACGATAAGAAGCTTTTGACAAATCTTATAAGTAAGAACCAAATAATTCTAACAAAGGAGGACCTTGAAAATGTTATCTCACGAATAACAGGGAAACAATGTGTCATTGACTATCTCGACCCTGAAATCGAATGCTGTGGTCAAACTCCACTATTCATGAAAATAGGTAACATCCGCATCATTGAAACACCAGGAACTACAGGAGTTGAGTTTAAGTATAAATATTCGAACGAGTATACAAAACTATCTACTGACTATAAGCTTTGTTTGAAATATGTTTTAGTAAATTAAAGCAGTCAGGAGGGCTCTTTGAGCCCATCTTGGCGCTTTGCGCCGTCAGTCAAAAAATTTCAAGTTAGCAATTTGTAATATCTATCCAAAACTTCTTCAACAGTATCGAACTCATCTTCATAATGCAAACCTAATCTTATTGACTTGGTGCAGTTTTCACTAACACAATATTTTTCTGTTCTCTTGACTGACATAACTAACTCATTTGTTTCATCAAACAGCAACAACCAAAGTTCATGACCTAATACATAACATTCATACTTTATATTTTTAGCTCTGAGTTCTCTTGTAAGCTGTTGCATTTAATATTTTCTAAAAAGTCAACTTCAACAGTCATTCGCACTGGTGCCTTCAGTTCTACAGGCTCTCCTTGAAAGTCAACAAGTCTGAATTGCATGTCTTTCAAATTATGAGGACTAATGCGAACCCATTTACCTAAATGAGTTGCTATGACAGGAACGTTTGGAATGAACATTGAATTGACTGCATAACAGAAAGACTTATATTCTACTGAACCTTTACTATTAACTCCTGAAATACCTGTGACATTAGCTATTTTTGACTCAATGTACAAACAATTACCATAACATACGTATGGAACAGATTTCATCTCAATCGTTTTGTCAACACTTTTCAAAGGAAATGTCATATGGTATGCACCCAAAAGAAGTTGTACTCTATGACTCATTCTTGGTATCTTAAACTCTTTCTCGCTGCTGAACTTCAATGTTCCCTCAGAAGAGAGTTCGACATCTATGTTGTCAATAGTTTCTTCATTTATGAGAGTATCTATGACTCCAGCAATTTTATCTATTCTATACCCAGCTCTATTAGGAAATGTTATAACACTTCTTTTGTCATCTATTTCAATCTCTATGAAATCTGTTTCATCTGTTATGACAAAAGTTGCGATAGTATTGAAGTCAACAACTCTGAAAGCAAGCGCTTCATTCTGAAGACCTAAGTTTGTTTGTAGCTTTACTGTCCCGTATTCGTTTGGGTCTGTACTTTGCAAATAGAACAACATTTTATTCTCATTAAAATATGACTATTGCTGCATATGCGTATGAAACAAATGAAGCAAGAAGAGCACATGAACTAGTAAACGAAAACTCAACTTTAACCATTGAAGGCAATGATTTAGTCATTGACGATGGAAAAACTAAAAAAGTCATTGATTTCGATACTTTTAACACTTATGACCCATTCATTACAACAAGCAAGGTTCCCATCATAAATGATGGAACGGTGCAATATATAAATTCTACAGTAGATGCCTCATTAGTGAAAGTATTAAATGTTCTCATTGAATTGTTAAAGAGCTTTCGATTTGACGACAACATTAAATGCCTAAAGAATTTAGTCATGAATGAGAAACAAATTCTCGGCGTTGCTGGTAGCAGTAATGATGTACACCTTATGACATTAGAATATTATAACGAACATAAAGATGAACTGAAAGGAGAGAAGGGTGACACCGGACCTCAAGGACCACAAGGAATACAAGGAATACAAGGAATACAAGGACCTCAAGGCGAAAACGGTTTGGATGGTGAAGATGGAAAGGATGGAAAAACTGCTAAATCATGGATATGGAACCTTATAAATACTGGTTTAACAGCTGCTTCATATGGAGTTCTTCAATACCAAATCGGAAAGATATGGGCAGTACTTGGTGAAGAAGTTTTAGATGACGTTAAAAATGCTTTGAACTTCATTTCAAATGGTTCGGATACTATTAAAACTTTATCTGGTTGGATGCAAGAAACAAGGAGTCAAATAGATACTGTAAGACGTATAGCAAACAATGCACGTACGGGATTGGATACTTTACGAGAAGCACAAAATACACTAAAGGAAGCAAATGATATTCTTGGCTCAGTATCAGACATGCATGAAGATTGGCTTAAAGGTATTGACAAATCTTTAAAAAATCACAGTCAGTCTATTGCTGACTACAAGAAAAGTATAGATTTTTTACATAGTGCTATGGACGTACATGATGGAAGCATAAGGAACTTACTTAATGCTAACAATAACTTACCAGGAACTATTAAAGCATTTATAAAGTCCTTTGTAAAACCTGGTGCTCTAACATTTAGGTCTTTGAGAGCAAGAGCATTGAAGTCAAGAGATGCAGAAACTCCAACAGAAACTCCAGAAGAAACCACCAAAACCAACAGCTAATGAAATATTGTTCGAATATTTTCCAAGGTACTCTGTTCTCATTGCATACATTCAAGAAATACTTAAGAAAGCAGACTTGACTTTAGGAGATGATGAAAGTTCTGTATATCTTTCGTTCCAGTTTCAAATAGCAGAACTTTTGAGACAGATATGCTTAATGTATGACAACATCTCTGATTTCACAAGATATGATGACGACCATGACCCCGAACACGGTGAAGAAGAAGTTTTACAAACATCCATTAAGACAGGAAAGGTTTTAACTCAAAGTCTCATTATTGACACCAAAGATGGCGAAGTGGACGTTCTTCAAGAGCTGAAGAAAAATACTTCTTCGGGAGGTGGTGGTAGGCATGAACTTGAAATAAATGAGATAGAAGAGAAATTAGCCGAAAAAGCAGATAAAAACCATGTTCATTATATAAGTTCAGACGAACAGATTATAACGGACTACCATGGATATTTAACACAGGATGAACAAATAAGCACTGAAGATGTTAATGAAAGAAGATATAAATTCATTCGTGCTAAAGGTTATGACATACACTGTACTGTACAGTATGACACAGGTAAAGCACCAGAAGCATTTGGTTATAACAATGAAATTTATGCTTCATACTTCTTTGTTAACGGTGTATTAGTTGAACCAAGATTTACATTGAGAGTTAAGGCAAAAATAACTTTTGAAGATGCTATTAAAAGTAAAGCTGACAAAGATGAACTTGACGCAACGAACAAAGTTTTGAAATCTCATAAACACAATATCTCCGATATAAATGAACTTCAAGCTACATTAAATAGTAAAGCTGACAAGAACCATACACATGAATCCTTCACTACTGTTAGAGCAGACGACATAATATTGAACTATACCCTTGGTTCAAGTGCACCTTTAGAGAATCCAAGTACAAGCGTAAAAGATACACTAAACTCCTTAAATAGTAAATGTATGAACATTGAAGGTCATGTCAGAAACTTTGAAACATATAAACTACCAGCAATGTTAGATAAAAAAGCAGATAAAGAACATACACATAACTCCTTCTCAACTGTTGCTATAGAAAGTATTGAAGGAACGGTTGAAGGAACTGGTGGGGAGGGCGGAGCCCCGCCGCACGCGGCTGCTTTATATTATAAACCTCCTAACTTTCCACAAGGTTTAACATCGAATGAAAACATAACAACGAAGAAAGAAATTAGCTGTAAAAATGTTTATGTCATGGATGATGAAAATAATGTTAAATTCACTGCTCAAGATTTATATGATAATAAAGCTGACAAGAACCATACACATAAATCCTTCACTACTGTTAGAGCAGACGACATAATATTGAACTATACCCTTGGTTCAAGTGCACCATTAGAAAATCCAAGTACAAGCGTAAAAGATACTCTTAACAATTTAGATAACAGTTGCAGGAATATCGAAGATCATGCCAGAAACTTTGAAGCATATGAACTACCAACAATGTTAGATAAGAAAGCAGACAAAACAGAGCTTCAAACATTAAAGACTGAAATACTTCAAACATTATATCCTATAGGCTCTATTTATACGTCAATGAACTCAACAAATCCAGCAAGTGTTTTAGGTTTTGGTACGTGGAAGCAGATTGTAGATAAATTCTTATACTGTGCTAGATATTCAAAGCAAACAGGAGGTTCGAAGAAAATTAAAGAAGCAAACCTTCCACCGCACACTCATACAGGAACTACAAACTTTTCTGGCGACCATAGCCACTCATTAAGAGACCACCCATTATACAACTCAGAATATGAAGCTGGCAATGACGTTTTATCTCCATCTTATAACAATTCAGCAAAAAAGATTTTTCGACCAACTGAACCAGGAGGAAATCATTCACACACTTTCACAACAAATCCAACAGGCTCGGGTGCAGATTATATGCCACCATTTGTGACTGTATTCGCATGGTACCGTGTTCAATGAAATCTTTAACTTTACATAAATGAGCTTGAAAGAAGTATTCGAACAACATCCATGGAGGTCATTTAAGAAGTTCAATGAAGCAGCAAAAAGTTGGGGATTTACTAACAGAGCTGAAGTGAAAAAGTTCTTTGACAAAAATGTTGTACATCAAACAAAAATAAACCCTTACGACTACTTTTTACCAATTTACTCCAACACTCCTGACGCATACCAATTTGACACTCTCATTCAAAGCAGAAAAGGAGGACATAAACCATTCCTCATCTTCATTAATGTTAACACTCGCAAAGTATATGCATATCCAATGAAAAATAAAGGAACTCGTGAAGTGTTAAGAGTTTTACAAAAGTTTGTAGCAGAACATAGCCCAAGTACTTTAACATCAGACCAAGACAGTGCATACCTCAGCAATGAAATCACAGATTTTCTCATTAAGCATAACATAACTCACTACACTACTGAAGACCATAACCATAACATACTCGGCATCATAAACCGCTTCATAAGAACGCTCAGAGATTTAAATCAAGAGCGAGACTTTACTGAAGAAACAATGAAACATTTCATCGAAGTATATAATTCCTCAACGCATTCTACAACAGGACATACACCAAATTCAATGACACAACAACAAGAAGAAAAGTATATACAAAAGAAACGAAGCCAAACACAAAATATCAGAAATTCAACACAATTTACCCTCATTCCTGGTACAAAAGTTCGTGTAGTTCTTGACGACAAACCGTTGACAAAGAAACGTTTAAGGTTAAGTCGAAATTATTATATAGTAGATTCAACGCAAGGTAATGGATATCTTATAAAAGCTGCCGACGACTCCATTGCATTTTATCCTCGACATAAATTAGTTGAAAGTAGTAATGGCAAACTTGCTAAAACCATTGACGAAGCAAAGCGAGGAGTGGTTATTGAAATACTTGGCTATAACATAAACGATGACACTTATAAAGTAAGATATGAAGGAGGCGTTGAAGATGTTATACCATCTAAGAACTTGAGAGAATCTAAACCAACTCATCTGGGACCATTAGAGCGGGAGTATTGGAAAGATAAAAACATGCCAGAAAGAATAAGAAAATTCTTCTAAACTTTTTCATTAGATGTAAATCAGACATGAACGAGAACAGTCATGATATCATTAATGGTACCATTTATTTACACCAAAAATAAAGTTTATGTTAGAATGTTAGATCTAACACGTTTTCTAACCACTTTTCTAACCTCATTTCTACCCTCATGAATTTCCTTAAGACAGAAAAAATAAAGTTAGTTTTATTTTTTTTATTTTGTATGTAAAGACAGAAATGTCAGTCGAAGCAAAAACATTCACGAACAAATCTAATGGCGAAACATTCACAAAAGGCACTTATAACGGTATTGAAGTCTTACGTAGAGACAAGGATGGTTACATTAATGCAACAAATATGTGTCAGCAGTTTAGGAAAGACTTTAGAAAGTTGTTGGAAAATAAGTCCTGGGAAGAGTATTATAAGGCATTTTGTGAAGAATATAGCAACCGTCTGAATTCCGGCGGTTGCTTTTTATACAAAATTCATGCAGGAATTCCTGATGAAATCAAACAGGTTAGAGGAACGTATGTAGACCCAAGACTTATAAACTATATAGCAATGTGGGCTTCTCCAAATATTGCATAGCAGTTGGGAAAAATTATGGATTCCATAGACAAGAAAGTTCATGAGAAGTTAGATGAAGAAGAACTCGAAGATACAGTAGAGAATGCAAAACATTTGTTCGAACAAGAAGTTAGAAAAATGTGCGAAAAACAATTAGAACATGAACGTGAGATATGTTATGGTTATAGAGATTCTCCATACGAACTAGACCAATGGGAACAAGAAGATTTAAAGAGAGAATTTAGAGAATATGAACTCGCTAAGATAGCATTAGAAGCTGCAGAAAAGAAGTTAAAAGTTTGGGGTCGTTTTGTACAAAAATATTGTGAGTAAATGAACTCATTATTTTTGCATCATGACACGAAGTGAAGATTCGCACTTCGTCAAAAAAGTGAAGGTTCCCGACGGTTTCAAACCGCCATACTTTACATGAAGATAGTTTACAATGTCAACTAAATATCATGTACGATAGAAACGGTTATGTAAAGTTTACATTTTGTAAAGTTTTGTCTTGAATCAGGACAAGTCTTGTATTTTTTCAGAACAAGTCTTGTATTTTTTCAAGACAAGTCTTGTCCTGATTCAGAACAAGACTTGCACTTTTTAGTCAGTTTTTCTTGTAAAGTTCTCAAATTTGAGAACAATTGTCCTGATTCAAGACAAGTCTTGTATTTTTTCAGAACAAGTCTTGTATTTTTTCAAGACAAATCTTGTCCTGATTCAAGACAAGTCTTGCACTTTTTCAGGAAATCCTATCGTCCAACTTTACAAATGTCACTTTTCAACATGATTGCATTTTGGTCGGGGAACAACTTTCTCTCATTTTGTCACTTTTTCTATCGTCGTGTTTTATCACTTTTCCCTCAGGGTGTGTGTCAGAAAATATCCAAAATCTTTATAGCCTCGTATCTCCTTCAATTCTTGACGGTTTGACATGTATGACACACCATTCAATTCAGAATTATGTGCTGAATCTTATGACCTTCATTTGTTCGTGACTTCTTTTCACATATGTAACCATGAATTTTTAACATTTCTTTAACACAGAAAAATAAAGTTAGTTTTATTTTTATTTATTTTTTTATTTTGTATGTAAGAACAGAAATGTCAACATTAGAGAACACAACAACTGCTATCGTTCATGAAGCCATAAATGAAGAATACGAATACATACAATATAACAAACAACTTCGCCTCATTCGTTCGGTCAAAGATGACATGTACCAAATGCAAAGTATAATGAATGCTCTTCGTTCTACAAAGCAAGCATATCATTGGTTTGAAAACCAACAGACAAAAGAACTTTTAGAAGAATTTCCTCATATGATTGCTTCCCTCGGAAAACCGAGAGAAGAGATTCCGTACGAAAATCGCAAGAATTTGGCTCCTGGTTTGAAAGGTTATTATGTTCATAGATTTTTAGTAAACGCTGTAGCAATGTGGGCTTGGCCCCGTTATGCTTGTTATATTTTCATGATGTTAGATGAACTATATAAAGCAGAACGTGGAGAGATGGAAAAGAAACTTCAAGCAAAAGATGAAGTCATTGAATCCAAAGACAAAAGCATACAGAAAAGAATACCACGTTCAGTACCAAAAGGAAAGGAAGAGAGTTATAAGTATATGATATATACTGAAGAGTTGGAGAAAGAAGAAGATAAAGATATGGTTATGTTGCATTTAGTGAGAAGGAATAACAAGAGCTTTTATGACTTAGCTAAAATATATAAATCTGACAGAAACTGGTTCTATCGTGAAAACTTACCGATTTCAATGACACCGAATGAGCAAATAAAGGAAATTGTCAAAAATACTCTTCCTCAAACACACTATGACATCAAAGGTTGCACAATACTTACATTCAAAGAAGACTTAACATTACTGAAGGAAAAAATAACAGAATATTTCGATAACTTCAAAGAGGAAGAATAAAAAAATCTAAGCTAATTTTATTTTTTTATAAAATTTTATCTCATATGAAAGAACATGAATTTAGAATATTCGGAACTCATGACAGAAGAAGAGAACGAACAACATGTAAAAGATTATGCAAAATTTCTGAAGACATACAAAGCATTTAAACAATATCTAAATGCTTCTAAAGATTATGCAAAATTTCTGAAGGTATATAAAGCTTATGAAAAAGCGTATGAAAAGTTTATACATTGGGGAATTGTTGTAAAATATCCATATGAAGACTAACCAAAAATATATTTTTGCTTAAATGACGTCAGGGTCAATTTCTTCAACCATTTCACTTTCTTCGTCAATGTCAATAGAAGCTTCTTCAACCTTTGGTAAGAATTTCTGTATAACATCTTTGTTCGTTATTGTCTTCAGAGATGAAGGATAATATTTCACATTTGTTTCACCCTTCTTATATTCTTTCTGTTCGGAAAGATTTAAAGCAATACTGAAGAAGTCAATGTTAGAGTTCTTTATGACAGTATAATGAGTATCTTTGACATTCACGAAGAAACTCTTTTGTTTCAAAACTACTGCTAACTCTTGTGAAGTATAACGTTTGCGGTCAATGACGATAGCTAATGGTCTGACATACTGACCAAACTTAGATTCTTTCACAAACTTCTTGTTAAAGATAACATTAACATTTGAAGCATTATTGAACTCATTCTTGATGGCATTAGCGAGAGCATTGTATGAAAAGAACTTGCAATCTTGCATGTGTTTCATTAAAATAAAAATATTAAATTATTTTGAAAAATAACTTTAAAAAATCTAATCTAATTTTTTCAAAAAAATATTTTTTTATTTCCTACTAAAGATGTATCGGAAGTTGTCTAAGTTAGAACACTCGGAAATAAAACAACTTCTTACAGAAGCTAATATAGATATTGCAAAGCATTACGCAACAAACAAAAAAGCACTCGCTGACATCCTCAATGACTATAATGGTGCAATAAGTTATGATAGAATTCATGAGTTCATAAAGCCGCAACGCGGCGAGGACGAAGTCCATGCAAGAGCATTTCCTTTAAATGACGTTGCTATTGACTTATATCATAGACGTTCAGTACCTCATGAAGTAAGAAGAGAAATGTTTGACATAACAAATGCAAACGTTGGTGAAACAAGAAGAAGAGACGACACACTGAAACAACAGAGAAGAGAGATGTTTAAGAGCGCTATAGAACAAGTTCGCAAAGCTAACGATGTCATTCGTTCCATTGACGACAAACCAAAAGAAGGTGAGAGATGGTTAAAGAAAGATGAAGAGAATAGGAAGAGAAATGTGAAGTCAGGCAATAGACTCATTGACTTTAACATCGAAGCTTTAGATGAACCAAACAGAGACTACTTACACAAACATTTCGGTAAGGTTTTCATGAGACTCTTAGAGAAGATTAAAATAAACTCCCAACAAAGATGGATGGTATGTTATAAACTTGGTGGAAAGTATGAATGTTCTACGTTAAACCTCAATAATATTGGAACATTACTACATCAGCTCTTGAAGGAGAACTTTATATCAGAGATAGAAGCAAATGCTGCAGGTATTGTTGAAATGCACTATGACTTCTTCTTGACAAACATAAAGAATCTTACTGAAATAAAGATGTATGATTTAACAGAATATGAAGGCTTAACGATGTCAGATGTAAAGAAAGGCAAACCAAAAAAGAGACCATATAGAGATGAAAGCACACTGACAAATGACCAGAAAGCCATTTTGGAAGCTCTTAAGCAAACAGGAAACCCAGCACTTATAGAAAGCTTTTGGAAAGATAATGGTGAAAAGAAGTTTTATAAGAAGAGAAGCGGTCAGTTCTGGAAGTATCTTTGCACATTACCTATAAATCTTGAACGCTACCAAATCTTCAATGAACTGAACAAAAGAACTGCAACACTTATGACAGAAGACAATTGTTTCGTTTATGCTTGCATTCAGGCTGGAGTAAATGAAGAAACTATTGACCACATGAGAGAAGTCATTCGTGTTAGAGACTTTCCTCAAAGTAAAGTACAAGAAATTTCTGACGCAACAGGTATAGCATTTAATGTTACCATTGGTTATTTCAATGACTCAAGACATAATGAAATAAAGAGATATATACCAAAAGAATGTGAAACTGTTCGAACTATTGACTTACTTCTTGTTGAAGACCACTACATGCTAAATGAAAGACTTCCAATGACAACATATTTCATTCGCAACTATATAGAAATCTTGAAGGAGTGTGGTGGAATGAACATTGAGAAACAGATGAAGATTTATACAAAGAGAGAAGATAAATATGTAGTTCGCATGGATAGAACTACACCGCTATGGGATGTTATGAAAACATTGTGGGAGTGCAAATATTTCGAACCTATTTCTTATGGAGAACTTTTCACATATACGACTGACTTATATAAACAGAACCTTGCACCATTTAAAGATTTGACATATGCTCCAAAGTATTGTGTACAACTGAAGAAGAAAGCAGAGTCAAAAGAAGTAAATAAAACTAAATGTAAGTTCATTCCTGAGCATGTTTTCTTTGCTGACTTTGAGTGTAGCACAGACGGCTTTCATAAAGCTTTTAACATCTGTTACGACAGTGAAGATGGTTCAGTGAGTGAAAGCATATGGGGTCAAAACTGTGCAACAGAATTTTTGGAGCGACTTCCTGACAAGAGTTTAATATATTTCCATAACCTCAGCTATGATATAAACTTCATCTTAAGACACATGACAGAAGTGAAAGGAACTCCCATCATTAAAGGTTCACGAACAATGCAAATAACTGGTTTATATAAAGGACGGGCAATTATTATAAAAGACTCTTACAGTGTTATAAATAAGAAGCTTAAACTATTTCCTGCTATGTTTAACTTACAAACAGGACCGAAAGAAGTATTTCCATATAACTACTACAGCAGTACTTTGTTAGCAAATGACAACAGAACTGGTGTCATTTCTGAAGCATGTAAGTTTATCCAGGATGCAGATACATTTATGAAAAACATAGATTCCATCAAAGGTTGCAGAATAGATGAAAACCACTTCGACTTAGAAAAATATAGCTCATTTTATTGCAAACAAGATGTAAGAATTTTAAGAGAAGGTTTTGTTAAATTCCGCAATGACATATTAAAAGAATTTGATTTAAACGTTTATGACTACGTTAGTATTTGTTCAATTGCTAACAAATTATTTGAGAACAGAGTGTACTTCCCGAATGGAAATTTATATGACCTCTCAAATAAACCAAGAGAATTTATTTCGAGATGCATTCAAGGTGGAAGATGTATGTTGTCAGATAACATGAAACAAAAGAGCGAAAAGAAACTCATTGCTGACTTCGACGCTGTTTCATTATATCCATCAGCTATAGCAAGACTTTATACTTTAGAAGGAATTCCAAAGGTTATGAAGAAAGAAATGTTAAGCACAGAGTATCTCATGAGACATTTATTCGATGACGACCAAAAGGAACCCATTGGTGAAAAGTTTATGTCTGGTTTCTTTGTTCTCATTAAGATAACAGAGATTGGAATACATAGACACTTTCCTTTAATAGTTTGTGACCCTGAACTAAATCCAGAACTTAACGTTCCCAGAAGTTCAAACACTTGCTGTTTAATGTATGTTGACCATATAACATTACAAGACCTCATAAAATATCAAGGTGTCAAATGTGAAGTGTTGCAAGGATACTATTACGATGGAAACAGAGATATTAGAATAAGAGATGAAGTAAAGAAGTTGTTTGAGTTAAGGTTAAAGTATAAGAAAGAAAGAAATCCTTTGCAAGAAAATATAAAGCTCATTCTGAACAGTATTTATGGCAAAACTATTCTATCTCCTATTGAGTCAAAAATAACCATAGTAGATGACAAAGATGCTATAAGATATGCCATCAGAAACTACAACCATATAGTGAAGTTCGAAGGTTTGGATGGTTCAGATAAAACTATTTTCAAGCTAACGAAAAGCATTTGCAGACACTTTAACTTTTGTCCACTTGGTGTTAACATTCTGTCTATGTCGAAGAGAATAATGTGTGAAGTATTCTGTACTGCTGTGGACTTAGGAATGGACATCTTTTATAGCGATACCGACAGTATGCATCTCTACAATGAAGATATCCCTCGTTTAGCTGAAGAGTTTGAGAAACGTTATGGAAGAGTTCTCATTGGTAAAAACCTTGGTCAATTTCATAGCGACTTTGCAGAAATCACAAAAGATAAACAAAGTTTAGCATACAAGTCAATATTTTGTGGAAAGAAGACTTACATAGACTTACTCACGAATGATTTAAATGAAGTTGCATTTCACTGCAGAATGAAAGGCGTGAAGCAAGATGTTATTGCTTTAACCGCTAATGAAATGTTTCCTGACTCTGTTCAGTGTTTGTATGATGAAGATAAAGGTTTAATGGTTCCACAAGGAAAATTTGACAAAGACTCTGAGTTCAGTGTCATGAAACTTTATAAAGCACTTTATGACGGTCAAGAGATTGGATTTGACTTATGTAAGTCATGTCAACCTTGCTTTGAAGAGAAGTTTAACTTCTCAATAACGACTAAAACAAGCTTTATTCGTAAGTTGAAGTTCTGAGGTCATTTATTTTTGTCAGCAATGAGGTCATTCGTGATAAAAATAAAACTAGCGGCAAGGGCGAAGCCCATGTGGTCATTTACAATACTGCGATGGTAGAGTTTAAGAGTTGTGCTTCAATGTAGAGACAGTCCTTATGGTCTGGAGGCAAGAACACTGGACATTTATGGTCGTGAGTTGAGTACATGTCTATCCAAAACTCACGATTGAAGCCAGTTAATTTATAGTATTTAGGATTTGGTAATGGTGAATTTCTTGTATGACCAATGAACTCATTTTCAACTCCCTTACTTAAGTTTGAATATAATATAGCTTGCTTTCTATCCCAAATGTCAGGTGTTACAATCTTTGAAAATTCATTTTTCCTCGGAAGCATTGCATCATAATTGAAAACATTCTTGAAATCATCACTTGGTTCAGAGATTTGAAATCTTATACGTAATGGATTTTCTTTCTCTTTAGCGACTTCATTGAATGGTGAGAATACAACAAACTGACAGTCATGTGTTCCATCTTCATTTTCATTAAATTCATAATGAAAGTCTATAAGTTGTGGCTGACTACCTTCTTCTTTCAGTTGTGCAAGAAACTCACGTAAAGGCTGTAAAGTTTGTACTTCAATGTTGAACTTTTTCTCGAACATCTCATTAAATGAAATCATACATTGTTGCAATGTTGTATCGTCTTTAAAGTATTTGTATATGTGAATGTTTTGGGCGCTTAAAGACTGTTCGTCATTTTCTATCTCGACTTGAAGTATAAAGTCAACCTTTCTGAAAGCACGTGTTATATACATAGATGTTATGCCAATGTACTTCTCTTCATTTATGTTCACAATCCAGTCTGTTGGAAACTTAAACGTTACTCTGTTCCCCTTTATTTTGACGTCAGGGTTTTCACTACTGAACGCAACAGATAAAGGTATTTGTCTATACATTTAGTTCGGATAAAAATAAACCATTTACTCTTTCTTTGCTTCAGCTTCTTTAGCTTTTTGTTCTTCCTTTGCTTTTGCTTCTTCTCTAGCTTTCTTCGCCAGCAAACATGGGTTCTTTTGTCTTCCAGCAGCTAATGCAGCAAGTTGTTTTTCACTAAGTTTTCTCTTTGGTCTCTCTGGCTTTTGTTCTTGTTTTTGTTCCTTCAGTTCGGATAAAATTTGCTCACGAATTTCTTTCTTCAATGCTTCAACATCTATGACCCCTTGAGTCTTGTCCGTAGGGCTTGTCTGAGTCATGTGACTGCAGATAAAAAACAAAATTAAAACTTTAACCGATGTAAAATGAGCTTGTCAAAATCAGAGCGAGAGTCTATTATATTAAATGACGCAAGAGGAATACAACATCCTTTCTATTACGTAAGTCAGAGTAAAGATGGTAAAATATACGTAAGAAAAAGAAAGGTTCCATTAGCGAATGCAGAAAGCGACAACATTAAGGTGCATGGCACTGAGGGCGAAGCCCATATAAAACCTTCTGTTCAAACTGAGCCACCAAAAGAACAAGAAGAAAAGAAGCCAGATGTACTTTCAATAACGAACCAAGAGCTTATTGCAAAGTTCGTGAATTTCATTGAAAAGCAAACCGAGTCAAAGAACCCTGACCCACCAGTAAAAGAAGTTGAGACAAAAGAGAATGTACAGTTCATTGAAAATGTCAAGAAACAACTTCCACCACGAATGCCAAGAAGAAGAGTGAGAATAATGAAGTAAATAGATATTTTTATCTGGAGTAAATACATGCAGAACGAACAGCTAAACGAATTTACTCCAGCAGAGCATATTCATCAGATTCGCTCATATTTCGATATCATAGACAATGCAGTTCAAATTGGTGACACTAATAGAAAATATTCTGACGCAAAGATTCCATCACAACCTGGAACTGCTAAAGATAACACATGGGTAACATTCAATCTCTCACCTCCTGGTGAAAATATGTTGGACCTTTACAATACATTCATTACGTATAAAATGGAAGGTCAATTTATTGCAGATAAAGAAATTGGTTCAGGTTCCAATAAAACAAACCCACCAGGATTTTGGATTGGTTTCGATGACGCTTTCTATGCAGTTGCTGGATATCAAATCCTTGCAAATGGTCGTATCGTATATTCTCAAGACAACGCAAGAGAAGAAGCATATATAACTTCAAACTCACAAACTACCGAACAAATAAAGAAAGTAGATGTTTTCTCAAAGACTCGACATGAAGATGTATGGAGTCATTCGGGAACATGCAGAACAGGACAAATTGTTAGTGGTCCAATTACAGCAGGAAAATCATTTGATTTTAAGCTTCGTTTAAGAATTCCTGTTAGAAGATTCCTTCCATTAGAAGCTATTCGATTTATTCCAGCTTTTGCAGGAAACATTCAGCTTAAAGTAAAGTTCAGTAGCGACGCCTTACAATGCACATCTATATCTGTAAATGATATCATTGCTTTCAATCCAACTCTTAAAGTTGCATTTGCTTCAGATTCAAATTCACCGCCAAATAAATTTGTTCCATGGAATGAACCATTCACTATGATAACGAAGGCAGTAGAAGCTAGTGGAACAGTTACTATTACAACTGTAACCCAGCAACTATTTCGAACAAAGATGGATTTTAATGAATGTTTCATTCATCCAAAGTCATTCTCTTTAGACCCTAACATTTATACAGAACTTGTAGAACATTATACAAACGAGGCTTTATGTTTTCCTGTTAAAGTTATGGATTGGATTCCTATGGACGGTTCATTCTCAAAGAATACAGATAGTTCAAGTGCAACATTTACAGCAGCTTATACGCCTATTAATGTTAAAAGTATTTGGGCACTATTTAGAAAGAAAGACAACTATTATGTTAATTTTGAGAACCCTAAGTTTAAATATCTTCAGCTTTCCATGGGAGCTTATGGAAATATGCCTGCAGAACCTGAAAAATCATATGGACCTGTATTTTATGAAATGGTTGCGAACGCCTGCAATACAAACAATGATATGATAGGATTTAATGAAGATGTTATGAGGTCATTGGTGATGATGAGTGTGGAACATAAATGGGATAGCTATGACAACACACATTTCTTATGTGGTTTTCCAACAGAAGTGGACTTTTGCTTCCAGCAAGGTCAAACATCTACTGCTCCAATAACATACAAATTGTCTGTTAAAGGACCTATTGAACTAGCAACTGAAAATGTACCAAAGCCACTTATTGGATTTATGAGGGATTGCTGCTTTGCCATTCAGGTAAGACAGTCAGGCATCCCCATAATAAGATTAGATGACTATAACTTAGCCACGGACGACAGTGAGGAATAAGGGATGAACGTTTATTTTTAAAGCTTATAAATGAGTTCTTCATCAAGCTCTCGTGAACCTTCACCATCTATGAAACAAACTTTACCAAACGATTATGGAGCACCTATTGAATATTTCTTACGAGCTGCACAATGGCAAAGAGCAGTCTCACCAAGTTAGGTGTTCCACCAGCTCCTGTCAAAAATAGCATTTGGTCAAGTCCTTATATAAGATATGGTCTCCCACTAGGTTTGCTAGCTACAGCAGGAGCAGTTATGATGTTGAAAAGAAATAAAGCAAATGTTGTAAATAATACTGAAGTAGCTGAAGTTAAACAAACTCCAACACCTTCGCCAAAACCAACGTCAAAACCAACGCCTTCACAAGCAAAACCTTCAATGACTCCTGAACCTATGGAAGTACAAACTCCTGTTCAAAAGTCAACTCCTAAACCGACTCCAACATTTAAACCAGAACCTACTCCTCAAATAAATCGTAAAACTCCTGCGTTTCCTTACTGAAAAAATAACGTTATTTTTATTTAATATTAAAATTTTTATTTGATTGAAATGACGACTAAAGTCACTGAAGCAATGAAACAAAAGTTTTTGGTAGAATACATTAAATCAGGAACTATTCCAGAAGGTTTTTACATTCATACTATGAAGGATGGTAGAGTTCAGTTTAGAAAGATAAAGCAACCATTAGATAGAGAAGGTATATTAAGGAAGATTAAACTTCATGAGGACAACATTGCTGAACTTAAGAAGAAGTTAGAAGAGTTGGAGAAAGGAAGAGAGTTATAAAGCAATGAATTCAACAGGGTGAAAAAAGAGGTGAAAAAAGAGGTGAGATTTCACCACTTCACCTAAATTTATTTTTGTGCTATGTTTTCATACGTGTGAGGGTAGTGATATCATTTATTTTTAAGTTTATTTTTATATAAATGACAGAACAAAAATATAACATTTCTACTCAACAGGAATGAGACCCTTACTGACTATGTATTCGTTTAATGCTTGATGAAAACAATGGTACATATTATCGTATGGGTATACACAACGTCTGTTTCCATCGTCGTCGTATATTTAGAGCTCAAATCCAGTCCAACCTTCTTTTGTACAATATGTAGCTTTATTTAAGTATGCATTTATGTAGATAAGGCAATTTTCTTCATCGCTCCAGAAATAATTTTTCGTCTTTGTTGAAATAGTTTTCGTTCCTCTGCGACCATAAGGAATGTATGCAATAAATTTAGCATCATAAGGTATTATAATATATTTAGGGTTTCTTTCATCGTCAATGGGTCTGTCTTTGTTAAAATGCATGTTTCTCAGTTTTACTTGAGTTTTGAATAGTTCACGGAAACGTTCTGGGAAAGAGTCATAGTAAATGTAGTCAGACATGTCTTTGTAATGAAATAAAAAAGTTGGAAAATAAATAAAATAAGGTTATTTTTTATTTAGTGAGGATGGTAGTGAATTCGTTAGTGAAGTCGTTAGTGAAGTCGTTTATGTGTCAGATGGTTTTGTAAATATTTAAGGTTAAGTTGGTGTTATGGTTGTGTTGTAAAATATACGTTACCGGTTTCGTAAAGTGTCAAACCGTTATCTTGGGTAAGGTGGAACGCAGTGCCGCCGTACCCAAGATAGGGATACTAACTGCTTTTCATGACAAATGAAATCCTGAAAAAGATATTTCCAGATCTGACTGATCTTTAACTTGCCGTAGCACCTTGATGCTGTAGCTCCATGCTGCAGCTTGACCTACTGTAGCCCCTTAATGCTGCTTGATTGTAGATGTTGGCTTTGAATGATGCCGCTTGACCTGCCGTAGTTCCTTGCTGCAGCTTGATTGTAGATGTTGCCCTTGAATGCTGCCGCTGGACCGTAGATGTTGGCTGTGAATGTTATCGCTTCAACCGCTAGCTCCTAACTGCCTCCAAACAGCCGTTTTGCTATGACCTCAATCACTTTTATTTATTATTTTAAATATTATTTAATTTTATTATTTGAATAGGCCAACTTATATTTGAGAAGCTCAATTTGAGACCACTTAATACATTGAAATATCATAAATATTGAAATATTAAAAAGTGTATTTCAAAATATTGAAATTATAAAAATTTATAATACTGAAATTGAGACAAATTAATAAATTCAAGAGTAGGTGACAAAAGTGCATACTCTTAAATTAACCTTAAATGTTTATTTTTCGATATTTTCGGTATTAACCTTATTGTAAATTTTTCCGGTGATAAATTTATCACACTGAGGTTATTTTTCCGGTGAGATTTTTAACCTTGATTTAATGAAATTAATATATATAAATTTTATTATTTTTAATTTCGAATGAGTATAATAAAATATTTTTTATGTGTTTTTGTTTTTGATGTGATTTGAATTTTGTTAACTCTTTTCAAAATCACTTCATTTTTCTGATTTCGGTGGACTTAGAGGAGCTTATTGCTTTTGGTATTAAACAGGAAGTCAAGGGCGGTGTCCCATACAGAAGAAGAACGGGATCTCCAAAGCAATATGTCACTTATTCATGTTCGTATCCCCTATGCATGGCAAAATTTAGGGTTGAAGAACAAAATGGAGTGTTTACTATAAGCAAAGTTAATGAAGAACATTGCCATCATATAGGAGTTGAAATGGGTTCACATTACGCGAGTAAATTTTATCAAAAATGGATCGAACTTTATATTAAAAACGGTGGAAAGCAATTTCTTGCTCAAAAAGCATTTTTTGATAAGTTCGGAATTGATACGAATAACAAAGAAACGATGAAACTTTTCGCGCAGTCTACTGATGCTTTAAAGCACAAATTTTATCGCCTTGATGAGATTATTGCACAAAGATTATCAAACGATCCTTACACTTCTTTGGAAGCATTTTTGAATAATTTACAGGAAGAGTGCCCAGATGATCTCGTTCAATTTTGATTACAATGGAGATTTTTCCGAGTTTACAATCATATATGCACCTTTTGCTGCAAAAGAATTGGTGCATAGCATTGATAACCCTCTCCACGTCGATTCCACTCATTCTTTAATTAAAGGAAAGATCCAATTGTTTGCAGTAACAATGAAAACAAGTCAAAACACAATTTTCCCCTTTTGCTATTTTTTAGTGAACCCTCAGACATCTGAAAAATTCAAGAATGTTTGGTGAAATTCTGTGAGTTTGCGCACCTGGATCCACAGCATTGGAGCGCTGGCTGTGCGCTAAACATTGCTCGCGCAATTGGACGGATTTCCTCTTGCGCAGCTCAGTTGGTGCGCTGTGCATGTTTTACGCGCATGTGCAAAAGTTGGAAGCTATTTTGACAATCCACAGAATTTTGAGAACTTCTATTTAGCAATGGACTTTTTGACATTACGTGCAGATGCAACGAATGCAGAAAAGCTGGCTGAAGAGTCTGATGAAACATATGAGTTCTTGACAACAATGTTAGAAGAAGAAGAACCGCGCGCTTTGAAGTATTTCGATAAACAATGGAGAAGAACCAAAGAACATTGGATGATGTTATATCGTGGAGAAGGTGATTCCACGAATAACATTGCAGAATCACACTTTCATCAATTAAAGCAAACATTTTTCTTGGGTAAGAAAAATGAGCGCATTGATGACATCGTCATAACTCTCATCACTGTTGTGATTCCAAATGCGATTATTAAGGTTCAAGTCGCTAATGTTTTGAATGAAGAAAGAGCAGTAAGAATTCTTACAAGGGCAGGTAATCAGATTGTTGAGCAAAGAGCTTCAAAACACGATGAATGTTTGAAATTAATTCAACACATTTTGGAAATTGTCGAAAGCCGAAGGATTGAACCTAATGTCCTTATTCCATCTTTGAAGGCAATATTAAATTTGGCACAAAGAAGTTTAAAGGAAGAGTAAGCAAGATTAGATAATTTGGACTTTTTTTAAAATTAATGAATAAACAGTATATTTTTGAAGTGTAAGCTTATTTACCTGAAGCTATATTACTTAATATAACATTCAAAGTATTATTGCTATTTATTGGAGAACAAATTTATGTAATTTTCACATGAAAATTGATAAATTTGTATTTCCTTATGATAATCAATTTTTGTATTTGTAGAGAGTCTCCCTGCATGATATCAAGACTTGGCTATAAGTCTTTATCCATTTTTGAAAATTGTATTGTAAATTGTAAGAATTTCTGAATACTACTACTATAAAATATAATTGCTTATCTATGTATATTCTCCCTGCATGATATCAAGACTTGGCTATTAGTCTTTATCCATTTTTGAAAATTGTATTGTAAATTGTAAGAATTTCTGAATACTACTACTATAAAATATAATTGCTTATCTATGTATATTCTCCCTGCATGATATCAAGACTTGGCTATAAGTCTTTATCCATTTTTGAAAATTGTATTGTAAATTGTAAGAATTTCTGAATACTACTACTATAAAATATAATTGCTTATCTATGTATATTCTCCCTGCATGATATCAAGACTTGGCTATAAGTCTCTATTCATTATGAGTATGACCCATTTTTTTACAAAAAGTGCCGAATTGCAACTTTGTCCCAATCTCATAAATTCAATGTGTTTTTTTTGAAATAACTCTCAAATATTATTTTTTTGTTTATTTAATGATGAATAAATATGATTGCTTTAGTCAATCATAAAAACTAATTTAAGTTTAAAATAATGAAAGGATAATTTGATCGTTTTTTAAAATACAATTATTTTTGATGATTTGCAAGAATCTTTGAAAAGAATATAATATAGGTTCTATTTTTGTAAAATTTATCCAAATCATGTATTACATAAATTACGATTAAAACGATGAAAGAACCAAAAAGTGTGTTTTGTGTTTTGTTGTTGCGTGTTGGATGCGGGATCCTGTTATTTCCGAAATCGACAAAAAATTTGGAAATTTAATTTCCGAAATCGAAATTATATTAATGTTTTTAATATTCTTATATCAAAAGGATTAAAGTTCATTAAGAGAAAAACAATTCTTCTTCTTCAATCTATTGGCGCATTTATTTCTACACGCCAATAAGGAAGGGAAAATTTTTAACAACCCTACTTTCTGCCAACACCCCGCCACAACGCCAGCTCTCTGCCAACGCTCCTCTTCAACGCCAGCTTTCATTAGCCAGCAGTACCAACACTCCCCCACTGCCACAACTCTCTGCCAGCACTCCCCCACAACTCCAGCTCTCTGCCAACTCTCTTCCACAGCAATAACTCTCTGCCAACACCCAGACACAACGCCAGCTCTCTGCCAACACTCTTCCACAGCAACAACTCTCTGCCAATACTCCTCTTCAACGCCAGCTCTCTGCCAACACTCTTACACAGCAACAACTCTCTGCCAACACTCCTCTTCAACGCCAACTCTCTGCCAATACTCCTCTTCAACGCCAGCTCTCTGCCAACACCTCGGCACAGCAACAACTCTCTGCCAACACTCCCCCACAGCAACAGCTCTCTGCCAATACTCAGCCTCAGCCTCACCCATCTGTATCTATTCCCCTTAAGCGCGGGAGACCCAAAGTTAATGTACCAAAAGATCTTAAGGTAACTATTAGAAACCTAATTGAGCAGCATGGCCATCTTGGAATAATCTCCGCCTATAACCAAATAAATAAAGATATCGAATATGTCAAATCTCATTTTGAGGCATTTTTGGACATGAAGACGGGTATTGTTCCACAGCCAACACCTACCCAAGCATGGTTCTCCGCTATTGAACGTTTTAAGCCCCTGAATCAAATTTCTTCCACAATTCCTTCCGGACTTATGATTGAAGAGTCTCCATTATCATTTCCATCTGAGCTGAGGAACATTAAATATCTTACAAACCCTCTTCCACATCCCCCTCAAGACATATGGTAGAAAGAGCGTTTAGAGAGCTAGGCTTGGCACGTCCAAGGGGACCCTATCGGCCAAAAGGAAAGACAAGATACTTAGCTGCCTTTCCTAACCAAATATGGCACGTTGATATCCACTTTCTTGGCAAAAAGAGAAGTCAGATTCTTTATGCTGTGATTGATGACTGCACAAGGCTCATCATAGAATGGCAGTATCTTTCGTCAAAACATGCTAGCCAAACAGTGAAAGTAATTAAGAGAGCAATAGCCCGTTATGGACCACCACATACAATTTGGTCCGATAATGGCGGCGAGAATAAAGGCGAGTTCCTAAAGGCTATGAGGGTTCGGGGGATCAATAATGTATATATTGTCCCCCATTGCCCATACCAAAATGGGAAAATCGAGCGCTTGTGGCCTAACATAGAGAGCAGAGAGTTGTCATGGGCAAAGATTCAACAATGGGTTGAGTACTATAATGCTAAACCTCATCTAGCATTACCAACTCATTATGTGAATGGAAAACAAATTCACTATAGCCCATCTGAAATGTGGAAGAAACTTCCAATTTGGAAGAGGGGAATGCCGGCAAAATGGATTGTGGATGGAGTCTCTCAAGATTTTCTTCCAGGTTCACTTATGGCCAATGAGATGCCAGAGCTCCAAGGAATCGAAGAAGATGAATGGGAAAAAGAAGGCGAGGAAGTTGAAGAAGAAGAAAATAAGGCGAATCCGGTTGAAATAGAAGAAGATAGTAATGAAGAAGAAGAATACGAAGTAAATTATGAAGAAGAATATCAAGAAGATTATGAAGACCCTTATGAAGAAGATTATGATGATTCATTTTAATATTACGAATAAAATGTCACTTTTTCTATTTTTGACACGTAAAATTATCACTTTTCTGTCAAACCGTTTTTATCATTTTCGTATATAACAATACCAAACTCCGGCCCGGTTAAAGGATGCAATACAAGATGTTCTTGGTCCATTACAATATCTCTTGGAGTTTGCCTTGCCTTGTCTTTTCATCATATTCTATCCAGTTTACGAGTTGGTCCATCTCCTCGAGAGAGATGAAACGACTGCTGCAAATACTATTGATCTTCTTGTGCAGTATTGCCGTGCATCTGATGAATTTTCCAATGCATTCTATGTTGAATTTACTCAAGAGAAATACCACGAAAGGATTCATGATATTGTAGCTGAAGCTTCGAGCGCCCAAGTTTACCTTCAAATGCGTATTTTGGCCAGATTTGAAGGAACTGGCAACAGAGGACTGCTTGAACTCGCAAATTCACTGACCTTTACTGGAAGAGAACAACTTCGCCAAGCATTTCCGGATTTAGCTTCCGAAAAAGACGTTGAATCCAACATCGCGAAATTTGTATATCCGAATTACCCTATGGAAGGAGAACTAGTTCGTGATGTAATTAAAGGTATACCAGACTGTATCGCATTTGGAGAGACCCTTGACCAAGAAAGGGCAAATGACCCGAATGCTGAATATCAGCCATTAGTCGAAGAAGAAGAGGATATCTTCGAAGAATCTGATGGTGAGTCTTCAACTGATGAGGATTATCACGAAGAGGAAGAAATTGCAGAATTTGAAGAAGTTATTCCGGAAGGCTACCAATCGGTTACAGCCGTAGAACCTATATCAGATCAAGAAATTGACAATTATATTGCAGCAAACCAAAATCATTCAAATACTAACGATCCGGACGATGAAAATACTAACGAATCTACAGAAAATGAAGATAATACTAACGGATCTGACGATACCTCATCGTCAGATTTTCACGATGGCCAGTTTGGCCCTGAAGATGGAGTCACTTTTGATTCAGTCTTGCATCCACAGCTTGCACAAAGACAGCCATATCGCAATGATAAGCTGAGATTAACTCCTCAAGCTTTATTAAATCCACAGGAAGATGGAAAAACAGATTATGAAGGTCTTTGTGATTTATCAGGTAACTCGATAGATAAGATGTCAATCGCATTATACCAGATTGCACATTCTTTAGATTACGATGACACGCAATATGTAAATCTCCTTGCTCAGTACAGAAAATGGATCAAATATGGATTACACAGAAACAGCTTCGATTTGAGTGAACCAGATCCGTATAAATTCTGGAAAGCATTAGTCAACAACCAGAAATGGAAAGAGCTAGCACGTATTGCAGTGAAATTATTATCGGCTGCAGCAACGGAAGCAGCTGTTGAAAGGTTATTCTCTTATCAGAAGCATCATTTTGATTCCCATAGTTGCCGTGCATCAGAAGCATTGGTCAAAGCGAAAATGATTTTCTTGTACATTTACAATTCAAAACGACGCCGTAATCAAAAGAAATCTAAGTAAATATTCATTTTATTACTAATACTTCTTTTTTACTACCTTGAATAACTTAATTTTTTGTAAAAATTGATATAATTCTGTAATATGGAAGGTTTAATTTGTAATTTCATTAAACAATCGAGTTTTATTTTGTTGAATTTGCTCCTATGATATTATCATGAATTTTGCTATAGAATAAAATGATCTTAAACCGAATTGGAAATTGCACCAATGGATGTGGGTTCGGTAACCCGGCGGTCAATGTGCAATTCTAACGGTCTGAAAAAGATTGGATAGCGAGATATAACGCCCTAGCCGTAAATGGGTTCGGTTTTCCTCTCAAAGTTCTCAAAAAATTGAGTTAACCCACGGTTAGAAAAGTGGGTTTCCAAAAATATTGCCGCGTAGCGGAGAATTTTTGATTTCTTTGTTTAATAAAATATAGAAAGAGTACTCAAAATACATATGTTTTTCTCGTTAAACTCTATATTTTTCTTGAATTTTTCCTCTCAAAAATTAAAAATTGAGATAAAAATAAGGAAAAAAACTACATTTTATATCGTTCATTTCCCCGTGCTGGGTTCTCGCTTAAGGGGCCGGGTTCTCTCAATTTCTGTATCGTTCCCCGCTTTTTGCAACCTTATGGTTCGCAATTATTTTGAAAGGTACATGCACGAAAAGTGACATCTCTCTTCTTTTTTCCTAGGGTTACTGATCGCTTTTTTTCTGCTCGTCATGCCAGAAACAAAAGAAATGATTGGTGCAAAATGATTTATTACTCCAATTGGCAACTATTCTGTAATATATAATTAGTTGTATTGTCAGTTATTCTCCTGCATTATTCAATTTAAGTTCAACTTCGTTAATTTAAATCATATTGCAGTGGTACCCTCTTGTTGAGATAAGGCCAAGATTACACATGCTAAAACCACACATTAAAAATCGAAATTTTGCATCTCCAAAATGCAACGACAGAATTTCTCGTAATTTTGATTTTCTACGCACCTTATGATACATATACAAATTACTTGAATATAGAAAAAGTTACAAACATATAATCAGGATTTTTTTTCATGAAATTTGATTCCAAATTGGCTGTTCTCGCTTTCAGAGATATATTGTATTATTCTTAAAAATAAGATAAATGAATTTATTCAAAAGACCGGATCTTTATTTACAATTTCTAACGGCGGCATAAACTCTTGCCATGGCATTTTGTTTTGTGTACCATCATAGTAGAAGTAGCTGATTTTAGGTTCTTTATATTTACGAACATGAAGGTTCCAGTCACACATTCGGAAACATCTTGCAAATGTTTTGATTGATTCAATCACATCGTCGTCTGCGTTCTCAAGAATAGCATATCTATATATGATTCCTCCAAAGAGATATCCATATACATTGACAACTGAATAAGGAACTAGGCCTTGATCAACATCATCAATAAATCTTTTGATAATGTATTTCCCTAAGAATCTAATATCGTTATCATCCAGCTTAACAAACTTGTTATAGTATAAAAATTCGGAATAATGAAACGAAATCTTTTCACCCTTCTCGAAAGTAAGTCCAAGAGCCTTCTGTGGTCCGGCTTCTTTTGGATATTGAGATCTAAGGTATTTAATTAGTTTGCATTTTGTGTTAAACTTATAATAATATTCGTAATAACTCGAATATAACGTTATAGCCATTGCCCATCTTGGAAATTTTGAAAGAAACAAATAGTGGATCATGTAACTCCAAATAATCAATATACAGTTATATATGTAACCGAAGACAGCAAAAAGATCCAAAATTTTATTGTCAAAACTGAAATCGATGTTTTACAAAATTTTACAAATTTGCATACCGTTGTACATTGATGATTTTTCTTCAATGGCAAAAAATAATTCAAACAAAATCTTCTCACAAAATTATTGAATTGAAAATGAGTAACCAATCATTAACACAAAAGCATTACTGTTATTTAATGTAATGTTATTAATGCTGATATCTAAATTATGGGGTAATGGAAATTTTATATATAGAACCCATCTATGTAAATCACCGCTCTTCCCTAAAAAGAGACATCGAAATTTCATATAGCGGTTTAACATGTAGCGAAGAAAAAAACAATATAAATTGCTTAATGGAGCCAAAAATAAGCAATACACAGAATGAAATACCAAAAAGACAAAGTGAATATTGAATATATGAAATTATGTCTTCAAAGACCTAAAATAGTTTAATAATATATCAAATATTTTATAATTCCAAACAAAAAAATATAAACAAATTTAATTTGCAGGTTGTCCACCCGAATTTGCGATTTCTTCCCATTTCTCTACATTCCTCTTGAATTGTTTTCCTATTCCTTTGAGAAGAGGAACTGCTTTCGACAAAAGTTCGAAAGCAGGGGCAGCAATAGCCTTCAAGTGATCTGCATTCCATCTTGCAATCTCTTGTGGAGTCTTTTCTCCTGCATTTTCGCTATCATCAGTGAATTCATCAGATAAAACAGAAGACCAAGATTTTGTTGAATCAAAGGGTCTTGCGCAGCTTGCCAAGTTTCCAATTCTTAGTATCAATTTCATCATTCTTGCTCTCTGTTGTGTATTTGCCAGAGGAAGTGTTTCATCAGGTGCAAAAGACAATTTAGCATCATCAATAATCTTTTGGTGTTGTGATGTTTCTGTGCTTAAAATAGTATCAATGACTAAAACCCAGAAATCATGTAACTGGTCTGCATTTAATGAAGATAAAATATTGCAACTTGGCTTTCCAATTGTTTTAATTGCAGACGAACAATGGAAAGTCTCCATGACAGGCTGATCTTTAAATAATAATGACAAAGGAGTCTGTACTTTAGAACTTGTTCCCATTTTTCCTCTATGTCCCATGTCATGGCAAATTGCACTTACTAAAAGAGCCAAAATCTCCAATTTTGTGAAATTAGAGAACAATCTTCCAACTTTAACAATCATGTATGCCATTTGCGTAACATCAACAGCATGATTGAAGTTGTGGAAAGGAACGTGATGGTATTGTTCACTGATAGAAGTGATGAATCTCAAGATTGTTTCGATTTGGATGTTGAATTCTTTCAACAAACCTAAATCGTGGAAGAAAAACAAAAGAATACGAAATTGTTCATTCTTTGGAAACGCAACAGCATCAAATTCAATTGAAGAAACAGTAGAAAGTAATGGTTCAATGATGTTCAGTCTTCCAGGCATTTCAGTCATCTTCAATTCAGTGGCTGTCAAAATTGTAACTAATTGGCTTTCTGGTTTCCAGAAATCTTCAGGAGATTTCGCCATCCATCTCTGCATTGCCAATCCAGCAAAAGCAGAGAAGTTCTTTAGAAGGAGTTGGTCATCAGCTGTGAATTTTGGAGATCCTACTTTATCAACAGCTTCAATAACACCGATGACTTGATTCAATGAATCCAAAATGGGAATTGCCAAAATTGAATTCGGTTTTATTCCCATTTGACTCAAAAACATTGTATTGAATCTTCTATCTTGTGTTGGATCTTCTTCATTAACTTCTCCACCACTTGTTGCAACGAATCCTACAACATCTTCATTCGTAGAGAAAGAAATTGTATCATTAACAGCAATTGGATGACAAATGTGTCTTTCTCTGTCAATTGCGAATATGAAAACATATTTAGATTCAACTAAATCTTTTGCGTTACTCATTAAATTTGTAACTAATTGGTTGAGTGTTGATGTGCTTGACATGTTCAACACAATATCTAATATAGCACTCATCTTCTTCTTCGTTATCGTCGCGCTTTCATACAATTGAGCATTAGACAAAGCAATGCCGCAGAAAACATTAAAAGCACTCATTAATTCAATGTCAGTTTTTGTAAACTCGTTTCCATCGAGTTTATTAATCATTTGAGTGCATCCCATTATAGAACCATCATTGTTTCTGATTGGCACGCAAAGAATGGACTTTGTCAAGTAACCTGTCTTTTTATCGACAGCCGGATTAAATCTAGGATCTGAATAAGCATCAGGAATGTTGATGATTTCTCCAGTTTTCGCAACAGTTCCTGCGATACCTTCTCCCAAAGGAACGAAGATTTTTGAGTTCTCACCATGCGCAACAACAGACCAAAGTCCACCTCTCACTTTATCAACCAAAAACAATGAACATCTATCAGCGTTGATGAAAGATTGAGCTTTTGTCATGACTTTTCTGATCAAAGCGTTTGTATCCAATTCAGCGGATAACTCTTGAGCAACAGCCAAAAGACTCATTCTTTCTGCTCACAGCAAGCTGTTGTTGCATTTGACATTGTTCTTCGAAGCATTGTATCAATTCTTTCGCCATTTCCGATTGAATTTTGATTAAATTGCGAATTTCTGCTTCTAATTGTGCAACTTGTTGCGATTTCATCTGTAAAATTTGTGATAAGTGCGATAATTGAAGGTTATAGCCACCATCATTCAGCCCAACTGATGTTGACTGTGAGAATGGAGTGATAGCAGTCGGATCGATGGGCTGAAAAAAACCTGACGGCTGCTTACCAATCATTCTTATTTATTTAAAACGTGCAAATTTTGTAAAAAAAATATTCATTTACAAGTAACTACATACAAAGAGAGCCAATAAGGTTTCAGTTACTATCTTCCTGATTGAATGTAGGTCCACAAAATCGTAACGATGCTTTCTTGCACTAATTTGATAAAGTTGGCTGAGGCAAAAACAAACTACCATATTATACTTAAAACAGGCAGTTGGAGAATTAACGCCAACAGCCTCTTCAAATTATTGACTTATTATTCATTGAAATCATTGAAGATTAATCATTTGATTTTTCATCTAAATTTTATTCACAAACAAATTGATATTTGCATCTTCTATTAATAAATCCTTTTTCTCATCATAGGTTATCTAGTATTTTCAATATATAATTTGGTACAAATTAAAAAAATTAAAATCTTATAATTTAGTTCCTTACATAATTATATGCAAAATTGATTTAGTGAAATTAATTTGTACATATTAATTGCATAAGTGATAGAAATTGATTCATAATATCACACTTTATTATATTCTATCACACATAAACCTACTTTAACTAGATAACAAATTCAAATTTAGTAATTCAAATCTACACTATCAGTTCTTGTTTTGAAAGTAGCAATATTAATTATGTAATCCAAATTTCTGCAACTTTAGAGAAAATTATTCATGATTTTGTATCTCCTTCTATTGGTTGCTGTGAAATAGTATTTGAGATTTATCCATTATGATTTTATTTTAACTTTTTATTTCATTGCTTTTTGAATAGTATCTGAAAAAAATTGGGGAGAAGCTTCCTAAACTTTTTAATCCCATAAATATGGTCATTATCTGGAATAAAGAGTTAAGCGTCATATGTCACTTTTTGTACTCAGGAAACATCGACTTTATGCGTTATGACTTTTCGATGAGGAAACAAGTGTTCACGTATTATAAACTTCCTTATCCCAATAAACCGGCCCTAAACATAATTAATTTTAAGCATTATAATGGTCTCTTTTCTATGATAACTAAATCAATTTGGTTATCATAGAAAAGCACCAAAAACTGGAATAGGAATAGCCGCGTTAAAACAGGAATAGGCAATATGGAAACAAGGGTAGACTCAAACTCATACTCAAGGCAAGACTGATACAAGAATTACAACAAAATTTTACAAAATCTATTATTTATCTCAATTTAATGGCAGGTTTTAGTACCCGAAGAGTTTGCATTCTACTTTTTGCTCTTATTTTACAAAAATATTCTAAAAATTTGTAACTTCTTTTATAATATAATACTTTTTTTCAAATTTACTTTCCAAACGTTAATGTCTTGTTACGGCTATATCTTTGTACGGGGAAATAAAGAAATTTTATTATGCTATTATATTATTGTTTTTAAATCAATATCTAATCAATAGTAAGTTAGATTTTTTATTAAAAGAGCAAATAAAGATACGATCGAGTAAGGGTTTCGTTTTGCGAAAAAAACGTACAATACGCAATTTCGCTAAAAAAACATTTAGCTAGCAATTTCGACCTTTGACTCCACTCAAGACGTCACTTTTTTAATTTTGCGGTATCATATTTTTGGAAAATCTTTATGAATATTATATAAAAAGTCTCTTTAATATCTATATTTCATATTTTTATCGATTTTTAAAGTTTTTGCGAAAAGTATTCAATTATTTTTGCTATTTGGTCGGGTAAATGTCAGATTTGCGACATTTTCTGATATGATATTCAGATTCTACGTTGATAATAATGCATATAGAACCCTCTTGCTATTGTGTCAAAATTGCGAAACCGATAGCAAAAATATCTCGCAATATCAAAATTGAGATATTGAGTGAATTATGCATTATAGAAATTAAAAATCTGATTTGTGAAAACATCTCATCAGTTTCTAGCTAATTCAAAAATCTTTACTATCTTATTCGATTAAAATGAAAAGGGAATAGTTTCATTATGCTTTAAATGACAGCCTTATAATATAATCATAGTTTTCGCTCAATATGCAGCATTTTTTTTCGAAATCTATGGTCAATATCCTAAATACTGATTGCTTTGCATTCATATCTCTTATATTTTCTATACCCACATCACTATTCATTGCTATTCCTATCTTTTTCATTTTTGTTTGTTTCTCATAATTTCTCAAAAAACATGATAACTTGATATTTGTAAATATCATACTTTATAACGTAAATAAGAACTTGACCTATTAAAAAAAGCAGTAATGAAAAGAAAATCTGAAATTCATAAAAATTACAAGTTTCTGATGACAATTAGCTTAATTAAACCAGGTACAAGATTATATAATTGTATTTTCTATCCAATTATCCATATAATATCTTATCCAGAAAAAATAACTTGATCAATACCAAATGATTTTTTAACTAGTAAATAAAGTATTTTCTTTACACACACATTGTATATCATAGTTTTTTTTGGTTTCGCAAAACATCCAAAAACAAATATGCTATAAAAGTGACAATTTTAGCAAAACGAAACCCTTAGATCGAGCAATAGTTTATTTTAAATCTCAATATTATAAAATAAATGTTCAAAATTTTTAAGTAATAATACTAAATACTTAAATAAGTAAAAGCACACAAGAAAAATATTCACTAACTTAAGAAAAAATCATATATTTAGAGAATTATCCCTTATAATAAGATTAAAAAAAATTAAACTGTTTTCAATCATCATCATCACCAGCTCCATAGAACTTGTGTTTGCGATAGATGACACATTTTGCAAGCCATTTGACACCACCAAGATATGACCACAAATCGCTGCCAACATCTCCACCTTGAAGACCTTTGATCAAACCATCAGGAACAATGTAAGTAATTTCATCGTCGAGCATGAACCAAACTCTTCCTTTGTTGACGAAGGCAACGAAATGACCTTGATGATAAGCAATAATGGAATGTATCTTAAATACATACGTTCCATCACTGAGTTGAGTTTTGTAGTTCTTCTTGATCTCAAATTTGTCAAAGAAGACATTTGGATCAGACCAATTCCTCTGAACGTCGACCCAGAGGAATGTTGAGATTTCATTGATATGAGAATCATCTGTGCACATTTGTTTAATTCCTTGATCAATACCTGCTGCACCAAGAGGAATGTGAAGCGAAACCGAATAGAAGCTTTCATCAGGAGTCTCAGTTTGATATTGGAATGTAACGGCAATATCTGGTTTGTTTGCTGATTCCGTAACATCATGTACAATCTTTTGAAATGTGTCATCGGCATCTTGCTGCTGGAAGTATTGCTTGCCGAGTGTTGTGATGAATTGTGAGCATGAAATTGTGTATTCCTTGTGGCGGTAGTGCAACATCTGATCATAAATTTCGGCAAGTGCTTTCACTGGCGTATATTCGACATCTCCCAAATGCTCCATTACATCTTTTCTGAAAGTATTTACGTAGAACAAAACTTGCAAAACGGCATTGACATGGCAGGTAGCTCCCTCATTATGTAATCCTGGAATTGACATTTTTGTTTCGATGTTGTAGATTGCATTTTGTGTTCTTTTAACAAGTATCTTATCAATCTTTTCATATCCAGCTAGTGGAGATGGAATCTTCATTGGAGTTTCTGGAGTTTGGAGATAAAGATCTTTTGGAACACATCTTGGCTTTGGCATTGGGCTTCCTGAACCATTTGGTTCTGGTGTTGCTGCAGCTTCTTTTTCATCTTTTGGAGTGCAAGGAAAATCGCAGTTATCCTTCTCACTGAGAGGTGTGGAATCGATGTGATAGTTATCTAAAGCAAACAATCCTTGAACAATAAGTGGAAGATTGCCTTTTTCACCACGATATCCTATTGCCAAGACACTCCAATTACTTTTATCGCGTGCAAAGCGGCGTTCGACAATTTGGCGATCATGTGCAATCGCATTATTGCGTTTTGTAACTTCTTCGTCATCACCTCTTTGCATAATGACGGCTGTTGGATGGTATTTCTGAATACCGATGTAACCTCTATCTGCAAGAAGTCCTAATGCAACAGATTCAACTCCACGTTGGACATGTAAAAAATCTGAAGCTCCTGATAAATCAAATACTTTCTTATCGTGAACTGAAGCTAAAAAACTTGTATTCATGTGAATTACCTGTCCTAAAGGATTAACAAGAACTTGAACCTTCATACCATTGCAATGGTTTTTAGCATCCCATGAACTTTTACGCTCAGCAAGATCAAGAGGAACGGTAAAAGGAATAGTAGAGCTATCAACTGCAGCAACACATGTTGGAAAGTTATCGAACTCCTTGTCACAGGGAGAATATTGTTTTGGAATGAATTCAGCAATGAAAATTGGGAACATCCTGTTTGTTGTTTTGTTAATGATTTTGCTGAGGTAACTCTGTTTCAAACTAACAATTCCTGACATTTTTTGCAATGGAAGATAAGTGCAATAGTAAGTTAATGTTAGGAATAACGCATCTAATGGATCACAACCGTTTTTCCGACCGCGTCTGGATGAAAACTCATGCTCGCGAACAACATCAACTAAATACAAGAGTTGATCCAAAGAAAAGTTACAAAGGTCTTTGACATTTAAGATTGGGTGTGCCTCAAGGAATTTTTGTAAGCTAAACTTTCTGACAACTTTAAATTCTTCGGCATTAGCTGGTGCTTGATTTTCATCTTCACTTGCGGGCTCTGATTCATCAAGATAAGCTAAGTGCATTTGCATTCTCACGATTTCCTTGGATCGGGTTTTGGACTTCTGGATATCATCCAAGAACTCGGAATCATCCTTGTACTCCATTAATGAAAGTGATATGAACATTTCTTCTAAGAGTTTTCATTCAATTCATGTTTTTAAGAAGTTAGTGAATTAATTTTCATATCTCAGAAATTCGAAAAATAGTTGTTTAACACAAAAATTGATCAAATGCTTCTCTAATTATCTAAATAGCTAAAATTGTAAATTCAAGATATTTGACACAAATTCAATTTTGACGGTTTGAAACAGTGCGTTTATTCTTCCGTTTATTTCTAAAAGCATAGCATTTTTATTAAATATGATTCTAATAATATTTTTGGATTAAACAGATATCTGTGGTCAATTCTATTGATTTTTTTTCCACTCGGAATACATTTTTAAGATATGTAATTTGATCCCACTACTATCAAATGATTAATGCATATAAAAAAAGCAATTACATTTAAAAAAACGAACTATTGAAAAATTGACAGTTGACGGTATAGTTTCAATTTTTTGAATTGATATCGACTATTTTAAAAATGAAACTCTTTTGGAGTTTTTTATGCATCAAAAGGTATTAGTACACACATATATATAAGATCTAGTAATTCGGTTAAGCATTGAAGGTAATTCAAAGGTTTAGATTTTGATATTTGTTTTGTTTGAATACTCTACATGTATATTTAGACTTCATACAAAGTTCCAAAGGTCTATAAACATAGAAAAAATTTAGGATATGGTAATAAATTTGGTTCGTAAAATTGAAAGGAAAATTTTATCTATTCATATATTTAGAACCATCATGTTAAATATATATCTATTAATGACTAATAATGCCAAAGGAGAAGGGAAAATTTTATAAAATTTTATCATATTAAGGTATAAAACTATTATTTCCTATATATATTTATGAATCAAATAGTAAGAATAATACTCTTTGTTAGACTAAATTAAATGAAAAAAGTCTAAATTGTATGATCGTCTAAACTCAGTATAACCTATACAAAGCTTATTAATGGCTTATGCAAATATACAGCTGATGTTAGCTTAGTTTTTGACCAAAATACAAAAAAAAATTATGAGTACAATATGATCAAATTTTTATAAAAGCAGCCGAAAACAGCATTCAATTGGAATGGTATTATCAATGATAATCATTCAAGACACTTTTATCAAAAAATTTACATAAATCTTTTTCAAAAGAGTATTTTGCAAAAATTTCATCGAAAAGATAGCTTTGTCTAATAAAAATGATATGGTACGGAAAATCTATTGAAAATAATCTGAGGAATTTGAAATTCATTAAAAAGTCTTGAAAAAAGTGAATGCATTCATGAATGTCCCATATCCATTTTATCCTAGTTGTTTCATAATTCCATATTGCCGATTCCTATTCTAGTTTTTGGTGCTTTTCTATGATAACCAAATTGATTTGGTTATCATAGAAAAGAGACCATTATAATGCTTAAAATTAATTATGTTTAGGGCCGGTTTATTGGGATAAGGAAGTTTATAATACGTGAACACTTGTTTCCTCATCGAAAAGTCATAACGCATAAAGTCGATGTTTCCTGAGTACAAAAAGTGACATATGACGCTTAACTCTTTATTCCAGATAATGACCATATTTATGGGATTAAAAAGTTTAGGAAGCTTCTCCCCATTATATCTATAGATTAATTTGTAATACAATTTTAATATTTAAAAATATGAAACCGAAGTAGTATATGCATGCGGGTTGTGTGACTTTTTTTGTTACATCTATATATAGATGAAGGTATGTTTTCACATCTTCTATACATAGATGATATAAAATTTTTTCTTACGTTTTTTAAGTCATGAATTCGTAAGAAAGCGCGACATTATTAAATAAACGCATTAAAAAATTAACATTAATTTTAAAATAATTTATTTTTTATCTTTTATAAAAGAAGCTATATATAGATGATGTCAGATATTCCGCGATTAATTAAACATTGTTTAAATCCTGAATGGAATCAATGGAGTCATAATCAAAGACCTCATAAACGAGTAAAAGAAATTAGATCTTCTATACATAGATGATATAAAATTTTTTCTTACGTTTTTGAATAAATCAAGATTTAAAAAATTTTTAAAATGTAAGATTCACTACCATAATGAAATGGAAAAATAAACTTTAAAAATTCATGTCTTACATTTTTGAATAATTTATTTTTTAATTCGTAAGAAATGAGTGTCAAAACTAACGACGTGAAAACATTAGGATTCACAAACGAGGAAATAAAGGATATATTAGATGAGATGTGTTATGAAGTTAGTAAATATTATTTAAGAAATTGTCAAAAATTTGCCGAGTTATTAAATGATTTAGATTATGATGGAAAAATGAATAAAGATGATGTTATAAATTTCATATATCCCACATCTGAAGAAGAAAAACCTAAAGAACCTGATGTTTTCCCTGAATATTATGAAGAACGGATTAAAGATGATGAATACAATGAAATTGAAAAACTGGAAAAAATAAGAGATGAAATAGATGAAAAAATTAAGGAATTAAGAGAAGTTGAAAATGAAGTAGAGGGTTTAATGAATATCCCAGCTTCAGAATCAGCAGTTCAGAAATCTCATGAAGAAAGATATAAAAATTATGTCTCAGAATCAACACAAAATTTATTAGATGGCGAAATAGATGAAACACTTTCAGAAGAAGGTACTAAATTTATTCGTAAACATAAGTTACAATTTATTGATAATGAAAAATACCCCTGTATCCTTCTTTCACCACCTTTAGATTCCGAAAAATTCAAAAAAGCTCTTAAAAACGTGACATATGCAACTAATACGATTAAGAAAGAAGATCATGATATTTACACAAATTATTATTTAAATAAATGCACAGGTGTTGATAAAGTTTTTGATTTATTAGATAAAATATCAAAAGAAACCATTGGAACATATAAAATTTTATGTGATTGTGGTTTCATTGTTGAAGATACTAATAATGTTTCATATGAAAGAACAGCACCGAAGGAAGATGAAGTGGAAAGGTCTATACCATTCGTTATTAAGAATATAAAAGATATGAAAACGTATAAGCATTATATTTATTCATTTATTTCAGAAAAAATGGAAGCAACCCATAAAACATCTTCTCATCATTTTATAGCTATTCATACATTCCTTTTCAAAGTTGTGAAATTAAATAAGACAGGAATTAGATTTAATGTATCAGGGTACGCATTCTTGAGTAAATTAAAATGTATTCGTCACGTCGCAGATGATAAAAATTTATGTGTTCTTAATTCATTTTACGGACTTTAAAAAATAAACTTTATTTTTTATTCTTTCATAAATGAACAAAAACGGAACCGCTAAAATGAATGATAATCAAATTAGAGCAGAAGGTAGAAGGTTATTTAAACGCTTCTATAACATTCCTGATGGTGTTAATCCTAAAACTCGTAGAAGCTATTTAAATGAAGCAATAGATGCATATGAGGGGTTTGACATTTCATCAGAAAGTGAGAGATTAGCGAGAATGTTAAATGTTAATATTGATTTCTATTATTGTGATCCTCAACCAGAAGACGTGGACATAAATAAGGTAGACTTTCCATTAGTGGAATCAATAATGATAGATCCAGAATTTGAAACAATAAATATTTTATTAACACAGAGTCCATGTGGAAAACTTCACGCTGACAGAATAACAGACATTGAAGCACTCACCGGCTATAAAGTTTGTCCATATTGTAAAGAAGAAGTTTATTCTATCCGTGATGATCCAGAAAGGAAAAACCAAAGAAGATTTTTAAAGCATTGTGAGAAATGTAAAGAAAATAATGGAAGATTAATTCAAGACGTTCAATTGCAAAAGACCCAGCAACCATATGCACCACATATTACGAAACAGAAGATATATCAGTGGTTATTAGCTCACAATTTGTAGGAATATTATCAACCAACAAGATATTATATTACTTTTGACTTCGAAACATTAGAGACTAAAGAAGAATTACAACTTTCTGAGTGTGCAACTTTGAACGCTTACTTAAAACCATTCATGGTATCATCAACGGTTAAATTAAATGATAAAACATATACGAGGAATTTTTGCTTAACTTCGAGTGATTCTTTTATTTCTGATTGGATTGAGTTTTTATTTTCAACCTGTTCATTAGTTGTTGAATCAAATATTGAACAATATGAAGAATTAATGAAGTCTCATACATTAAATGAAAAACAGAAGGAAGCATTTAAAGAACTTCTAGATGAGGAATTCAATAAAGTGAATATCATAGGTTTTAATTCGGGAAAGTTTGATTTAAATTTAATTCTTCGTGATTTAAACACTGCAAAATGGAAAATAAAATCAATGCTGGGTTCTTCTTCTCAATTTAAGCAAATCATTGTAAAGAAAACAAACGTTCCATATGAATTGAGATTTATTGACATCAGAAATTATATCGCGGGTGGAACATTAGACCAATTCACTCAAGATTTCGGAAACAATAAATCACGTGTTAAATCCTTTTTCCCTTATCAATTCATCACGTGGGAAAATTACGAAGAAGAATTATATAAAGAGGAACCATTCACTCAAGATTCATTTTATTCAGCATTAACTCAAGAAACTATATCAGATAGTGATTATCAAATATATCTCAATGATGCTAAAAACTTTAAGAATAGATTAGAATATTTTATTCATTATTGCAATAAAGATGTTGAAATTATGATTGACCCAATTGATAAAATTATTGAAGAAACATTTGTTTATAAAATTGACATGCTTCATAATCTTTCTTTATCATCGAATGCTTCAATGATTCGTTACGCTTTAGCATATAAAGACCTTAATCCTAATGAAAAATATCCCGAGGAAGAGATAGAATCAAGTTTTGAATTAACGAAAAAGTATTGGAAATATAAAATTGAATCATATAAGAAACAAGATGAAAAAGCAGAAAGAGATACTAAAAATAATGTTTCAATGGATGATTTTCAATACTATCACGATTTAATCCTTTCATCTAAATGCAAAATGTGTGGTAAAGCGTTTACATATGCAAATAAACCAACATTGGATAGAATCGATAATGAAAAACCACATACCAAAGAAAATTGTCAGTTAATGTGTTGTTATTGCAATGTCGTGAAATCAAATAAAGATGAAGATGTTCAACGTTTAAGAATCAATTTAAGAAATTATGCATTAAAAAATAATTTACCAATGACTTTAGATTCGGTTGAAGCTTATCACATTCTCCGTAATGGAATTACTGGTGGTCTATCAAATGTTCAACATCGTGTTAATCTTAAAGGAATCACGCACATTAATAAACTTTCATATAATCCAGAAACTAAAACTGTATCAAATGAGGACACCACCAACATTATGACTCATTTCGTTGGAGTTGACTTTAATTCATTATATCCTTCATCATTTTCATCTAATCCTCATGATTTCATTCAATATACTGACCATAAAATGTATATGCCGGGAAGATTGAATGGTGTTATCATTTGTGATACAGCAACAAAGAAAGCAAAAGCATTGGGAATAATTAAGAAGAAAAATACTTTATTCGTGGCTGAAGTAAAGGGTCACATTGATGAAAAATACATTAATGATTACATAAACTTTTTACCGATAATAAGAAACTTAGATATTATCACAGATGAAAAAACAATTGGCAGTTTTATGTATAATTACATGAAATCAAACAATCTACCAGTTGACCAGAAACAGAGAAAATTAACTCAGTTAGCATCAACACACAACCAATATCAACCATTTTCTTCTTATTATCTTTGGTATCTAATAGACAGATTTCATTTTATCATCGATGATATTCAATCAATTTTAACATTTACGAAAAACACTTGTTTTAATGAATTTGCGAACAAATTTATGAACGAAAGACAAAAGGCTGAATTAGAAGGAAATAAAGGAAAAAGTTTATTTTGCAAGATTTCACTTAATGGATCATATGGTTACGATGCAATGAATACACAAAATTACGCAAAGACTAAAATAATGAATGCACAGAAGTCACGCGTTGCATGTATGTCAAATAAGTTTAAAAACATAAGAGAAATAGGTGAAGATACATATCAAGTGATGCTTAAAGATAGATTTTATAGATGTGATACATGTTTACAAGAGGCATTCTTCACTTTAGAGAATGCTAAATACTGGTATTTGGTTTTCATTTATGATTTTATGTATAAATGCATGAATGTTAATCGTTTTCATTTCATTGAAGGTGATACCGATTCATCTTATTGGGCAATCGCTGGTGATCCAAATCTTCCTAACACTCAAGCATTTCAAGCAATTGTTACCGATAAACAATTTTATGATAAAAACATTTTCAAATTCGCACCTTTTGATTTCTTCTGTTTTGATGAGAAATTTAAACCTAAATTAAAGAATAAAGCTGAAGAAAAAGCACATGAGAAGAAGTTATTGGGTTTAGCAATTGAGAAACAAGGTGATAACATGGTTGCTTTATGTCCTAAGTGTTATACATCATTCAATGGTTCAATTGATGGAAGTGATTTTAAAAAGATTGCACAAAAAATGAAAGGTGTTAGTTTACGACAAAATAAACAATTAACACCTAAAAATTATTTGGATATAATAAATGATAAAGTGATATTTGATGGTCAGAATATTAATTTACAACTTAAAAACGGGTCAATGACTCGCTTAACAATCGGTAAGACTGCATTAACAGGAGCACACACTAAGGCTGTATGTTGTGAAAATGGATGTTGTATGCCATTTATTTAATAAAATATCACAGAAGAGACAAAGAGGTGGGCACCCTTAAAACATTAATTTTATTTTTATATAAATGGATAACGTACATTTAAAAATTTTAATTGATGATTTAGTATTTAATCAAAATTTTCTTAATTATTATGATTTAAAAGCATATCTCCAAAAATATAATAATAATATAACGGGTGATGATATGGAATATTATTATCCATATTATAAAAATGAAATTTTGAAATATCATAATAAAATAATTTCTAAAATTAAAGACAAAATTAAAAATAATGAATATATAAAGGGAAAAACTAAATCACAGCTTAAACAGTTGAAAGATTTCAAAAATAAAGTATTAACAGAAGAAGATATTGATGAATTATATAATTTATATAATCCTGAGCCACAAAAACCAAAACAAAAGGAACAAAACACCCAGGTCCTTCAGACCATAAATGATGCACAAGCTTTAATTTATGATTCATTAGTTAAACCATATTCAGCCCGACTTTTAAATGAAGATCAACTTTTGGAATTCATCCTTCAACATAAACTCGAAGCGGGAAAGTATATCAAACCTTTATATACAGCATATTTAAAACAAATGAATAAAATACATCCAGAATTAATGAAGGGAGGATTGAATTCCAAAATCAAAGCAGATAAAATTAAACCACTTACAACACCAAAACCTCCAACAGTAGTACCTCCTCCTCCTTCAGTTAATCCTTCATCATTCACTTTATTATATCCATTTCAAACATTAAAGAAGCAAAAAGATTTTAAAAAGGATTTCAAGATATTAAATAAACCAATTGACCCGAAAATTCAACCATTAAAGGAAAAATTTAGTCGACCTTCATTTGCTCCATATCCATATTCATACGAAATCGATCATCTGGAATATTCAAAAGGAAACGTTACTTATTTATTTGCCATTAACATTAACACTAGATATTTATATTGCATTCCGGTGAAAGGGAAAACAGAACAGGAAACAAGAAGAGCTATTCAATACTTACTAGATCATGAAAGAGTAGATAATATCAGGGGTGATGGTGATAAAGGATTTCAGGCAGCTATGACTCATTATTTCCCACAAATTAATTTTTACTTTTCATCCTCTCCATATACGTTTCATAATAAAATAGTTGATGCGGTAATGAGAACTCTTAGAGATGCGTTAGGGGTTAACGGTCAGATATACTGGGATGGAAATCATGACTCCATCATACAGCAGTTAGTATATTATTACAATAATACATGGCATAGAACTATAAACATGAAACCAGTGGAAATGAAAAATGATATTTCAAAAGAATGGGAATATATTAGAAAGCAAATGGAAAAGTTAAATGATGTTAAACGTGAACAAATTAATTCGGGGCTCATGAATTTTAAACAAGGAAATAAAGTTTTAATTCATCTCGATTATGGAAAAACTGATAAATCAATGACAAAAAGAAGACGAAGATTTGACACAATAGCTGAATTTGTTAGATATATTAACGGCAATGCATTAGTTGAAGTTGACAATAAATTAATAGAAATTCCGATTTATTTTATTACCCCATTATATTTAAATAATATTTAATTTTTTTTATTTCGTAAGAAATGAGTGACAACAAAGCAGTCAAGAGTCCAGACAATGAATAAAAAGAAACTAAACAGAATTAAATCAAAAATATGCTATTACAAAAAGAAGTCGCAGTCGCAAATGCGGTGGGGTTGAAAACAATAAAGAAATAATCGAAAAATTAGAAACTTACCGTTCAATCATTAAACTGAGTGAAGCAAAAATAAAAGAATTTAATAGAATAAAATAAATTGGTTGGAAGAGATGAATTTAATAAAGATGAATTTTTAAACTCTATCCAAATTTAATTTTATTCCTCTTCGACAACGTCTCTCTTTCCATCATTACTGCATAACCACATTTTCTCAGTTTTAGTGGTTTGTTATTTTTAGCAAGTTCTCGCATCATTTTTATCGTTTCCTCCCTTGTTATGATTCGTGGTAAATTTTGAGCTTGTGGGGTATTCATTTATGATAAAAATAAAATTTATCTCTTAAAATTTATGCCGTTTCTAAAGTTTGTGACAACATGACATTTTGACAACAGTCCCGGAAATGATTTGTCATGACTTCATCGTAATGAGTGTAAATGACCCAAAAATAATGTTTTCATTAACATAAACATTAACGTAAACATTAACGTAAACATTTATTTCTGTAGTTCATCCATTACTTCATTACCTAATTAATTACAGACATAAAATATATTTAGTTCATTCAATAAACACGGTACCATGTGAATACAGTCATAAATGGTGGCATGTAATCTTTACCCAAGCCTGTTGGATTTGTTGTGAAAGTGTGTGAATGATTTCCTCCTGGTTCAGTTGGTCGAAAAATCTTTTTTGCCGAATGGTTATAATCTGGAGATAAAACGTCATTGCCAGCATAATATTCTGAGTTGTATAATGGATGGTCTCTTAATGAGTGGCTATGGTCGCCAGAAAAGTTTGTAGTTCCTGTATGAGTGTGCGGTGGAAGGTTTGCTTCTTTAATTTTCTTCGAACCACCTGTTTGCTTTGAAGAGTTTGCACAGTATAAGAATTTGTCTACAATCTGCTTCCACATACCAAAGCCTAAAACATTTGCGGGATTTGTTGAATTCATTGACGTATATATAGAACCAATGGGGTAAATCATCTCAAGAATTGTATTTAATCCATTATGAATATTGAATTTATTATTAATATTGAACTGGGTGAGTATTTAAAACTGGTCTTGTTATCAATATTAACGTATTATTTTTGAAAATGCTTTCTAACAATCTTGAAATTTTTGTGATTTTAGACCAGTTTCTTCCATCACTACTGATATTTACTAAATCACCACACATCCTAAAGCAATGAATACCCATCAATAGATAAAATAAAATTTGTAAATCTATAATTTTGAGTAAGTTTTGGAGTGAATGAATAAACAATTCCCAATTTGTTAAATCCTGTGATAATAATATGTCTGTTATAACTTAACAGGATATGAATAGACCATTTCACTGAAACGAGAACATAAACATTTGATCCATAACATAAAGCTTCAATGTCTCCTCATCAGCTTGAAAAATTTGTTCAAATATGACCTTGTGGTATGAAGATGATCTAATAAATTTTATCATTTTGAGGATAAAATACATGCTGTTAATGTAATACCACTTACTTGTAATAATCAATTTTCAATCTGATGACATCATACTAAACATATTAATTTATATCCATCCTCACTAATGAAAATTTGATTGACTTCATAAATTAGTACCCATTTATTATTAACACA